TAACTGTAATTGCGCTCATACACGCGCTTGCCTGCTCGCCAGCCAGCCCGCCAGCCCGCCTGCTCGCAGGCACAAAGTTACATTTGTATCCCATGACGCACCAACGAGTTCCAGTCTATGAGCTCCCTTCCCCACACACTCCACACCCCACAAGAGCCCCACACAACCCCACATAATGACCTTGTAACTCAACTGTCAACTGTCACCACACGCAGCAGCAGTGGCAGCAGCAGCAGCGGCCGGCGGAATGGCCAACAGCAAATCAATAGCCCCAGCCACAATTTATAGTATCCATGGCCATAAATTGGTCCGCGCCGGCACATGTCATGACTTTGAGGGGCAGAACCCAAAGAATTCTGGCCAAAATAGGCCCAGACCCAGCCAAATAGAAGGGCAGAGAGGGGCGGGAGTTACTCAAAGGAGAGCAGAGGCGCAACAGCTCTCATTATCATATGAACAAAAGGGTTCTGTTGCATCGCATACGATTTTTATGAATTTATAAAGAAAGAAAGTCGAGGGAAGGTACATAGCATCCAGGGGGGAAGGAATCCAGGCGTCTGGCAATCTTATAAATATTTAATGAGTGCAATTTATTCGCTGACTGTAACAGATTTTCAGATGCAGAGGGAAGCTTTTCCCAGTGGTTCTCGTATCTGTGGAAGCTCAGGGTTCTCCAGTTTCCGTTTCAGTTGATGTTTGTAAAAGTACACTCGAGAATTCTATCAACAGAAGGGAATTCCATGGATCTCCTAATTCATTTTCAGATTTTTATTTAAAGGTACAATAAATTGTATTCATTCATTAGATCAACTAGTCACACCCTTTTTCTTTGCTTTAATCATCTCAAAGTCCTGGGTATCGCCTAGTCGACTCTTTAAACTCTTTGAAAATGTATAACTCTTGATAGCCACGAGAGCAATATGTACATATGTGGGGTATAGGGTATGGGATAAGAAATCCCCAGTAGCGCTTAGATATTTATGTATATTTAATAATGTAAATACAGTGAGGGCTCTCTGGGGCGAACACATGCTCCTGCAAGGGGAGGCTGTCCGCTCAGCAGGGCTTCACTGTGTCAGAAAGTGCTTATCGCCAGTGAAAAATGTATGCTTTTTTAAGCGCAGACTTAGGATAAACGAGGCCCAGGCCAAGGCATGCCACAGCAGCAGAGATTAGGGAAGAGAACAATGAAGAGAGAGAGAGTGGGAGTGGGGGTAAAATATGAGCAACTCAGATACAAATACAAATAGTTTGTGCGATATCTTGCACTGAAACTGAAACTTCCGCATCTGCAAAGGCCAGAAACAGCAAGCGGAGCCAGCCCCAAGCAAACCCCCAGCCCCGTAATGAATTACGCGTCAGAATGCTCTCCTTTTTAAGGAACAGCACCCAGCAAACAACAATAAAAGAGCCAAAAAGGCACAGGAGAAGAATAATTCCAGAGGTCGTTGCCAAAAAGAGCTACAGACACGGAGGATACGGATACCGGAGAAGAAGGAAGTCCGAGCAAGGATGAATGAGTGCGAGTGCACGGCTACAAGAATGAATGAGTGCGAGAGGAGTACTACGAGTATGGGAAGTGGGGATGGAGAGTACATAAAGGGCTGCTAAAAAGTTTTGCTCAGCATTGTTATCACCACGGCAGAGCACAGGCATTATAAAAGGCCAAAAACCAGAAACAAACAAAATATGAGAAATGAAAAATAAACCGAAAATCAAGCAAAAGACCAACACAAAACTCTGCACAAAAGATCTCTTCTGGGTACCTCCTCTAGCTCCTCCTGCCCCGACATAAAGTTTGTTCTATATGTTTACGGTTAGGGTGGTAGGGTATCCTTGGAGGATGGATTCCTTCCAAGGAGCAACTTTCCCCAAAGGGAAATTACTGGGTCAGCAGTAAACAACTCGAAACATGGAAGGAAACTAAAAGCTGTACAGGAAATAGGAAATTCTAAAGATAAAGATGATTGGATTGCAAAACTATTGTTGTACGAAATATAACATGAAAGATTCGTAGTTCGGAGGGAATTCCATGAAAGATTATCCTACACGGACCTACTTTAGGCAAACAGTGCTACGAATCGAGTTTATCAATCAACTTTCGGGCAGCCGAAACCCTGGAACGTGCCCCAAAACATTTCCGCCCTGAATGAGTCCCTCTGCTCTGCCACATTACGCTCGTTAGAAGCTATCGCATATATTCAATTCAGAGACTGAGGAACGTGCAATGCAACGTAAAAAGAACCAAGAAAAGTGCATAATTTTTTTTCCCATGTACCACATTTTGACAACTGTTTTCTGCTTCTGCTTCTGTTTCGTTTTGTTTCTGTTCGGTTTGGTTTCGGTTTGGAACAGCTTTTTCTGGCTCTTTTTTCGATTGGAGAACGTGCAGACGTGCAAAATACAGAACGGCAGGTCCAAGAAGAGGTAGTAAGGTGGTTAGGTAGTAGCAGCAGTTAGCAGCAGTTGATAGGAAAATTCAGAGCCAACAGCTGTTGAAAAGCAGACGGCAAATAATACAAAAGATACGGAAAACAGAACCGTTGCGACGGTCTTGGTTTGGGCATGATGTAAGACACGTTTAAGAGGACTAATATGTGGAGTGATTAATTCATTGAAATTAACATAAATGGCAACAGCTTTAACTTTTACCCGAGGACCGCAGGTGGGATCCCGCTTCGGCCCCTTCGTCTCTCGATCCCAGTGGCCGACATAAATAATTAAAGTTAATTGCCGCCGCTGCCTCTTAATGATGCAACCAAGCATCAAACGAGCCACAGAGAAAAAGAGAGAGAGAGAGAGAGAGACCTCCGCTGACCCCAGACTCGGTTTCAGCCATAACTCCAGCTACAAGCAAGCCCCAAGCCCCTACTCTCCCTACTCCCTTTTCCTCTGACTCTGAGAAAGCAAGAAACTCGTTTTGATGAAAATGGAAATGAAATTAAACGGAACCCTCGCCCAGGGGTCGTCACAGGCGACAAACGAGAGCGATAAAGGTGAATTTTTTTTAATTAAACAAATACGAAATAGAAATATAAACCCACTTGACGGGGTCAGGAAAGGGTCGGGTAGTGGGGAGTGCATGGGGGATCCACCGAACCACAGAGAAATGCCATTTTCACCTGATTTTCTGGCTGTGGCTAATGCAGTCATTTAGAGGGTAGGTTGAATGGTTAAATGACGGTCTAAAGGTGCAGAAAATGCCAAACGAGAGACGAGTAATGGACAAAGAAAAGTGTGGCTAATGGAATGAATAAAAGGATTAGTCCAGGGCACAAAAACAAAAGGCATTGAAAGGATAAGGTACATCTGTAGAACGGTAGAGTTTTTTACTTACATATAAGAGAATATTACCAGCACTGCGGGTGTCTGCTCAAGAGAGGTGTCCCTGCATGTTGTCCCCTGCAGATAATAAATGGCATAACACTACAAAGAAAACTGTCAACATTTCGACTGCCAAATTATTCCATTATGACATCTGCAATCCAAAGCACAGATAACCCAGAACGGGGCTACACACTTGGCCCCAAAAGATATACAATTCTATCTTAAGCATTCTAATCTTATCTTATCTTTGAGTACAGCCATGAGTAATGGTGCAGTGGAAGAGAACGGGTTTCCAGTGGGAGACACACAGAGTGGAGAATCCAATCTAATAAAAGTTCTGAATTAATTAGAAGACCATAAAGGGGGGCTCTTCACCATCGTCTTCGCCTGCCCCTTGCCGCTGACACCAATTCATCCATCTGTCTGTCTAATTTGGGCGGGTCTGACTAGCAATTCCCGCCCCTTCCTCGGGGGAGCCGCCTTTGATAATTAATAACAAAAGACAAGTTTTTTCGGTTTTTCTCTTGGCTAGATTCTAGGCCAGACGAGAGCAAAACAAAACCCGGCAAAACGCACAGAGAGACAGGAAAAAAAACAAAGGGACAAGGGGATAAGGGGAGTGGGAGAGAGCTTTGGGTGAGGCTTGGACGAAGGGCTGTGGGGTGGGACTACGAGCTGTAGGGAGAGGGTTGGGATTGCCTAAGGGCTTTAGGGGTTGGACTGTGTAGGGGTAGCACTAAAAGCTGACATTGCAAAGCCAAAGGCAAAAACAAAGCTCGCGCGTTCAACATTTCTTCTGCCTCCCTCCCTCCCTCTGCCAGACACAGCTGTGGGGTCGGGCCAGGAGCAGGAGGCGCAACATAAAAATCAAATGAAATTTATTGATTTTTTCTTTTCGTACACGGCATGCGAAGGCCCAACCAGTGCCAAAAATGAGAGCAAAACAGAGAGCAAGCAAAGTCAAGGAAATGGCCAATAAAAAGTCATTTGCAAACAAAAACACGAAAATCAGACCCAGAAAGTGTGAAGAACCGAGGATACCCTTTCTCCAGAGAAGATCAGGCCGATCAAACATCTTTCCAGAGAGGACTCTTTCTCGCTCTTAGTCAAATTTATTCCTGATCAAAGATCTCTCTTTCCCTCGCTCCCACTATCAGTAACAGTAACAACAGTAGAGCGTCCACTGCAGACAGAAAGAGAGACAAAAAGTCAATGCACGAAGAGCATGCGGAAGAGCTGTGAAAGAGAACCCATGCAAGACGAAGCAACAACAACAACAATACCAACAATGAGGAGAAGGTGGGGTTTGGATGAGAACCAAAGGCAACACAAGAAGCAAAAGAAGCAAAAGCAGACGCAGTGCCATGTAAAATGTCAGTCCAAGTTAACGGGACACCACGCGGCGGCTAAGACACGCAACAAAAACAAATGTTTGATCTGTTGTCATGTGCGAAAGGGAGGTGGAGGGCGAGGGGGAAGCAAGGCGCCAGTAGCAGCAGCCGCAGCAGGTGCCGGGTGCCTTCGCCAAGGTTGCGACTTGGGACAGAATATGTCCCATTCAACCCCCATACAACCCGGTCGCGTGTCGGAGGGAAGAGTGGGGGAAGTCTAACAACAAATTTGAGTGCTTTCCTTCTCCGTAGCACCGTTACATTTCCACCCGTTTCACTTACCCCCGCGCAATCCACCTGCTGGAATGACTCCTTCTCTTTCCCACTGCTGCTCTTCCGATTCGTTGGATTCTTCAACTTTGCCAGCACCTTCTCTTCTGCTACCAAATTTATGTTAAACACTCTCTTTCGCCGCTTGCTGCTTCTGTGTTTCTTTGTTGTTTTATTTACTGGTTTCAAATATTTGTGATTATTATTTTATGTTAGTTTTTTTCCGGATTGATTTAAAGCCGCACGCTTCGTTTCGATTCGATTTGAGAGATGTGGAATTTACGCGAGAATTCACGCTGCTGATAATTCGTAATTTTTGGCCATTTATTCGATTTGCATTTCTCTTTCGCACCTTCACAGCTGATTGCGGCCCCTTGCTGCTGCTGCTGTTTTGTTGTTGTTGCTGATGGTGTTGTGCCACTCTTCACACTCGCACAACAATGCACAGACACTATCACACACACACACACTCACACACACATGGGCACGGCACGCACACACTAACACACACCTGCGCGCGTAGAGGTGGTGTGCTCGTCGGCTCGTCGGCGGACTCTTCACGTATTTTTTTGGATGGAAGAGAAATGCAGCGCGGTCACTTCCAACTTCCAACATCCAACACTTTCAACGGCCAAAATTCGAATGGGGCGGCAAGGCCGTGGGTTTCCTATACGCGCCAGCGAACGACAACATGTTGTCTACGAGTCGTTACAGACACCACATAACAGAGCTGGTTTCTGGAATCGCCTTTAGTGACTACAGCAACGTTGGCTTACAACCCGCACGCTGCAGCATGTTCGAAGCGAACTCAGGTTCGATTGGGGGTGTGGGTTACTTCTTTCTCTGTGATAAAAATTCACTGATAAGAGACACAGACGGAGCGTTTGTCGTGGTGGTTCTTGCTGTTGAAGGGGGACCTGCGAATGACAAATGTGCCCCTATACGACAGCCATTACTTGTGGCTGCCAGGCAATTGTTTGGGAGCGAAACGGCGAGCGTCAATGGCAACGGAAGGAGATTGTAGGGCTACTTATGTTTGATTGCCCAAAAAAGAGATTGAAGCTGTAAATATTTCCATGGAATTTCTTTTAATGTCACTACCATCTTCTTTGGTTAGCCTTTTTTCCACTTTATTTCTAACACGCTCATCACTATGGCAACATCGAACCAAACTTGTTTTGGTGATTTTTTGCCGGTTTCCAGCTCGAACACGCACATGTTGGCCGCTACACTTGTCGGTCGAACCCCTCTGGCATGCACGTGGCTCATTTGCATTTGCATTTTCTGATTTTGTTGTTGTTGTTGCTGCTGCTGTTGTGGTTGCAAGGCATTGTTGCAGACGGTTTTTGTTGAATATGGATATGGCTTAAGGCGGTTTCTGCAGAGGGTTTCAGGCGGTTTTAGTCGCTACTTTATGGCTTTTTTTCGAACATTCCCCATTTCCTAAGACCTCTGCCAATGAACATTGACCCTGTCATACTGCATTTCCCATTAACTTTCGTCTGTCGACTGTCTGTCCAAAGTGCCGAAAATCGACAGCAAAATTTACTTCTTTCGACACCTTTCCGAAACAGTGTTTCCAATTGCTCTCCCTTCGCACAACCAAACTCCTCGCAATGGCTCTTTCAATTGAAACATCGCCAAGAAAATATGAGTGGAGAGAGAGGGAGGCAGACGGGGCAGAAGAGAGATGACACCAATCAACTTTTCTTCTGCTGCATTTTTCTTTTTACGCATCGCAAAAGTTTTCTGTTTTCTGTTTTCTTGGCGACGAAACTCGTTTTCTCCGGTTTTCGCCATCAATAAACCCAATTTTCTGTGGGTTCAGATGCATTCTCATACAGCCTCATGTCTGTGTATATAAGGAAGATATTCCGTATAAAATTTGGTACTTTGGAGGCTATTGATATGAGGGGATATACGAGTGCAACTGTAGGAATAGTTATGGAATAATTATCTTATATTTTTTGGCTTATCTAAGAATCCCTAATGGGGATGTTGCAACTGGGGTGGTACACACCCCAACAACTATCAGCATTCCCCTAGAAAAACCAATGAATTCCCAATCAAAAGACGACTTTTTACATCAAAATTGAGGATAAACCTTTGGTAAATTTTGTCACAAATCTCCCAGTGCCCTGAGTATCTTTCGCTTTTTTCCCTATTTTGAATATAGAATACCTGCCACCTGTACGTTGCATTGGCTTCATTTGTGGACTGTTTTCGTTGGCGCTGCCAATTTGCCGACCAATTGAAAATGCACTGCACGCCTCAGACAAAAACTCATTTGCAACACTTCACGCAACGCCGGCGATTTCGATTTAGCCAAGATCAAGGGCGATAATGCCCGCAGCAGCAGCAGCAGCACTACACGGGGGCTTGGGGCTGCAAGATGGGGGCTACAGGGGGAGGCGGGAGAGCGGGAGCTGTAGCTGGATCTGAGTTTTGTTGTATGTACGGGATGGGACAGACATTGCATTGCGTGCAACAACGTGCTGCAGATATAAATAGCCGGCAGCCAGAGCAGCTTGCAACTTACAACTTGCCCCCTTATCCAGGCAGGCTGATCTTTACGCACAGGAGGCACCACCACCAGCAGCAGCAGCAGCAACAGCAGCCTCACCATCAGCAACAGCAGCAACAACTTGCAACTACAGCAACAACAACATTCCATTCGACATTTAATTAACGATCGCGATTGCAATCAATGCAGGGCTCTCCTCTGCTGCTTACAGGTACCCCCATTCCATAACATTCAATCCCATCCCATCCCAGAGATTGGTGAATGAGTTGGCGGTGGTTCTGGTACTTCTGGCGGTGGTTCTCGTGGCTGCTCTTCTGGCTGTTGCGGTGGCCTGTTAGCCGGAGCTAAGCTGACAAATACTGTAATTAATTTTAATTGCAGCGATTGGCGCTCGCTTTCCGTCTCATTAAAGATTTAACTCTGGCCCAATGCTAGATTTTTATATTATGATAAACCCGCGGGGATCTTCAATTTAAAGTATGCCTCTGCGGCATGCCCATGCCCCCCATCCAGCCATCCAGCCATCCATTCTATCCGTCCGCGTCTGTCTCTGAGCACAGACCATTCCTCTTGCCATTCCTGGTACGTGTTTTTGTCCCTAATTGCAGAAAATGTCGCGTGGCAAAGATTTTCTCGCCTTTCCATCAAAGCGAACGCATCCAGAACGGGGCGGAGCACGAAAACAAGAAATAATCACATATACGCAACAATCGATATTTCGACTATGGGATAACCGATTGTTGGGTGTATTTTTGGTAGAGCAGAAAGGAAAAGGTCGGAGAATGCTGATAAAAACAAGGAATATTAATGTTTTGTTTTAAATTATATATCGATACATTTTCGGATCTTAATTAATTTTTCTGGAGGGGTGGCCACTGTTGTAGCCCTACTAACCCCTCTCTACGTACCAAAGGATTCTAATGTTCATCCGAACAGAAATCTGTTCATTCTAATCAAGAGCCCAGCATACCCCCATCCACTGTACGACTTTCGGGGGTATCATAAATACATATGTACGTACATACTCGTGTACATGTTTCAATATTTTTGCATACACTTGCACTTTGGCCAAATGGAGTGGAGCAAAGTGCAAAATGGGAATAACAATTTTCTTTCATTTCGTCATGGTGGGCCACGGGTTGCACTGAGGGTATGGCGCCCGCCCCCCCATTAGAGGCTCAAGTGGAATAATCATATAAAAAATACTTTTCGTTTGCAGTTCATTGAATGAGCACAAATCCAATTAGATGTTGACTTGGCATCAAAAACGACCCCTATACCCTGCATCCCATACCCCTAGACTCACACACAGGCACACACAGCCACACACAAAAATGGAAAGCAAAGTGAGACCCAAAAAATTGTTGCATACTTTGCAACGTTTCGGCGGCAGGGAGGGTCAAAAAATGTTCTTTAAGTCAATTTCCATGCCACAACTTTTGACTTTGCTTCATTTTTCGTCTGTGTGTGAATGTGTATCTGTGTGCAGGACAGTACCTATGTATATGTGCCAGTTTTAAGGGAGTTCCGGCCCTGGCAATTCCTTTTTGACACACACAACTACATACATACATACATACATATGCATGCATGCACATAGCTTTCTGGTAGTTTATGCCGCATTGCTGATTATTGATTTTGCCACCAATTAAAATGCAAGCAAAAACAACATGCCACAAGGCAAAGTTTGTCTTTTCGGGGGATTAAAGTATCTCCGAGTGTGTGGCCTTAATTTGCATTAAGTACTCTACGACAGCCCAAAGTAAGGGGACTAACAAATGATACCACTCGTACATAGTTCAAAGGTCGAAATGGTATGGAATTGTAACTTTAAAGTCAAATCAATTATCGCTATAGTGGAGAGAGCCTTAGAGAGGCTACACATCATAAAGGGATTTAAATATAATACATTAATTAGGGTTATACTTCACTTTTGAGCAGCTTTAAACTCAAAGAACGGTTCAATACTTTTCCCCAGTAAAGTTCCCCTCCCCCCTCCCTTCAGAGAACAACCATCCGCTGGGTAAATCATCCCAGGAATACTGGTAATCGTTATCCGATTCACATCCAATTAAGCCGCTCATTGAAGCACAAACGTCAAGGCATTTTATATTTCATTTTATATTCAAAATTAAATATTAACCGTAGAAATATGGCCAGACATGACGGGTAATTAATCAATATAATATCAATATGATTACCGATATTATCGGCGGGCTGTGCCGCAGACGACGGGAATTAACATAAACTGTCACTGTCATAAAAAGTGTCGGGAAAATGGAAAAAGTTCCGGAACGCAAAAAAACTTTTCCACACACACAATTAAGATGCCATAAACACATGATGGGCGGGCAAGCGGATAGTCGTGGCACGGAACTCTGGCAGGTAGGTAGGTGGGTTGCCAGCAGGCTTTTTGGTGCCGTGCCGCAGCCAGGAGGAATCGTAAAAAATGCTGCCAGCCAGCCAGCCAAAAAGTTGCAAAGTGCAATTTGAAAAACAGTAAATAAGTCGCGGGGCAGGAAGTAGATGGGATTCACTGGGGAAGTCACGTATCTGCCGCAGAAGTCACGGAAGTATTTTCGCATACGAGTCCTGGCCTCCAGGATCTACATATCCGTGCGGGTATACGGACGGATGGATGTATGTAGAGGCGGAGGCAATGACATGACTTGGCAGCAATTTCTATTCCACACCCGCACCCTTTACCCCTTCCACTCACACTGCCACACTGCCACACAACTCTGACAAATGGCCAAAAAGGAACGACGGAACGGGGCGATGTGGCGGTGGCAGGAGGCGTGGCTGTACAGGTGTTTTGCGGTAATCGGGGATGACGGGAAGGAGATGTACGGTACATTCGCCTCGAAGGTGCAGCTGAGAATGACGAAAATTTATGATATTTTCCGACTCCGACTCCGAGGGGCTTTGCTCTTTATTGAATCGCAACGAGGGGCGCGGCTGATGGTACGATTTGTAACCAAACGAAATTGAAATACCTTCCAGTGTGAAGGGGGGAGGAGTAGCGACAGGGAATGGCAGAGAGAGGAGAGGTTAAGGTTTGGTGTTCGGTTAGGTTCAAGTCAAGTTGAGGAATGTTAAAGCTAAAGTCAACCGAAAATTGGATTCGATTGAATGTAGGAAGGTTTAGTGTTAAGTGCGTTCCATAAAAGTAAAGTGAGGCTGAGGTTGGAGTAAGCTGCTGGGGATTCAGTGTCGTGACCATTAAACTGTGATCCATTAGCCCCAAAGAGCGCGCTTCAAGGCAAATCCCATTGAAGGTCAAAAGCTGCTTTCACCGCGATGGGATATCTCTTTGCACCTCCCATGGCCATTCAATTGAGTTGTTTGTCGGCTCCCACGGTGCCCACGCGGCAGGAACAGCTTATGAACACCCACACAGATAAGCACCCACACAGATAGCACACACACGTACACACCCACACAGTTGCAAATACACCCCTGACATTCTGATGCAGGTGGAAGGCTACAAAGTTGTGCTGCAATGTCCTTGCCATGCCACCGCAATCATAATTAGTATCCTGTGAAGACATGTGTGCGTGATGCATGTTATGCTCCTGTTGCCACAACACACACACAAACACACACACATTGTCGTGTGCCACACAGGGCAGGTGGCTTTGTTAGCCAGTGATATATTGGCATTTAAGCCAGGCCGAGAGTGAAGACTACAGAAAGCCCACTGCCACTGCCACTGGCGTATCCTGTGCTTTAAAGGACACTGAATGAATAATGCCAACCAATTTGCGTAGACGACAGGCGACGAGCGAGGGTCCTGCGACCTGGCCAAGGACTTCATTAAACTGGAAAAAAAGAATTAGAGCACATACCAAAAGGCTGAGGAGCTTAACGGCAGCTTAGACCCCAATTAAAACGAATCCCAATGGCAGGACGGCAGAGGGGGGACAGGAGACAGGAGACACTTGAAAGGAAAACCAAACTGAAGAAAAAGACAAACATTTTCACGCTGCCAGACAACAACAATCATCCACTCCAGCGGGATGGGATGGAAGCTCTCTCTCTCTCTCTCTCTCGCTCTCTATGTGCGCTCTGCTACTCCGATGATGACCATAAAACACCTTGGCTAATTTCCGCAAATTGTTACAGCTGACGAGTGAGAATGAATGGCCGCAAACGAGTGAGCAAATGATTAAGGAGACCAAAATTAATGGAGGAGCAACGAAGAGGAAGGAAAACGTACATGAAAGAAGAGCAGAATGGATATCCAGGCTAATGCTTCCACTTGAGTGCAGAAAAAAACAGACAACTCTGTGGGGAAGATATTTGAGCAACAAATCGTATTATATCCCCTGCTTATGTGTGAGTCCTGTGTCTAGTTCTCGAATCTGGAGCAAATCTGATGGGATTATGGGTATATGGAAGATATAACCGAAAAGAAGAGAAGGACTTCTATGTTGAGGCACTCGTGATCGAAGGCTATAGATTCGAACGTTCCCCTACTGATAGTTGGGAAAGGTTCATTAAGAAACAGCAGTCCTCGTTGTGGCTGTTTGTGGCACATACGCTGTTTCACAGCTGTCTGGCACAGTTCACGTCTCCCTAGTGGAATCTCCGGTTGTGGCTCCTTTCCTTTCTGGCTGAGGCTTTTCCCAATTAACAGCAGCAGCATCACAACAAGCAGCTTTGCCACAACTCTCTTCTGGGAAATGCATTTAAGAGTGGCAAAGACTTTCTTGCGTCTCTCATGCCGCACATCAATTCGATAACCTCTACGGCTATGGTTTTATCCACTTTAAGTCCTTCCACATTCTCCCAAAAGGGGGAATCCACTGCTTGGGAGAGGACAGGAAGAGGGACTCTCTGTCACCATAAATTTGCAGCGCCAAAGTGATAATGAAAGTGTTTCCTTCCGTTTTGGCCAAACAATGTGCCAAGAAGAGGAGACACATGGCGAGAGAAAACCCCCCCGAGGACGAAAGAGAGAAAAGAAGGAAGGATATGCGAACGGTTCGACACTCTTAAAGTGTTCTCTCTTCGGTGGGTTTCAATTCAGTTTTAAAATCTACTTCATTAAGTGTTTTCTTATACCGGAAAATTAATTTGAAAACAAAGTTCGCCTGTTGGATACCATCGAAACACACTCTATAGAAAACTTCCTTCATTTTCTGAGGTAGAATTTTGGACAGTAATCTATATTTCCCATGAAATTCAAAGCGGAGTTACGAATTATTAAAATGGTGGATGCCCCTGTGTTTTTTTCTTAAAGGTTCTTTCCACGCATACAATAGGTGCATATACCCTTTTTTTTATCCTTCCTTCGAAGTCAACGCAACTTGGTTACCTTGGCTTTTCCTTCCGTCCGACAGCACCCTTTCTTACCTCACTGCCTCCTACTTTTCCACTGTTTCCATCCATTCATCTTTCAACTCGGCGCACTCCGCTGCGCTCCGTCGCCTTCTGGCTACCACTTGGCTTGTTTATTGTTTTCCGCTCAGCGAGAAATTCAATTTCGGTGGCAAACACAAACACAAACACACAAACAAAAGCCAAGAAGCAGGAATCCAGGAAAGCAAGAAAACACACGGCCAAGCCAAGCAAATGAAACGCAGCAATTGCTCCAATTGCATTTGGCTTTCGCTGCAAGTCCCCGCTCTGGATTTATGTTTGCCGCAGGGTGTGGCATGGGGGGGTGGTCATCACATCCGAAGACTCGTTTAATTGTGCGCTTAAACCGAGACTCCGGACAGACTCTTGTTAAAAACAATTAAAGCCCTACTACGTCTTCTTCATCATCCAAGGCTTAGGTCCAGCGGAAGAAAAACAATCGCGAGGAAATTTCTCCTTTTTCCTTTTCCCTTCAGCTGCGCCTTCTTCGTTTTCGTTCGCCGGCCAAAAGTTGCAAGTCCAAAATGACCGACTGTCCACGGGGAACTGTTGAAGCGTGGCCAAAGGAGCAGCAGGAGCGAAGCAGGATGGCATGGGACGGAGTGGCATGCACCGAAGCACTTTACACAAAATGGCTTCCAGCCAGTTTTAAGTTTTGTTTGTTCGCCCCAGCCCTCGCCCCCACACCACTGCAGTGGTGCCCAAAAAACGGCAGCAGCCAAAATGTTGCTTTTGTTGCAGGCATGACACTCCGGGACCCTGTAACTCCTGTGTACATTCTCTTAGTTAGGAAGAGCCAGAGATAGCATCCACAGTTTCAAAGATTAAGTCTTCAAATTTCAAAGAGTCATGTGCAGAGAAATTATCCTCCCAAACAATCTCCCAAATTATATGCAGATGAGATAGGTATTTAATGCAGTTTTCTTTTAAGTCTTTTCTACTCCCCAGCTTCAGTAATGGGAATCTGAGAGTCGATTCCTTTTCATTTTTGTTCGTTTTTGGGCAAGTCCAGTCCGTTAACAGGGGAACGGAAAGCGGGAGGGGGCCCATAAAATGAGGAAACTATGACAAAAGATTGCAGTGGCAAAAGTTTGGGGCAACGTTAATTAATTTTGCGTGCGTTGAAGCCTGAATTTCGGGCGGAGCATCCAGAGGTCAGGTCAATTGGCAGCCCATGACCCATCCACTTTATGGTGCATTAATGAAGTGCACTAAGACGGAGATTTTAGGGTCCGTTCCCAGTATACGCAGTATACATTAAAATTTACTTTTCTTGGCTATTTGTCAGTGTGCCCAAAAGAATGGAAAACCTGAAATTATTAATGAATAATGAGTAAATATTAGAGACCCCCAGTTGAATCTCAAGTAGAGTGAGTTCATTTTTTTTGGGATCTGGATGGTTCTGGTAGTTCCTAAACGATTGTTTATGCCTTACATAAGATCCAAAGCCAATCTCTGCAGAACGAATTGACTTTACCTCCCACTCCTACACCACATTTCAAGAGCTCGGGTGCTCGACAAAGTTCCCCTTCAATAACCGCACTCAAAACATGAAATGTAACTAAAGTTTCAACCATAAGATATCCTTCACTTCACTCTATAAATAATGTTTCAGATAAGTTGCTGCTGTGGGGTTTACTTTTGGCGCTCGCCCAGGCGCAGATACTTAACGAGCTGCTGCTGCACAGATACATCGCGGGACGGCATGGGGAAGCGCCTGGGAGCCTGATCTGCCATCCCCCATTGATGTTGGCCTTTCAGGCGCTATTTCTCTTGTCGGATGGACGCACACGCGAGCAGATGAACGGCAAATGGAGGGGGCGCCCGGAGGGAGGCATATCCGGGGAATGGCCCAAGGTGGCCGGATTCAGAAGCCTCCTGGTCAGGCCCATGGATATCCCCGACTCAGCACGCAGTGCGGTGAAAACGGTGAGCGATTTGGAGATGATGGATTTCGAGTATCCGGGCACGAGTCTGTTTGACATCAATCAACGACTGGAGGTCTTCACGAGTCCCCTGGTGGAGAGTCTGGTGAAGAAGCGCCATCTGAGTAAGCACACCCAGATGATATCGATTAGTGCCGGCGCCGTTGAGGGCTACTGGGAAAGTGCCTTTCCCAGGGAGAACACCCGATTCCGGCGCTTTCACAGCCAACTGGACAGCGAGGGACGCGGACGCACTGTGGCCATTCCCACCATGCACCAGGTGGGATTGCACTACTCCTACGCCAAGCTGGAAGACGGAGAGATGCTCCTCGTGCCGCTGGCTGGCAATACCAACGTCAAGTTCATGATCCTCTTGAGCTCCATTTATTTTAGGGATGGTAAGCCCCACAGATACATCATTCCCCGACACAACAACCTCACGGAGCTCCTGCGCCTCGGAAAGCAGCAGCTGGTGGAGTTGCAGCTGCCGAAAATGCAGTTCTCCTACGCTGTGGAGCTCGTGCCTCATATACTCAACGATTTGGGGTTACCCGATCTGCACAGCGATGCGGCCAGCTTCGGCAGACTCTCGAACGACTCGAAGCTGCGGCTTTCGAGCATGATGCACACCGCCGCCATCGACTTGGACGAGAGCGGGATCAACGTGGTGAAGCAGAGTCATCATGGAAAAAAAGGTGGGTTCATTCAACTACAAAAAGAAATGATTTAATCATTGCCCTTTTGATTGCAGGAATAGTGCAAGAATTGTCCAAGGATAATGGTGTGAAGTTCTTTGCGGATCGACCCTTTTTCTTTGCCATACTCGACCAGCAGCAGGTTTACTTTACAGGCGAGTTCTGGGATCCCTGAGCATTAAAGAAAGTCATGTCAAAATGTGCCACAAGTCCATTATCTTTACCCGGTGCTCCACTGCTGGGGTAACTCTTAATTTCCGACTCCTGTTGCAGAGCTCTGGCTCCGGGAAGGGCGCTGGACTCTGCACTGTGACCATTAGGAATGTGTAATTAAGCTGCCTCAAATTTCACTTCCCTTCTGCCCCCGACACTTGCTATGCTAATGACCAGAGTCAGATGCTGTTGGGGCGAATTCGGTACCGATTCCTGACAGCGATAAAAATGTTTCGCTTTCCCTTACCGAACGACCCTTCCCCCGCTCGTTGATGGCATGTTTAGTCAGCGGCTTATGCGGCGTATGCGCAATGTTATCGCAAGTTCCTGTTGACCAGAATACGAGCAAGAGGAGTTTGTCCCAAAGTCAAGGGGCGCTCTCGTCTGCATGAATTGATTGACACGGGAAGCGGCAACAACAGCAACAGCAACAGAAACAGCAGCAGCGGCAACAGCCACACAAAATGTGACTGCAAACAACTTTATTTGCGAGAAGTGGCATTCATGAAATATTCATGCAGGCAAAAAAATACAGAACAAAACCCCTGCCACATGCTGTCAGGAGTTGGAGGAGACAGCTCCTACAGAACTGTCAGGGCCTGAGAGGCTATAGAATTTATTGTGGCACCAGGCAGAGTGGAGTGGATGGAAATTGAAGGCTGCTTCAGGCAAGTGTTGCAGCTTTTTATTGTCGATGGGAATGAGTGTGTCTATCGCATGCGTCTAATCGATATTTAGGTTCTGATTGGAATCAAATTATAGATAGATAAAAGTTCACTTTAATCGCTCCTTAACGTTACATGGTTCGAAAAGCAATTTCTCAAATCTATATTTATCGAAGGAAGACTTTGCCTTATTTTTAGTTTCCTTTTTCTTGGAAAAATTCAATTTTTCCAAACTTGAAGTGTTATTTTTTGAGAATTCCTTTATTCCTTTACATAAATTGTTCCGGATGTTTTTTGTGTACCTTGAACCTTTTTCCATCGCCTTATCCCATTTCAATCTCCTCTGGTCTCTTCTGTGCACGACTGCCTGCTTCCTACGGACAAACCATTTATTTGGTTAGCTTGGGATTGACCCACATTTGACACAGCTTAAGTTTCTCCATTCCCATATACGAACATGCTATGTTTGTCCACGCTGATAGTCCAGGCTAACAGACCCACCTCACCTCACGACCCTGAGTAGGGGACCAGTAGAAGCAGCATCAAGCAGTACCAGCCACCAGCCAGCCCCAGCAGCATGAAGCCCAAGCAGAGGCAAACTTTAAAAGCGTCCAAGCCAATGGCATCGATGTCGTCTGGCACTACACAAACTATAAATTGGCTTAAGCCCCCAGACAGCCAGCCAGGCAGGCAGGCAGTCAGCCGGCGACCAGTTTTGGAGTGTGTTCCCATTCTCGATTCCATCCAAAAAGAGTAGAAGGAGAAAGAGGATCATGGATGTAGATTGGAGGATAGAGAATGGAGGATGGCGGTGGTGCACAACGTTTGACACTTTTGAACTTTGATGTACGGCATTCAATCTCTTATTCGGGTCGGGGGCACTCAATCGGCTGGCTGGCAGAAAAGTTTCTTTGTGGCTTGTCATGTTTTCCATTTGATTTGCAATGATTTTTGCTAATTTTCCATGGCATTCACTTTGACAACATTGCGTCTACCTCTGCCTCTGCCTCTGCTGCTGCTGCTAAGATTCCCACGACAGCTTTGCGACTTGTTCATCGTCATCGCCATCGTCATTGACTTTTACCCGATGCCCGCCGATACCGATGCGAACCTGTTTTCCCATTTCCATTTCGCTTCTTTGGCCAGCTCTTCTGCTGCATAGATTACAAGTGGAAATTTTTTAAGTGCCCTCCAAGCCAAAGTTATTATTATGATTAGGATGAAATTAGTTTTTTTCCGATGAAAACTTTTTCGTCGGTGATTTTTCATTTCGCACAGGGAAAAGCGAAATATGGAAACTTTTACTTGCAGTGAAAATCATGGACATGGTCGATAGTTTCTATAGTCCATCAAAAAACCCCTCCCCACGTCCACGGTGGCTCCTTTTGGGGTTTTGATTCAGACGAATCGGGGAAAATCAAGCACCACTCGACTTCTGTTCATGCATTAATCATAACTCAAACTCAAACCGAAAGTCGAAACGGAAATTCGCATCCATCTTCATCATCATTAGGGGCATAAGGGGCAAACACAAAGCCGGCTTCCCGCAGCATTCTTTCGTGGCTCGGAAATTAAAAATTCATCTAGGGAATTTTCCTTTTCTTTCCTTCTTTTTGGTTTGATATTCGTTTTAAATGAATATTAATTGCGATTCCGATTGCGTTTGCGTTTGCGTTTGCTCCACTGGCGCCCATTGTAATTGGTCCTGGCCTCCATTTTGCCTCCAACTAATATACAAAGCAGCATTCAACACGGTTGGGGCAGGAACTCAATCAAGTCAAAGCCGCGGCATCGACAACCACCGCTTTTGATTCAATTAAATGCAGCAGGAGCCCGAATAAAGTGCCTGGAATCCCTCAATAGGATAGGGAAGCTCTTCACTCGAGGGTAGCGAATACACTGAGAGAAAAGCAAGCCAAGTTATGCATAAACACAAGCACGTTAGAGAGGGATGCAGGCAAATTCCAATAAACTCCGTTGGGCCCACTCACACTCACACACACACACACACACACTCCAATCTCACTCATCTAAATTGCGCTCTTTTGCGGTAAACAGAAATTTGAGGTTAAAAACGAATTTAGAATTAGAAAATCGTGCAGCAAACATAAATAAACAAGTATGTTGGCAATTTTCTTGAGTGCTGTTCATAGTCCTGTTTCTGGATTTCAGTTGAGTGTTTGCGGTGGCTGCCCTGCTGACTAACAAAGAGAAAAGCAAACCTACCAACAACTCGCTCTCTGAATAATGAAAATTGAATTATGTGCTAAATAAAACATCTCTTCTCCAGAAAGTTCCACCCCGCCCACAACCGCAGGAGCTACACGAGTAGAGATTTGCTCAATTTGCATTTTCCCTGGCCCCAATATTCAGTTGTACTTTTGCTTACAGCAAATTAGCAATTGATTGGATCTGCCGTGCTGATTGCCATCACGGTCGAATGCAATACCGAAGTACATACTACGCAAAATACTCCTTAAATTAAGCCATTTGCTGGTCAGCCCTGCCACGTGGCCTGTGGAAAGATCACATTCATTGTTTATTAAACTCTTACCTGGAAACAATTTGCACGCAAGTCGGCAATCCAAGTTGGCGGCGTCTCAAAAATATTCCACTCCACTGCAAGGCGGCGTGAAATGTTACGTACATGTCTTTCTATGTAATGAGATGTCTAAACCACATTAAGCGCACTTAATCAATCAACAAGCAGCACAATTGCATTACAATGAGCAAAATTTGGTACAACAACTCACGGGGCTGCGCTGCGTGATCTAACGCCGCCATGTGATCAGGACAGTGTTGGAAAATTTGCATGTCCTTCTATTCCCGACTGCAACTATCGATAAGCAATAACAAAGAATTGAAACAATTTTCTGTGAAACAGGTGCTTTATTTGGTATATTCATCACTAAGTGAGTCAGCTATAACATTTTTCACTTCTGACTCTTCATCAGTACTGACGTAGGAGTCTACGACAGCACCACCTGCGTTAGGACCCGGATCTGAATCGCTTGGATGCAACATACGTCCCAGGCCAGCATCAGCATCCTGTGGCGGAACATTACCTGCGGGAAGGAAACCCTCTTTTTGGTACCTTCGTTGCGGCGGGTCTGGCGGTGGCCCAACACCCGGTGGCCCGAAACCCGGAGGCCCGAAACCCGGTGGCCTGATACCCGGTGGCCCATAACCCTTTTTTTGGTACTTTCGTCGCGGCGGGTCTGGCGGTGGCCCAACACCCGGTGGCCCGAAACCCGGAGGCCCGAAACCCGGTGGCCTGATACCCTCTTTTTGGTACCTTCGTTGCGGCGGGTCTGGCGGTGGCCCAACACCCGGTGGCCCGAAATCCGGTGGGGTGGGTTCCTCATCGTCGTCGCCGATTTGACACACCTCCAGCTTCCTGCAAGCGCCATTATTCCTCACGATGAAGGCCTCTTGGCAGCCGCAGCCGCTGTTGCAGCGATGAAAGCACTCGGTACTCGGGACGCAGGTGCCGTGGCTGCAGTAATGGTAACAGTCGTAGTAGGTGATGCCATGGCAGGGAACTGCCATGTGGGAGCTCGCCAGCTGGATCAGCAGCAAGCAGAGAGCCACAAGGATGCAAGTCTTCATTGCGGCAGCAGCGAAGAGCGACAATAACTGAATCGAAAGCCGCATTCCCCAGAGCGTGACTCTCGGCCGGTGGCAATTGGAAATGCAATCTGGAACCGCATGTATCAAATCGATTGGCTTCTGCCCTTTATTTCCTATGCACTTAAGTAACAGCTTGATTCTCGGAAGGATCTCGACAATGTTTTTCCGCGAACACTCTTTGAAATCCGTCCTCAAGCCCTTGCGCGGCACTCCAGCTGCTCTCGGGATGAGGCAGCTGCCTGCCACGCTGAGGTAGACAACGTGTGAGTGAGGGATCCTGTGGATCTCAAGGCACTGCAGCGGATACAGCGCTGCCTGCGTATTGAAACGTCATAATTTAGCCAGCTCGTTGCATGTCGCCGCACATCTAGTCCCTTGGTGGCGGGCCACGTGGTCGGAGGACGCTCTCGAGCAGATTCGGACCGGGCTGGTTCTTGGGCCTGGGCGTCGGCGTCAGCGAGCGGGTGTGCGGGGGTGCTTCCTCCTTCTTGTGGACGGCAGAGGTGGCCGCACGGCGCAGGCGAATCTTCTCCTCCATTTTGCTCGGCACCATGAAGCAGTTGGACTCCTTGTAGACCGGCTTGCGGCGATCGTTCCAGGGGAATGTCCACTGAATGGGCGTGAAGTCGCGCCTCCATGGCTTCCTAGGCTTGAACCAGCAGTCGCAGGTCCAGTCCTCCTCGCCAGGAGCATCGTCATCGCTGAAAGAGGAGCTCAATTACCCCCAGGACTACAAAGGATTTAGGAATAACTACTTACCCACGCACATAGACGCGAACGTAACGCGAGGACTTGCGGAAGAGCTCGAGGGCCTCGTTAAAGGTCAAATCCAGCGCGGGTACATCGTTGATCTGAGTGATCTCATCGCCGACGCGCATTCCGCCGCGCTTGGCCAGGCCCGAGGGCGACACATTGATGATGGTCAGCGGCTCGAACTGGTCGTAGCCGCCCGACACCTCCATGCCCCACATGGCGTCGTAGAAGCTCATGATGCGGCAATCCGTCTCCAATGTGTACGTCATCTGGAGCTCGTACTCGACATTGTCGAACGCCTCCGAGTCGTACTTGGGCACCTTAATCTTTGAGTCGAACATTCTGATCTCAACAGTGGGTGATCTCTCCCTGGCAATGGAAACTGCAACTGAAGCTGCTGCAAGTAACAAGTGGATGTGGCACTGTCTCGCCCAGCGTCTAAGTTGTCTGACGTTGGTGGCCAGTGGATCGGTCGCATTTATAGCCGCTAATTGGGGCAATTTGGCAGCCTCCAACGCGATCTCTCGAAGGCCAATGTCATTGCGGTTTAATCGGTTTGCCAAGTGCAGTGGAAACCGTGTACGGATGGACACCTCTGGTGAGTGTACTCCCCGATCAAAAGTTCCGCTTTTTTCGGTTTGCCTTTTATTCGATTGAAGAATTCGCCTGCATTTTTATTTGGTTCCCACTGTGCCTTGAGGGGAAATCAATTCAATTGATTTACATTTAATTGTTGTCTATTTTTAGTGGCTGTGATTTTGGCTGACGGAAACAGCGGCTAACCCCAAAAGCAGCGCGAAGAGGAAGAACCCATGGCCGCATTTGGCCATTGAAAGTGGAGCCGCTGCGAGAGCCAAGGGAAACGAAAGCCAACCAAGTCCAGTTTCAGTTCCAGTTGCAGTTGCAGTTGCTCTTCACTCCGCTAAGCAGCTTCAGCAAGTGCTAACAACCTGTCCGTCCAATGCCAAGCGATTTGATTTCACTGACCTCAATTACAGCCGCCGCTGGCCAACAATGCAACTACGATGGACTGCAGCTTCTGCCTCTGCTCGCTCGCCTGCCGACTATTGAATTATTCATTTGGTCAGACCAAAATCAAACAAAAGTAGAAGAAAGACCAGCGACAAAAGTCCATAAAATGGTCTTGTGGCCAGCGACGAGGGAGAGCAGCGTCAAAATGGCAAATGGCAAATGGCAAACGGCAAGCAGTGACAACTCGCCTAATTACAACGAATCTTTGGCTCTGGAAGCTCTAGCCAGTCCACTCTAAGAGTGCTTGAACCAACACAAATCCCTGGCTACAAGAGTAGCTGATGCTGGGGGCTTATGCAACGGAACTCTGCACTCTGCACCCGGGGATTTGCATCACCGTGCGTGGCAAGCTTTTGTTTCCATGGAATTTCCAAGCAACAATAGAAAGGATTTGGAGCGGAGTGAGCGAGGCGACCATGGAATTGAGGCAATTACTTAGCAGGTGCCAGACAACAATTGGAAACAGCCACGAGCAGATTGTCTCGGCTTCATTTTATACTATCTCCACGTGGCTCACGCTCCAGACTAACATTGGCTTTATCGGACATTCAACAGTCACGAATTAGTTTCAATTTCACTATATAAACCGACGACAATGTTCAGTAAATTCCAAATCAATCATCATGAAGCTTCCACGTCTGTTTCGTGAGTATTCAAATATATACATATGTAGAACATGTAGAAATACTAGCCCTTACGATTTCAGTTCTCTGCGGCGCCCTGCTGATGGTTATGCCACTCTCCTGGGGCATAGATCCCAGATTCCTGGAGTACATAAAGAAACGTGTGACAAGCTAAAAGAACGTGCAGTGGGAATCAGGTGAATCAATTGGCTTCCAATAGAAGATTCCTAACTTTCTGACTTTATATTTTATTTAAAAAAATTATTTTTCCCGTTTAAAAAACAAAAGCATGTAAAATACACCGAATGGACGCCAGTTTTAAATGTCTTTTACTTTTTCAGAGTATCAAGAGTTCCAGCGCGACTTGCTGTGGGGAAATGAAACACTTTTTACGTTCATATTCGGTTTGCTGAGCCTCGCAAACTCCTGTTATGCTCTGGTGTTTTATTTGAAAATGTATTGTTTATTGTACACTTTAATCGTCAAAGCACTTCAGTTGGTTAAACTTTCGTTCCGTGGGTTTCAGCAGAGTGATAGCCGCCGAAAGCATTTGGACAATGCAGTCCGGCTTATTGTAGATCGCCTTCTTGGCGAATTCGTGCACGACTCGAATGTACTTGAGGAAGGAATTCAAGCCCCTGTCCAGCCTGGGACGGTAGTCGATGCACAAAACCATGATCTTCAGGGATGGTATGCTGTTTTCGATCAACAAGGAAGCGCCCTCGTTTATCGCCTGGAAGCAATTCAGGTACTTCTCAAAGTTAGCCGAAAGGGCCTGCACCTGACTCATGTGGCACAGCTAAAGGACGGATGGTTCGGATCGGATCGGATCAAGCGGAGGGGTACTAAGATTGCAATATACTCACAGCCATTAAGCTCAGTAACAAGGTGATCTTGATCAAATGCATTTGGGCTTTCTCTGTCTTCGTGCGTGCGGCTTGACGGCTCCAGACCCAACGTTTGAGCCATCAGCAGAACGTGCCCTATTTATAGGCCCCAGGATAATCCCATTCGCAATGCTCGCGGCCATCCCAAATACCAAATTTCAGGCTCCTGGAGCACATTCCCGACGGCATTACGTCATTAGCCATGATCCATAACGAATTCACCCCTAGCATAGCGACTTTGGTCTGTCCTTGAAAGGAAACCCATTTTTAATTGAGTTCACTTTAACCTTTTCGTTGCTTAAACTTAATCTTAAATTTAGTTTGGGAACAAAGAGTCATTTCCTTTTTTTTCCTTTAGATATTATTCCTCCGCTAAGAGTTCCGCACAGATTTTTTATAGAAAAAAACAATGAGATTTGATTGCTATTGTGGCATGCAAAGGCTCTGCTCTCGATTTATTGCAATTTAGGATATATTTATACATTTTATATCCTTTCTAGAAGATATAGTCTTTCTCCTCCAGGCATTGCAACTTCTCGATTTGTTCGGAATATGGTTTGATCAGATCCGTTGCCTGGGTCACTAGGAGCTTGAGGCACTTTGGCTTATCCAAGACCAGCTTCTTGAAGAACCGATAAAGGTTCTTGATGTACCACATCGCCGATTTTCGGTTGCCATCCTTCGGGGGAAGCGCCGTATAGAAGGAGCATATCTGCATCTCGTAGATCGCTGGAATGATGTTGCTGATGAGCTTGGCCACCGCCTCGACGCCCACCTGGCCGCACTTGCTCAGCTTGCTCCATTGGTCATTAATTTTGGCCTGTGCCTCGGCTTGCCTCGGGGCCAGACAGATCTGTGGATCGTTAGAGCCATCGGGAGCGTATTAATTAAAGTGTACAGAAATGGAGCTGAAAGTACTCACAGCCAAGAAGCACAGCAGGATGATCGACCTGAGCACGTTCATTCTTCGTTTCTGGTCAGTACAATATATGAAAAAGCGATTGTGATCGGACCCAGCTATGAAGTGTCTGACCGATCGGCTGTCCTATTTATAGAGCTCCAGACAACTGTATTCGTCAAGCTCCTGGCCATCGCTAAAGGCTCCCTTCGCACTTTAATGCATGAAATGCATTAGGCGTTAAATACGTGGATAGTATGCGGTTCCTGTCTCAATGCTTATGCAAGAGCTTAATCCGGGGATAAGCGATGGGGTCTGCCTTTGGCCTTTACGCTCTTTCCCCCCACACCCTCAGAGATGACTGGAAGGTCAAATCTTTCCAAGTATTCATATGATAATGCCATAGTAATTCGATGAAATATTAGGTTCAACAAGGCGTCATTTACGAGATGCATAAATCATATATTTCTAGGACTGCCAACATCTTTGTTAGTCATATCCTTAAATCAAATCACTGTAGAAAGAAACAGTTTGTCTATTTTGGCTTGCTTCGAATAGAGCAGGAGCTGGGCTCTCGGAATTTATTTCAATATTGAAAAACGTATTGAATATCTAGGATTCGATGCAGGACAGTTTGGCAAGTCTTTCAACGAATGGCCTTAGAACGTTGGCAGCTCCCTTTAGGGGGTCAAGCAGACAGCTATGTTTCTCGTAAACGGTGCTCTTCAGGAACTCGTAGAGGTTTCTCAGAGATTGGAGGTACCTTGATTCGGAGTTACGGATAGGCTCGAAGTCGACGCACAGATATAGGGTACGCACCGCGGGGACGGCGCCTCGCAGCAGTTTGGCCGAGGCTCTGGCGCCAAGATGGGCGCACTCCAGCCATTTGTCCCAGCTGTCGGTACTGGAATCAGCATCGTGGGCCATAGACAAGACCTGATTCGGATGATGGATTGTTCAGAAATTAGGGACATATCCATGGCTGATTTTCCGCGGCTTTACTTACAACGAACGCGCTCATCAATAGAGCGGCTTTGATCAGATTCATGTTGGGTTTTACTCTGTCCTGATGCTTTCGGCTAAACGGCTCCTGACCAAACGTTGCAGCCAGCCCCAGATCGTGCCCTATTTATAGGCCACAGGATAATCGCATTCGCAATGCTCGCTGCCCTTTCTAACAATTAATTTCACGCCTCCAAAGTGACACGTTGGATTTGCTTTGAATTCATAGTATTGGCTGTTACCAAAAGATCTTCGCTCCTTTTCAAATGAAATCTTTTTTATTACGAGTAGGTCAACACATTGGCGGCTTCACAAACAGATAGGAACATTGCAGGGAGCTCATCTTCTCCAAGTGCGGACCCAGGACGCTCGACAGCGACATGTAGGCATTCATCAGGCAGGGCAGCCGCTCGCCCATCAAGCTCTTATGGACGAACTGGTAGATGATCACCAGCAGCTGCACCTTATTCACTCGGGCAGTGCTGATCTTGGGCACATAGCCCACGCAATGCAGCAGCTCCTTCATCATGGGCATGATCTGGATGGAGAGACTCGCCGTCAGCTCCAAGCCAATCTCCACGCAACGCTCGACCTTGATCAGGTTGATCTTCTGCCCTGCAATGGGCCCGCAGAGCAGCAGCTAAAAGTAGGGGAAGAATCCTCTCTGGTAAATCTCATATATGTAGATACGAGTAGATGTGTCTAAGCACTTACAAGCAGACAGCTGAGGAGCAGTGCGACCTTCGCTCCGTGCATGCTGCGGGAAGTGTGTGAGAACTGTGCGGCGTTGTCACGGTTTGAGCTGCTTATATATGATCCAATGGACACGTAACGAGAGCAGCATGCTGCTCTTTTATTTGTTGTCTATAGGTCTTTGGGCATACAGGAGGGTGCCACGCCCAGGTACATGCATCTATAGATCTTCAGTCGCGAGAAATGCTGTCCCAATAGTTTCTTCACCGACTCGGCCACATCGAACAGGCACGAGGGATTCTGGACGAGCTCTCCCAGGAACTTGGAGGCCACCTCCTTGAATGTCCTGGTATCGAGTGCTGCCACATTTTTCGAAGTCGTGAAGCCGACGCACTCGAACAATGTCTTCACTATGGGCATGGTCCTGTTGGTGAGGTCTGAAGTCGCCTGGAGGATGATCTGAGCGCAGACGCCCATCTGCTTGAGGTTGTACGTCTGAGCATTCACCAATGTCTACAAATTGAGTGAATGATTGAAAGCTATCACTCCATTAAAGTATTTATTACCAAGAAGCAGCCGAGGATAAATGCGGTTTGTAAGCACTGCATGCTGGGAATTCTTTGCAAGAACTGTCTGGCTTTGTTCAACGCCATAGAACATATGGGACATGCATGAAAACCCATTTTATATGCTGCCATAACAGTCTTTAAGTCGCTCTGGGCAGGCAGCTTTGCGGAACACCAATGTAGCTGCACTGATAGTGGGAATAACTGCTCAAATGGGGCTCCAGAATGTCGGATACCGCATCGGTCATGTTCCACAGGCAGTCGGTGGCCATGGCCACGTGTTGCAGGAAACTGAAGCCCACTAGCATGAGCGTGGGTACATCGATGCTCTCTAAATCGACATTGGTCGTGATGTTGGTACACTTGACCATGTCTCTGAGCAGGGGCATGCCATGGCTTGCAACGGCGGAGGTGGCCTCCATAAAGATCCTCCAGCACATGCCCATGACGTCCAGGCTGTACTCCTGACCCCACAGAACGGGCACTACAGGCTGCCAACACAAAGAGTATCCATAATTACGAGCGTCTGAATATGGGATTGCCCCATTGATTCTCTCACCAACATGCAGCCAAGCAGCAGAATGATCTTCATGCTGGCCACTACCCCAGGGCACTAAAGTGAATGATGTTCATTTATAAAACTGTCGCCTGATAATACCCAAATCGATTTCATACGGTTGTTTATTTACTTTATATATAATGATAAGTGGGTGCGTGTCAAGAAAAGTTATGTACAAAATCAATCCTAGTTACTCAGGCACTTTAATTGAGAAAATGTTGTGGCGAAGGGATCTAGCAGATTTCTTAAGTCCTGGATGGTGTCCAACAGGCACTTCTGGTTGCCGACGATCTTCTGGATGAACTGATAGGCCAGCAACAGCATCGCCGTAGCATCCAGACCCTTTGTCTTCATGGGCTCGAACTTGGAGCAGGTTGCCAGGGATTTGATGGTGGGCACAATCTTCTGGCCAATGGCTGAAGCTACTTCGACACCCAGGTCAAAACACTTGCCCATCTTATGGATATCCATCCCCTCCTGGGCAACGGTTTGAACAACGGATCCCAGTAGCTGTAAATTCACATCTTTTAAGATGAAACTAGAAGTGCTTTGTCTCTTACGATCACTGAAAAGAAGAGGCATATGGCCTGGATGCACTTCATTCTTCTGGTAATCCCGACTAACTGAGAAGTATGCAATGCAATTTCCCTCTATATATAGCGTTAGAGGTTGAGCAAAGGCCAAGGCGATCAGGCAGTGCCCTGTAATAACTAAAATAAATATTTAATCGATGGTTTCCATGCTAAGTGAAAATGATTGAGGATGAATAAATGAAAAAATGATTTTTTATGCTAACGAATTAGAATTGGATTCCTGAAGAATCGATAAGCTTTATGCGGCTTGGGGAACTGTAATCCCCTACACGTGTCCATACATAAACAAATTGTTTCAGCTTCGACTTAACAATTCGATTTGGTTCTTCATGTAAAAGACACTAAAACACATTATGCAATGACAAGGAAATGAAAACCATTTGATAATTTACAGATTTTATTTAAAGCCGTTTTTATTTTATATTTGTTTAATAGTGATACGCCCTGGCATATATCGATTGGTTTGATTATACATACACATAGCATAGGTTTGTTTCCTTCTGTTTTCGGACTGTCCCCAACTACCGATCCCAACATTGCCGACACCACGCCTGGGCACCGCTTTGGTTCCGCTTTGATCTGTTAACTTTCGATACGGTGGCCGGCATTCATCGCATTTCGCATCGCGCCTCCTATCCAAATATGTATATCCGATGTACATATAGGGGTACGTATATATTTAGATAGATTTTGAAATGTATTTTATGTACTTTATATGCATATATAAGTGGAGCTGCTGTGGCTCGCCAACTCGCAAAGCCAGTAGATCGCTGGGTGGACCTTTGTGTGCCTTACAATTTGCTGGGCCAAGAGATACATATTGTTGGATATTACATAGATATCGTAACGTATATGCCCGTACAATGGTTATTGTAATTACAATTCTCTAATATGTTACAATTCGAAATTAATTCAATAGGTTAACAAATGTTACATTTCGCTACAATAAACACAAACTCAAGTTCAAACTCGGCTTCAATTCCAATTCCCAATCGAATACTTGATCCAATATCCAGCTTAACGAATGCTTAACGCTCTGTGTCCGAAGGACACAAAGGAAAGCGCTTCCATCGACAACATAGGGAGCCTCCGAACTTGTGATCCGGGCACAAGTGAAGCTCCTATTGCCTGCCATATTAAATATCATCCATTAACCCGACCTAAGCTCGTGCTCTAACCGAAAGCAGAATGCTGAATGCTGAATGCAGAATGCATGTGAAATTTCTTGTATAGCGTGTGAAAAGCAAAGTTTTAGTTTCTTATTGGGAAATGTACAGGTGGCCGTGGCGTACTACTCGTAATTTTAGATTTAAATTATTTTTTATCAAAACTACAATTGGTTTTGTTTCGTAATTTGTTGCTTGAAGCTTTGCAGGTGGTTCCGAGTGGGAGCATAGAGAAGCGACAAAACTGCTTTGTGGTTTTGTGGTTGTGTGTCATTTTGGGGGGAGAAGCCTTAAAGCGGTCAACACTTGATAATGTTATATGGCAACGTTTACATACACATATATATATAGAGCAGGGCCATTCAAGTGGTTCATAGCTCCTGTGTAAAATAGCTTCATATATGTCTGTATATATGTATTTGTATATATATATAGATCTAACAAGTAGTCGTTATGTTTATCGAGATTTCGCAATTTTGCTGAGCTTATGCCTCGCTTTTGCACGCCTATATCCTATATACTGTACGGTCTTTCGCTAACACACACACACATATTTATTTTGGTATAATATTTATCAGCAGCCTTCGATCGCCATGCCTTGACTTTTCTTTTCTTTTCCTTTCCTTTCCGTTAAAGGTTGAACAATACGCGATACAATAATATGCTTGAAAATTTGTGTATAAACAGCAAATATATAGGGTTTTATACAATAATAATTCTTTAAATATATATCTTTATGTATGTATGTATATATAGATATAGTTTGTCTGTGTGTTGCTGCATTAAAATGCATTGTAAGCATTGCATAATCGTCACATAATTGAATCGAAATAATCATATATGTAGTAGTATATAGTACTCTAACCGATCAACATAATATCACGTGGAAACCGAAATAAATTAACTGTTTAACTAACGACAAATATTTATACAATCGAAACGAACTAAAGCTATGTACACAAAAACCTCCAGAATACACGAAACTCAAGCAGATGTGTGAGGGTTCCGGAAGTGGGCTAACATCGCACGGAATGGGATGGGATGGGTTATGCTGCCTTCTACCACCTTCGGCCGGGGCCAACTAATTACAAAATACAATAATCCGTTTGCTGCTTTCTCTACTTAATAATTACGTACGCTTTGCATTTGGTTTGCTCTTTGCTTTTGCTTTTGCTCTACAATCTCTATATTGAAATCTCCTGCTATCCCGATGGAATCCTTTTAGCTTTTAATCGGTGGCCGGCTGCTGCTGCTGCTGCCGCCGCCGACCGATCAATCGGCTGGCCAGGCTCAAGCGCTGCAGCCAGCCATAGCCTGCGTTTCAGTAAACCAAAACGGACTCCATCGTGATCGTATCTCATTTGTTCGCACTGTTCGCGTTCGCGGCACTGCTGGCCTGGATCTGGGAGGCCGTCTGGCTGGCCGGCTCCAAGGTGCGTCGCGCCAGGCGGGATCTGTACGAGGGATAGTCACATTAGAAATGTCTCTTTAATTGGGCCCTTTAACCTGTGGCTCACCTGATCTGACCAGCCAGCAGAGGATTGATGGCATAGAGCCAGTCGTGCACTTCCTTGTCGCCGAGTGTCTGCAGCAGATAGCCACGATGCTTGGTCACCACACTGTAAAGAGTCCTTCGTTTAGATTACCAGTTTCCCCACTCGAAACACACATGAAAGCCCACCTGAAAGTGTTGGGTATCTTGACCATGGCTGCCTGATCCTCGCTGCACTCCACCTGGGCCGTGGCCAGATTGAGGACAGCCCGCTCAACGGGGTCCTTCTCCGAGCGATAGATAAACACATAAGGACGACGCACAGTCTGTAATGGAGATCTTTAGGATTAGGGATTCCCTAAAGACAAATTTAGATGACTTACCACCCAGCGTTTCTTCCAGCCAGAGCCGCCATGTTCCAGGACATTCAGAAGTCCCTTGCGGGCCACCACAGGGCTGACGCGAATCTCCTCTAGCTCCGGCACGTACAGCCGCAGCGGAAGGGCCGGCTGTGTGGCCGGGGCAGGGGCCTCCCATCCATTCGGGGCATCGGCCCGATCCGGCGAGCATAGCCTGCGGGCAAGAGGTGGAGCAAAAGTTAGCCAAAGGTCGCACTTGGGGGGTGGGGAGAATTGGGGGGTTGGGTTCTCTGGATAGAACGGAAAATTACCTGCGTCGAATTACAAATTTGTTGTCTCTAATTTGTGTAAAAGAAAACCAAAGGAAAACAAACAGATGTAAAGATTGGAGGATTGTTTTTGAGTCTCGAGTCGTTGAGAAAATAAATTGTGTGTTTTTGTTAGTTTTGCGCTTGAATGAATCAGATGGTTGGGGCGATATTATGTGAAACATAAGCTCTTGGGCAGATTGTGTGTTCAGTTAGTCGCGAATCGTATGATGCTTCGGGTGAGTCTGCTACTGTGGTTGCTGCTGCTGCTGCTGCCAGCTCTAGTTGTGGTCATGGAAATGTCCAAAGTGTTGGTGCATGAATCGATACCGGACCCGGATCGCGACAAGTACATTTGGAACCCGTTTCCGGGCTTCTGTGGCCCCAATGCCACCATGGTGCACTGTGGCGGCGTCTGCCCCGAGACCTGCCTCTTCCAATCGCTTTCGTGCCCCACCCACTGCGGTGTGCCCTGCCAATGCAAGCCCGGCTACGTGTTCGCGGAGTCTCAACTGCTGTGCATTCTACGCAGCGACTGTTCCCCGCACGACCAACAGCAAAAAGTGGCCACACATCGCGTGTTTCAATAGAAAGGAGGAGGGAGTCCCTAACGAGCTGCACAGAGTGCTCCTGTGACCTGCAAGCGATGAGTGATGCTTGACGATGGGTGGGTGGATTTATGGTGTGGTTGTGGGTGTTGTGCCAATTTTGTTTGTAACGAATAAACCAAGAAGGCCAGATGGATGCAGTAGAAGCTCTCTAACTAAGATGAGTGGGGGGATGGTCTGGCGAATACTCACTCCATGGAGTTGCTGGAGATGCAGCTGACGGTCATGTCGGCGCAGCCCTCATCGCTGGGCGACACATCCGACTGGGTTTGCGTGTCATTTGCCTCGTTCTTGGCAAAGCGTCCAGCTGGAAAGCGGAAATCATAAGCCAAAGATTGATGGGAGGGAACCTACGACCAATCCACTCACCTTGCACCAGCTTCAAACACTTGAGCATGAGATCCTGCTCCCGTTGGTTGTACTCGCGTTCTGGCAAGATCTGCTGCGGATCCTTGACCGGCGTCTGCGGCGATTGTGGAATGACCATGTGCACGGGGGAGGTGGCTGCACGGGCAGCCAGATTGCAGACATCCTTCTCCGTTTTGGTGGTCGGATTGGGGTTGGTGTCCATGCCCAGGCGCTCGCGCAACAGCAGCAGGTGCCGCATTCGTCCCACCTCCTCGAGGCGCGTCAGCTTCTCCAGCTCCCACTGATGGTCGAAGATCAGGGAGTCGCCGCGTGGCCGCCAGCCATGCAGATTCTCCTCGCCACGCACATACGTGGAGCTGGTGTCCAGCACGCGACGCTGACGACGCTGCACACCTGTGGGGACGGGAGGATGGGGCGTTTCAGAGAGCGATCTATGGAGCAGCTTCAGCAAGAGCTGGCTAGCGGGATACGACGAGTACAACTACAATGAGAATTGCTACCTGGACTACCTGCTTCAGATGCTCTACGCAGCGACAGCTCGTACACGCCGGACAGTCGGTTGGCCTCCGGATTGCGGTACTGCCCCGAGAACAGGTGCTTCAGCGAGCGGGGACCGGTGCGAGCGTCGCGTCCATAGATTACCATGCTCAGGTCCTTCGTGACGATGGCCGGGCGGGCGCAGTTCTCCAGCTGAAAGAATACCCCATGAGTGCTGCTCCAATTGGGATTGGGATTGGGATTGGGAAGTGCTCCGCTTCGACTCACCTCCAAGTAGGCGCTCAGTGTGATGTAGATGGTCTCGCCGCCCTGCGAGACGCGATTGAGCAGCGCCGAGTTGTGCAGGCTCGAGTCCCAGGCGGCCTCGAAGCGGTAGAAGGAGCGATCGTCGCCGGGCACGTCCAGCACTTCGCCGGGAAACAGACCCAGCGACAGCACGCATGCATCCTCATCCTGTTCGTCCGAGGACTCGGGCGTGTTGCGGATGCGACCCACCACCAGCTCGTTGATGTCCTTCCACTTCACCTCGGGTGTGGGCTCGTGCACAATGGTGATGCGAATGCGTCGCTGGATGCCCTGATGCAGCAGGAACAGCCCGCGGCAGGGAAGATCATCGCTGTGCTCCACCACCTGCGGGAGGGATTCGAAAAGGGGATTAATACCTGGTACGACCTCGGGTCTGGTCTGTTCCACTCACCGATGGCACGTACTCTCCGTTGGGTGCCAGCTCGCAGATCTCGAACCACACCAGGACATCGTGCTTGGCCAGGACCGTGGAGGAGGGAGGACAGGGCAGGGGCCCGAACTTGGGGCTGCGCACTGGCTGACTGATGGGTATGCTCGGGGGCAGCATGCGCCTGGGCGGTGGCCGCGACACGAACTCCTGCTTGGCATCCTTGTGCAGGGGATGCGTCTGGTAGTGGCCGAATATCTTGAACATAATCGGCTGGGTCTTCAAGTACTCGATGAACGACTTGGTCACGGGCACAGTTATCTACGAAATTCAACGCCCAACTAAGATTAAACTCTGATCGATGGCGCATCGCGGGTTTGGCTTACATTCTGAACATGGTAGAAGCCCAGAGGGGCGCCCGAAGCCGAGTTCTTCACCGGCTCGGTGGAGAAAGCCTCCTCATGGCGATGCAAGAAGCTGCGGGTGGAGGGACACTATAGTGGCGGTTCAAAATGAAGATCTGTGTACTCACTTGAACTGGCAGAAGATGTCTGCGTACTCGGCCCCGATGCCAGTGGCCTGCAGCACCGTCACGCGGAAGGTGAACTCCTTGCCCACCTGCAGATGCTCGCCCGGCTCCTCGGCGTTCTCGGGGCACTCCGAGGCAGAGTTCGAGTCAATGCCGCGTCCCGAGTCCACATCCTCGAGCTCTGCTAAAGGCAACAGACCGAATGTTAAGCTTGAAGGGGCAAATACCCAGTAGAGAGAGGGGAGACTCACCCTCAAGCTTGCTGTCGAGGCCTCCATTGTCGATGTACCGCTGCACGTCGTCCTTCTCGTTGAGGGCTCGATACTTGGGCTTGGCATCGTCCTCGTTGAAGACCAAGCGGGCCGACTGCTTGACCCCATTGTTGAAGTCGATCGACTCCTCGTCCAGGACCGGCTGAACGGCGATCCTTAGGTAGCCCCGGACATCCCCACGCTCGTTGACAATGGCCACCTTGTGGACCAGGGGCACGGGATAGAGCAGGTTGCTCAGGTAGATGAACGAGCGTCCGACCATGCGGAACCAGGGGAAGCGATCGTAGAAGGGATCGCCGCCGGTGAGACTCTCCACGTTGTAATCCGGCGAGGTGGGGCTCATCTCCGCCTCGTTGTGGTACATCTCGCGCATCAGCTCCAGGCGTTGTCTGCAATGTGGAGAAACGAACCCAAAATGAGAACTACTCTCGGCATAGCAGGGACATACGAGTATCAGGCTAGAACTTGCGTTGGAAAAGGGGCTGCAGACAGAGAGAATATGGAAAGCCATGCAGTGGCACGCACACAAATCTACAGCTAAGGATACGACTATTGCTGCTACATGCATTGCAAATAACATATACAAGAAAGCTACAGACGGGCCATCCGACACGCGAAACGATATGCCTTGTGCCGAGCTGAAAGGCAAGGCTCAAATACCATTTCGAGCATCGGCTGCAAACAGAAAACAGAAAACAGAAAAAGCTGAAAAACAGATCCAGTCCAAGCAAACCTAGAAGGTATCAGATTGGCCAATGTCAGACGTGCTGGTGAGGCTCTTTCGGTGGCCCTTTTCACGGCTTCGGGGGGCTGTGGATTCGCCACGGGCTCCACTGGCGGCAGCAGCTGCCGCTGGCCGTGGCCATACCCGTGGCCGTGGCTGTCTGGATGTGGTCCGATATAGGCCTCGATTCGGGACGTATCGAATAGCATGGATGATGGCGGGCTCTCGACATTGTATATCTGTCGCATCAGTTCGAGGCGATATCTTGGATAGGGTCAAAATGATTCAGGATTTTGGTTGGGATTCGAAATGGTTTCGGGTGTGTTGGGGTGTGGATTGGGTTGTAAGAGAACCGAAAAAGTACAAATCAACATTTGTTCAAGGCCTGGGGGCTTTTTTGTTTGAGATGGCGATGAGGATTGAGGCGTAAATGGTGGCGGTGATCTTCGGGAGACAATCGCTTGAAATGTTCTAGAGCACTTTGACAGAAACTAGAATCCATGAACTACAACCACCATGCACGTACCAGAAATGAAACCAAACCAAAACAAAACAAACCAAACCAAAAGGCAAAGTTAAACCAACAAATCAAAAGCCAGCTTCAACTTGGAACGAAAGTGCAGAGAACGAATGAGTGTGAGGAGGAGCAGGAGTGGCAGTGGCTCCTTCGAGCGTTTAGCTTACCGGAGCTTCTCCAGCGACCAGTAGTGGGTGGCTCCGTTCTTGGTGTCCGTGACTTCTACGGCCACCAGGGTCTTGGACACGGGCGGGGCTCCGAACTCGTCCTCCTGCTGTAGCGGTGCCACACTCGAGGCCAGCTCGGGTGGCAGGGGGGAGTACAGGGTGTCGGTCAAGAGGGTGAACTGGAATTGCACCTGAAACAACAGAGAGGTAGAGGGAGAGAGCCATTAGCCATGGGAGAACTTTATTCTCAAGAGACGAGTGGGCACGTCGCACCTTCTTCTTTAGTTCAACGGAAATGGCATTGGCCTCCTTGAGGAATATGGCATTGCCCCAGAGGTCGTCGCGCAGCGAGGTGAACTGATGGTAGCGCCACTTGCGGAAGGCCCAGGCAGCCAGTCCAGCCTCGCGGGCTGTCCAGCAGGACTCGTACATGGGATTGTCTGTGGATAGAACTGAATGGAGAGGAGCTGAATGTGAATCACTTAATGTGCTGCACTCACTGTAGACATCCTCCTCTTGGTGGAAATCCTCTGGGGAGTAGCTGCTGTACATGGACATGGTCATGGACTGCTCCTCGACCTGCTTCTGCAGGGCATCGATGCGGGCCTCGTAGGTCTTGCGCTGCTCCTCGAACTGCTGATCGGCCTGCAGCTTCTCGCGCTTGTACTGCTCCTCGAGGTTGTCGAGACGCTTCTTCATCTCGGCCTTCAGGTCGATGCCCTGCTTCTCGAGCAGCTCGCACTGGGCAAAGTTCCAGTCGACCTGCGGGGCGTCGGCCTTCTCCACCTCGTTTTCGGCCTCGTTCTCGGTGATCTTCTCGCGCAGCTCGCGGGCCTGCTCCGGATTGGTGAAGCGGAACACGTGATTCTTGCCGAGAATGACACGCGAGCCGGTCTTCAGCACCTCCGGCTCCACCAGCTGGCGTCCGTTCACATAGATGATGGCATCCTTGTGGGGCAGCAGGGTCACAGTGCTGTTCCGGTTCTCGAAGGTGCAGTGCTCCTTGAGTATGTGCGACCCCGACAGCTGGATGTCCTGCGGCACATTGGCCTCGTGGGTGCCCAGCCGGGTGAGCCCGTCCTTGATGTAGTACAGCAGACACTCGGACAGATTGGGGTCCTCGTTGAGGTTCACCAGATGCGGCGTCTTCTTGGGCGAGAACACGCCCACGGTGATGCCATCCTCCTTGACGGCCACCCCCATCTCGGCAAAGACCGCCTCGCGCTGCAGGCGAATCTCCTCGGTGCGCTTCAGCTTCTCCTCCCAGGTCTCATTGAGTTCTGCAGAGGATTACGGGGGATTGGAGTGGTGCAGTGCTGCGGAATGGAGTGGATGACTACTCACCTGCAATGAGCTTCTCGCTGGCCTGCAGCTGATCCACGGCCATATCCGTGGTGGAGCCATTCCGATTGCGCGCCTTCGACGGCGACTTGATCCCCGTCCCCGTCGACTTGTTCAGCTCGTCCTCTGCAAGAATTGAATACCGGAATTAGCAGATGGAACCTCGGACTCGGACTCGGACTCTGACTCAAGGACACAAGTCACAAGCGCAGTGGATAAGCGTGCTATGTAAGGAGGAGCGATTTCTCTCAATCAGAAATCAGCACAAAAATATGGAATACATAAAGATACAGATACGTTGGATAAATACGAGTATTGGAGATAGATACAAAGATAGATAAAAAGCAATTGCCGATTGGTGGGATTCGATTGGTAAGGGACGATGGCCTAACTCTGGCATGTCCACGTCTAGCCCTAAAGCTGCCAGGACTGCAGGGAGTCTGGGCCTTTCACCCATCTGTTTTCAGGGCAACACAAAGAAAACGCGACAAATGCGATACAAAAAATGCTGGCGACGAGTCTCCAGCCCACAGAAGATCCTTGCGGAGTTCTGGCCTGGACAGGAGACTCTGTCGCTCAGCAGCTGGTTATTCATATGTGTGTGTTTGTGTGTGTGTATGTTTGGAGTAAGGCAACATAAGGAGGACTTGTTGGTGATTATCGTATGGAATATTGGTACATATGTGTCCTGAAGCGATTTGTTTAGAAGCTTTAGATACGTACGATACAGCAGCAGCACATTACAGACGTAGTACACATACAAATATATGTATTTACGATGTCTGGATGTGTACAGTGCGTTTCGACACTGTGGGGCGACTATTCCTTATTCCATAGAAATTCTTTGGCTATGCGCTTAAGCTCTGAAACGCACTGTACACATCCACTTGGGTACTTTGAATAACATTTTGCATGTGAAGCCTTTTTGGTTTTTGGTTTTGTTATTGGTTTAGCGCTGAGATGGTAGGCTCTACTTACTATTCGCATCGCGCTTCTCGCACACCACCTTGCCATCGGGTCCTAAACGAAATAGGTTGGGTTGTTGTTTGGTTTCTGGTTAGGTTCTGTTTAAGGTTCGTACTCTAGGATCAAGGACTACGGCTAACTTAGGATTTGGATAGCGTTTCTTTGTACATATTCAAGTTGCAAATGCAATGGCAAGTAATTTCGGTTATATGAGAGTGTCTGTGTGTCTCTGTGGTGTCTGTGTGTGTATGTAGGCCTAGTCGAAGATATTCTAACTTAAGAATCTGTTCAGAGTGCTTACCTTCCTGCACCTCAATGCCCTCGGCCTTCAGGAGATCCCGCAGCTTCTGGATCTCCTCCTTGAGTTCGCGAATAAGCTTCGCATTGGCATCCTCGTTGACCACAGCCTTGCACACGATTTGCTTGGCCCGATCCGCATACCTATGGGATCATTATATTATTATTTGTAGGCTCTGTATGTAGGGCTAGCCTCTGTGGCTTACCGCAGGGTGCTTAGGGTTTCGTCGTAGTTAATGTCCGCCGGTGAGATGGCCGCTATCATGGCCGTCTTGGAGTTTCCGCCCAGGTTCTCGCGCAGCAACCAAGTCAGGGCCGAGTCGCGGTATGGTATAAAGTCGGCCTTCTTGTTGTGTTTCTTCTTGGATGCCTGCAAAGGGATTCAAGTGTCAAATGGGGGCCACCAAATGAATCCACCAATTTCAAAGCACTTACAGACTGGAACGCAACAGGGACAGGGCGGCGGTGAATGGGGGAGAAAAGATTATAGCATTCGTTTTTATTAAGAATATCTTAGATCTTAGATCGTAGCGACTTACGACTTCGGCCAGAGCGGAGATGACTTTTCCCAGGGTAGTCAGGGACTTGTTGATGTTGGCTCCCTCCTTCAAGCGGGTGCCCTTGGCACCAGTCGAGTCGGCACGCTCCGAGCCGGCCAGATCCACCAGGCTAATCTTGGAGACCTTCTCGGTGGTCAGATCGGTCATAGTGTCGTGGCGACGCTGTGTAAAGAAGATGGTGAAGACGGCATGGGAGCGGGAGCTCGTCTCGTTCATGTTGGTGGCGGCCACAGTTCTAAAGTGGTAGAAGGGAGTGGTAGCTGAGTGGTATTCCCGCTGGAAGTAATCCCCGTAACCTACCGAGCCTTGTTGCCCTCATCGATGAGGTCGTGTATGTCCTGGTAGTCGGTGACTGCCAGCTTGGACAGATCCTCGACATAGGGGCCCAGCAATGGATGCTCTCGCACCCGCAAGTTGCCCTTGTTCTTGGGATTGAGCAGATCCCGCACCCGCTCGCAGTAGATCTCCATGTAGGAGACCTCCACCTGAGAGTTGAGAGTTCGAGTGTGAGTGTTGTACGAATGGTATTCCACGGGATATTCTCTAGGGATTCTCGACTTACTGAATACTTGAGCTCATCGTTTTCGGTTTTGTGTATGCGATCGAAGAGATCCTGGCAAATCATGGGAATGATGCCCTCCTGCTGCTCCTCCTGCCTGCCCATCATGGTGTAGGACTTGCCGGCTCCGGTCTGGCCGTAGGCAAAGATGCACACGTTGTAGCCATCGAAGGAGTGCTGCAGCATCTCCTCGCCAATGTCCTTGTAGACCATCGTCTGTGTGGAGAAGTCCGAGTCGCGTGGCTATAAACCGAAAAGAATAAGGATTACAGTTGGCTTCCCCATCCGCAGGTCTCGCTCTGCAACGAACTTACATCATGGGACCAGTAGGAGTAATCAAAGTTGAAACGTTTCACCGCCTCACTGGTGTTGGGCGGCACCTTTGGATTGGTTATGGCTGCAAAAGGATCACAATTAGAGTCTGAGCTGTGTGTGTGTGTGTGTGTGTGTGTGTGGAAGAGTGTCTCTTACCCGTGGTGGCCCCGGTCATCTCGATGATGCATTTCGACTCCCTGCCTATTTCGCGCGAGTTGAAGGGGCGCACTCGCACCGCCACCTTAACCGACGACATCTTTGGCTCTGTCTCTCGCGGCTCGCGGCTCGTGTGTCCTGTGTTCTGCGGTTAACTGGAGTGGAAGGGTAAGAAATACGATATTATAAACCACATACAAGTCCCTGGAGAGCCCCGCCCCCACACCCCAGCGCGCTGTCGTTTTATAATTGCCTCAACTGTGTGTCGTGGATGGAATGTGCTGTGGCTGAGCTATGAGTCATTTCCAGGGCAAGTCACCAGGGAAATTTGAATTGGAGCTGTAGGATTGAGGGTTTCGGTGGGGGCACAAGTTCTTTGGGGGTGTGGAAGGGATGCGAAACATAACGAATATTGAATATTACGCATTGAAAGATAACTGTCGAAAGCCATAAGTTCCTTTCGTATTCGCCAAGTTAGCTTTTCCTTTTATTGAACTTTGAATTCCAGTAAATAGTTTTACCACCCCCTTGGACTTGTAGTTATGCTAATACACACTCGGGGCCGGGTTGGATGTGGGGTGGAGAACATTCCACAATATATTTGTACTCTTTCCACACGCTCTTCTCTTCCAGTACAAGCATCGACGAGTGTCGGCCACTCGAATGAGTCATCAAGCAAAAAACACAAAAAGCAAAACGCAAAACTCAAAACACAAAACACAATCACACCCCCAATGTATTTGATTTGTTGGCTTTATGGAGGAATTCCTGTAATCTTTAGTTGCATTTACCTTTAAGCAAAAGCCAATTAATTTCTGGCTTACTGAAGGAAGATCTCCCTTGAGTTGCACATGCTCGTATTACAATGATTACACTTCTCGTAATTTTAATTGGATTTCTCGTAAATGTTTATCAATGGAATGTTTTGTATTTTTATTTATGATTCTTTTCACTCAGTTTGAATACCGCACTGTTTTGATTTGCAAACTGTTTTATTTGCTGTTTTCCGTAGAACAATGAAATTATTTTACTTGCACACAGTCGAGTCCTGAAATGTGGAGACACTTTGGTTGAGACCTAGGCTTTGGGACACTTCCAATGATATGATTCTCTAGTGCGCAACTCTCTTTTTCTCTCACTCTATCTGTCTATTTCTCTCTTTTCCCCTCTCTCTCTCTTTGTTTACCTGAGCAAAATACTTTTGTTTATGTGTGTTTTGATGGATCTGTTCACAGCAAGCATGCAACAGTCTGCAGCAGGATTGAGGCAAAAGTCTCCAGAGAAGCCCCTGCGCAGACGCCCCAAGCAGTGCAAGAAAGTGGAGAGAGTTAGGCAGAGATAGAGACAGACAGAAAGAGAGGAGAGGTGGAGCATGCAAAATATTTGTGTAATGTTTGAGTATAATATTTTCCGTGATGTGCAGACTGAGCGAAATCATAGAGAATGATAATTTATATGCAAAACTGGCAATAGAAACGGAAAGATCTTGACATAATGATGACATGATAATTGTCCCCTTAATCCATTTCGTGACAAGCGAGAACTTGAACTTGTTCGGTTCTCATGGAAGGTTCCACTCGAGACAAGGAAACGGCCAAGGCAAAGCAATGCACGAATCCTTCGCTTTTATTGCAGTGTTATTTTTATGGCTTCCTGTAGGGTAGAGGCAATGCAAGGCATGGCACATCCATGGACACACTCGGAGGGGATTGAAAAGCATATCCTTCGCTCAGGTCGTCTTGACCTTTATTAATAAATTTTCATGTTGCCTTCGCCACGGACACATAGCGGACAAATCTCTACACTCTCCATCCACCCACGGACTCTACACAGAAGCGAGGCTAAGCACGTCATGCTGGAGGCCACTGTGGCGACTGATTGAGATGAAAAAAAAAAAAGAGGAAACGAAATGGAAATTATATAAAAATCAAACTGATGGAAAATGTCTTGAGATTATCGAAATGTTTTCACACGCGAATCGATGAAATTTTGCAAAGATGTTTTTGAAGCATTTACCAATTAATTTTTCCCCTTTTTTTTTTAAGCGAAACTTTGACCTAAGATTTATTTATTCAACTCAAAAGGATTTCTGTTTGAGGAACATTTGTGGCTGTTCCAGATAGTCCTCTTGGTGTTGTTGTTGTTGTTGTTGTGGTTGGTGGTGCTGTTGTTCTGGCTGTTGTTCTTGTGTGTAATTGAATACGAGGATAAAGCTGTCCAACATGGATCGCTTTGAGGTCGTGGCAAATATGATGGATAGCACCAGAATTGTTGTTAGCAATAGGGCGAAAAACAATAAGTAACCAAAAGCGCACATTCGCGTAGCTTTATTCTTTTCCCTTCTTTATTCAGTTATTTTCGATAGATATATCCTTCCTACATGTATATACATTGCTCTCCATATATATGCGTGTACATACATACATATATGTATGTGTATATGTGAGAGGGGTCTGGCTTTCTGTATAACAGAGAAAATTTTGCACTTCGTTGAGGAAAAGTTTTACTCTGATTGTTGGGTTATTTTGGATATTTCTTGATATTTCATGGTAGATTTTCTTTACTTGGCTGCGATTTGAGCTTTTTCTAGGGATTTTTCGAAGCGTTTCACTGGGGATAGGAAAACTTTCTGCCTTTTCTTTCTATTCTGCACAAAATCGATGGCCAGCCAGAACTGTGGCACGCGCACGAGTCACACGAATCCAATCGAGACCAGAACGAACTGCACCCGTTAAGGGTAGACGACACAGTGAATCCGAGCACCGAGAGTCGAGTTGGGTCGGGTCGAGCTGCCTGCTGCCAGGACTGCTGCTACTGCTGCTGCTGCTGCGACCAGCCCTCCAGCCAGGCGCATGCGTCCGAAGCAGGCCAGGGGGTGTTCGACTCGACCCCGGGGGGAGGCATGCGGGCAGTAGCTGGGGACAAGAGGTGTATTCGAACTCGTACTATATGGGTATGCCAAAAATTTGACAAATTTCATAAAGAGCTGTGGACCCGTCATCGTTTAGCGTGAAGAATTTCATTAATAAAGCAGGTGCACTGTCTCTGCCCACCACTGTCACACACTCGCCCGCCACTGTTTGTTTGATCTTATTATGAGCCATTCCGCTGTCGCTGCTGCTACTGCCACTGCCCCTTGCCACTGCCGCTGCCACTGCTGGCAGAGTGGCTTCTCCCTGATGACGTAAAATAAATTGTGAATTGTATGTGGAAGTGGATGTGGTGCTTTTCTAGCTTTTCTTGCTTTTTCCACTTTTCCTATTGATTTACCATCGCCTGGCGTCGTCTCCTCTCGAGTGGGTGCCTGACGCACAGCACAGCAAAGCACAGGACGAGCTCTGGCTCTGGCTATGACTTTTTTATGTTACTGGTAGTTTCATTTGTGTGCTTCTTCGCGGTAATTGCATTGACATTGAAATCTGACGCTGTCGCTGACAGGAGAGTAGCGCCAAGGGGCGCCAGGCAGGGGCAGGAGCTGTCCGGGACATTCGGCTGTACGTATGTTGGCAATTTGAATATTAATGTACATATGTTTAACGAGTTTCCCAACAAGTTAAAGAGCTCTATTGGATTGCTAGTGGGTAAAGTGAAAAAATTCGGTGCGATAGGGAGACTTTTTTATTAACAGTTTCCATAAAAATAACTCAATTGAATGATTCAATTTGATTCCATTTTCAGCGCTTTCAACTGGCCATATATTCCATATATTCCCATATTCCCATGCACTTACCAAGACCATAACTTGATTAAATCCCCTCCGCATATAAAGATATTTCAAAGTAATCCTCTTAGATAGTTATAGATAGTTTATGGTACAAGCTTATAAGTGCTTATAGCTTATATCTTTTATATAACTTGGCTTACGCTTAACCAAATATCAAATCGGCTTTAGAATTCAAATTGAAATTAAATTTAAATTTAAATCACTTTACACTATACACATGAAAGACCCCAAAGATCCGGCACAATTACTCATCGCTCTACACGGGGAATAAACACGAATAAGTAGTACATATAGACACGGTTTGCACTGTACTCATTTCTATTACTGCGCAGAGTGTTCTTTATATTGGGCAACAGTGCGTGTGAAAAGCCAGCGGGTGGAGGCAGGTGGATGTGAAATAGGAGGAGGTCTAGACCTCCTCCCACCAGCCAGACCAAAAGGAACCCAAATAAGGGTGAAGGGGAGTGGGGGGAGTGAAGGCGGGTCGTTGACGTTGTACGCGTTGTATTGTTGGCTGCGCAATTCCCAATTTTCCTACCAGCTTTAAGGGCTTTCCGCAGGCAAATGTCATTGACAGTTCACGAGCAGCAGACAGCCACAAAAACATTTTCAACAATTTCAATTTGCGAGCAACTGCGCTGCATCATCCTCGAATCGAAAAGGGAGTTCAGCGACAGTCTGGGCAGGATCTGCGGAGTAATTAAAATATCACACTCCATGGAGTGTGGAACTTTAAACTGGCTGAAAGATGAGGCATTCATTCTTTATGTAGAGGGAGTGCTCTGCTGTCTTTTAAATAAAAATGGAAAGAAAGAGAACTCTTCAAATGGCAGCAGACACGTGGAGTCTACAGCAGTGGGTGGTCTGCGACTGGGGTCTGCTCCTCCATTAAGTCTAGGACATAAATGAAAAGCGATTTTGTTAGTTAAATTATTGCCAAGAAGGCAAGAGGCAGCCAGTGGCAGGCAGCGGCAGTAAAAGAAGAACGAGGAGTGACTAGGAGCCAAAAGGAAGGAGCCAGAACGAAAGCAAAGCCTGCCCCACGCAAAAAGCCACAGACACACAATCCCTCTCTCCCTCCCCCTCCCCCTCTCACTCTAACTCTCGCTCTCTCACACACAGAACCAGCGGATGACTCATTCGGGCAAATGTTCGTGCCAAGTTTTTCTGTGTGTGCGTGTGTGTGTGTGTTCGTGCCACAACAGTCGCGTCCCTGCCACAACGGGCACCTACATACAAAGAGCAGAAGGCAAGCAGCAGGAAGGAAGAAGCACCCCAGCCAAATGGTGAATCATCTTTCAGGAGGCAAACATTCTGCTCCACTCACCATTTTCATTCGATTTCCTTTGGTTTTTCTCATAATTTCAAGGTTTGTTTACTACTTTTTTTTTTGCTGCAGGAATACCCCCCACTTGGGGCAGGGAATGTTGTAACTTTCGGTGCCGCCTCGCTGTCGCTCTATATACATACATATGTATTTACTATGTATGGAAACACACGCTGATTAGCAAGCATTTTCCATTTGTGGCTCCTTTTGCTGCATACTTACACTTATAGGAAACAGGAGCAGCAGCAGCAGGACCTAGCCTGACCACACGTGATGTAGTACACCGCAATGGGGGGGCCACGCCCCAGGCCCCAGGCCCCAGGCCACTGCAACTGCAACTCCAACGGGGAGCACTTAAAAGTGCAGCCACCAGCAACATAAATCATTTTGGGGAGACCGCAAGTACTACCACAATTCCTCCACTTGGCTAACACAATTAATAATACAGGACGAAAAATTGCCCTGGCCGCGAAGCCATTTTTTCCGAAAAGGTGAACCCACTCTGGGAAACACTTTTCCTACCTCTCCATTACGGTTTTAATGTCGCGCGCGCTCACCGTAAATTTATGTTTATTGCATGGCACTCACTCCCACCGCCCCCAGCTTGGTACTCCTTTTGGCCTACGCCTGGGGAACGGTCCACTGTTACCTTTTTGTTTCTGTTTTTGTTTTTGGAATAAGTATTTGCGCTTATTTATTCATGAGACTTTGGAAGCCAGTTTATGTTGCGGTTCTTTAAGCTGCGGTCTGTAGGAAGGCAGAAGAGAAAGCTGGCAGCTACCCAGGGGAAGGACTCTCAGGATTATAATGCTGTAAGCCTGGACCCCCGGCTATCATCTTTTCCAATGAAAGCAAACAATAATCGCACTTCACACTTAATCTAGCAATCAGAGTGCTTCGCCTGTAGCTGGAGGGGCCATAACCATAATCATCATAATCAGAGCGTAGCTTTGCCACCAATCAAGTGATGCGCAAAAAGGGAAAAACCGAACCAGACCAGACCAGACCAACAGCCCGCCCACACACATGAAACATGGAGACTTGGCAGGAGTACGAGTCCTCGCCAGCATCTGCCCTAGCAGAGCCATTGTTCTGTTAGAGTCAAGGCGCTCATGCACTGACTTTTTGCGTCGCATTAAGGTGAAGGTTGAGTGGCGGCTGTCTGTGCTCCTGAGTGTTGCCAGTGTCTCTCCCCCACAAAGGTCAAAGGTTGCACCACCCCTTGATGACTCGAAGGAACTACGCAAATATTTGAACACAAACCCCCAACACTCCAGAGACTCCAGAGACTGTTGTTAACTCAATTTCATTTCCAATTCCTGACGTCAATCGTTGTCGGTCAAATTTGCACTGCGATAAGGGAGCAGCACTTGTATCACCGTGATGATATGGCGGACGGGGATGGTGGGCGGTGCGCCTGGCGACAGGCAACATAAATGTGTGTCCCGTTCCGCCCTGATGACTGCTTGCACCATATGCTCGGCCAAGGAAATTTGCAAACAACAGAAAAGAGGTTTATTTTTAGCCCACGTGGAGGAGGAGTACGGGACGGCAGCAGCAGCTGCCCAACGCCCACGCCCACGACAGGATGCGAGGACCAACAGCTGCTGGACCGCAACAGGAGGACGAGCAGTGGGAGTGGCAAGTGGCAAGTCCTCCCTGCGGGACATGCGTGCGCAATTCGAAAGGAAGCCAGAGGCGGGAGCAAGTGGAATATTGATTTTTCCCAGAAATACCCGAATACAGCAAGGAATGTGGAATTTTACCCCAAAATGTTTATCAGAAATCAAATTAATTTTTACAGTTACTCACATTTAAATGGAGACTCCTCTTGCGGCTCCTCCTCTAGCGACTGGAATGTGGGCAGCACTTCCTTTTGATTTCCGCTGGGTTATTTAATCACAATCACAATTATCGGATACTTAATTGCACTCAAATTGTACGATTTTCTTCGGTTTAATGGTTGATTCGTCACCAAAACATTTGGAATTCGTTCATTGGGTTTGGATTTAAATTATCTTTTGACTTAATTTGAGGTCGGCGAAGGCCATTACGAGAACACGCAACAAACGACTCTGCCAGCGGTTGGTGGCCATTTGCTCGGGCATTTTCCAGCTTGGGAAAACGGGTGAAAAGTGAATTTTCCGCCCCAATATTTTGTTTTTGTTTGTTGTGTTTGTGAATGGGGGAAACAGCTGATAGCGCTCTTAGGGGTGACACTTCACGAACCATCGTACTATCGTACCTTCGAGCAGCCAACGCACTTGTGAGCAGTGCTATCGATATCGGTTTTATATATCGACAGTGGAATATCTCAGAAGCAATGTAAGTTTTTTCTTTCTTTTTCTTGAATTATTTAAATAATTCAATCCCCTGCTCTAAACAAATATAATTACATTTCAGTTGCCAAAACCATAGTCATGTTTACAGCTCGCAAACTCTCCCAGGCAGCGCGGTAAGTGCAGCCCAAAGTGCGAATAATCGATGCCGGCTCAACCGCTGTCCGGTTACATAAAAAGCATCAAAACAGAAATCGTTTTATATATGCATATTGGCGACCATGAACTTGATTATCTGCTAATGCACATTTTTGTAACCACACAGCATTGCAGTGCGCGGCAAGCATTCGCTGCCCAAGCTGGCGTACGACTATGACGCATTGGAGCCCATCATTTGCCGCGAGATCATGGAGTTGCACCACCAGAAGCACCACCAGACCTACGTCAACAACTTGAACGCGGCCGAGGAGCAGCTGGCGGAGGCCACGTCCAAGAGCAACACCTCCAAGATCATTCAGCTGGCCCCGGCCCTGCGCTTCAACGGCGGCGGGCACATCAACCACAGCATCTTCTGGCAGAACCTTTCGCCCAGCAAGTCTGCACCCAGCGACGACCTTAAGAAGGCCATCGAGTCGCAGTGGAAGAGCTTCGACGAGTTCAAGAAGGAGCTGAGTGCCCTCACCGTGGCCGTCCAGGGCTCTGGATGGGGCTGGCTGGGCTACAACAAGAAGTCGGGCAAACTGCAGCTGGCTGCCTTGCCCAACCAGGATCCGCTGGAGGCCAGCACCGGCCTGGTGCCCCTCTTCGGCATCGATGTGTGGGAGCACGCCTACTACTTGCAGTACAAGAACGTGCGTCCCTCGTACGTGGAGGCCATCTGGGACATTGCCAACTGGGACGACATCTCGTGCCGCTTCCAGGAGGCCAAGAAGCTTACCACCTAGGCTGCTTTACGTTCTGTGTTTAATGTGTCAGCATCGGATCATAGATCCGCTCCCCACTCTGTAGTCTGAGATTTCGGCAAATAAATTGGTAATCATTAGCTACATCTTACTTAGCTACTTACTTGGAATTTGAATTGCCGCATAAACCACACACGCATTGTTTTCCAACACTGTTTCGGGCGAGTGGCGCCACTTTTGAAATATGCATGTAGGCTGAGTAAACGGTGAGTTTTCCGTTCAATGATATTCGTTCACCAGTATTGACGAAAAACAAACACTAGAACCACACCAGATGTCCGAATCTGATACTCCCTTTCAAATTAAGATCGATCTGGCCGACAAGAAGGTACAGCAAATTCTCCAAAAATATCTAAACTTTCGTAAGTTCTTCCCCTGGGAATCATCTGAGGCAGGCCTAACTCGTGTATGTGGTTCACAGCTCTTGCAGCACCGATGGCTCAAGAGGTATTCAGCACGCCGATCATCATCGACAATGGGTCGGGCGTGTGCAAGGCTGGCTTCAGCCACGACAAGAAGCCGAGAGTGGTTTTCCCCGCCGTCGTTGGGCGGCCACGCCACCAGAACGTCCTGCTGGACTGCCGCATCGTGGACGCCATTGGGGATGTGGCGATCAGCAAGCGGGGCATGCTAACCCTGAAGTACCCCATTGAGCACGGTGTGGTCACCAATTGGGAGGACATGGAGAAGATATGGAAGCACACGTACTACCTGCTCGACGTCGATCCGGGGGAGTCTCCCGTGCTGCTCACCGAGGCACCGCTCAACCCGCGGGCGAACCGCGAGAAGATGGCGGAGATCATGTTCGAGCACTTCGATGTGCCGGCCCTATACGTGGCCATACAGGCGGTGCTTTCGCTCTACGCCACCGGACGCACCACAGGGCTGGTGCTCGACTCCGGCGACGGTGTCACCCACACGGTGCCCATCTACGAGGGCTACTCCATATCGCATGGCTGCAAGCGCCTGGATCTGGCTGGCCGGGATCTCAGCGAGTACCTGTGCAAGCTGCTCACGGAGCGTGGCCTGAAGATGACCACCAGTGCCGAGCAGGACATTGTGCGCGACATAAAGGAGAAGCTCTGCTACGTTTCCCTTAACTACAATCGCGAATTGATGGAGCAATCGCACGGACTGGAGCCGGACTTGACTGCTGGTCGCTCCGAAGAAGGAGCGGAGATCTACGAGATGCCCGATGGCCAGAAGATCAAGCTGGGCAGCGAGCGATTCCGTTGCCCGGAGGCCCTGTTCCAGCCCAGTCTGCTGGGCCTCCAGATAGAGGGTGTGCACGAGGCCACCTACAAGTCGATCCTCAAGTGCGACATTGACCTGCGCCGGGACATGTACGAGAACATTGTGCTCTCGGGCGGCACCACCATGTTCCCCAACATTGGGGAGCGCCTGCAGCAGGAGATCGCCCTGATGGCGCCGCCCAGCACCAGGATCAAGATCAAAGCCTGTCCCGAGCGTCGGTTCGCCGTCTGGCTGGGCGGCTCGGTGCTGGCCTCCCTCAGCAGCTTCCAGGACATGTGGATCAACAGGTCGGAGTACGAGGAGGTGGGCGCCAGCATTGTGCATCGCAAGTGCTTCTAAATCTTAAACAATGTGGCGTGTGGCGGCGGCGGGGTGGGGTGGGGAGGGGAGGCGATAAGTATGTTAAATGTATGTTTTCTTCGGCTATATTTTATAGTGATCTTCGGGTCAAATGAAACTCTGTGAATGGCTCTGTTCTTTCTCAATTCCCCTTCTGCTCACTTATGCGCACTCGCAACAGCCTAATCATTCCCATTAGCATTTCGATGACAATTCGCGTTGCATTGATTTTAATTAATTGCGAATTTACTGAGCCAAATGACGCATACAAATGCTGTGCTGTGCGCGGATTGCCACATCTCGCCAGCACGCAACTGCCACTGCCACTGCCTGCCTGCATGTGGCCTAACCTTAACTTCCTTCGAGTGTTTGGTGTTTGGTGTTCGGTGTTCGGTGTTGGGTTTCCAGTTTGCCAGTTGACACACGTGCAGCAGCGAGCGGGTGACAGAACAGACAGAAGACTCTCGCCGCACTGGCAACAAAAGGCAAGCTCCAAAAGCGTTTTACCTTCAACATAATCATAATCATCAGAGCTGCAGCTCAGCGCAGCTCCATCATTCTGCACTCGGCATTCTGCAGCTGAGCTGCACTTGAGGCGCTTTTGTTGCTGCACTTCACTTGATTGTGATCACGGATCTACACGACAACAGCACCGCCGCACCAAAAGAGGGTTTGTTTTGAAGGTCGCAGCTTGGATACCCTTGCAGCTACACAGGCTGTCATTATCATTATCCAATCATGGGGCATTGCATTCGCCTGTTCGTAATCGTGGTACCCCTCTCTCTGAAAGGGTAGAGCCAAGCAGCCAGTCAACAGCGCGTGCTCGAGGTGAAGAGGAAGACGAATCTGCAGCTGCTGCTGCTGCTGCTGCTGCTGCCTGACATTAGCCCTTCTAAACGCATCGAACCCCAGCCGATCATCTGATCAGAGCTGGGAATCGTATTTGAAACGTATTTGAAGTGTAAAGTTCAATAAACTGCCCGCCTGAGTGCCAGAGTTTGCTCCAAATTTATGTGCCAATTAGGAGCAACCAGGTGGAGCTGAGGCTGCGGCTGAGCCTCAATCGATCTGACAGCTGCTTTGCTTAGAAGGGTTCTACACTCCGTAGAGACTGTGGAGAGACAGTCCCAAGTTGGTGGCAACTGACTGCGGTGACTGTCTCTCTGCCGGCTCTGATGCTCTCCAAGGTTGCGTAAAATTCGTCACTTCACTTTGCCAGCGGGCGGGATAGCATTGCATCGCATCGGTTGGATCGTTTTGGATCGTTTTGGAGCGTTGGATAGGTTAAGTTCTGCGCCAGCTACTGACTGTAATTTTGTAAATTGTTTCCATTTGGTTGCCTCATGTCTCTCACGTGGATTTATCCATCACTTCATTTGCCTGCTGCTTCCTTCTTAACATACATAAATAAATTCAAATTCGTGAGGCCATAAATTAAAAAGGGACATGAGCACAACATGGCCAGCAGCCATCAGCCAGCAGCCAGCATCCAGCAGTGGGAGAGCGGAGTGGTCCCAACATTGTGTCATGCCCCGACCGGGGAGCATCTCTCATGTATGTAGTCGTCTCCATCTGTAGTCTGAAGTCTGCGTCTGTCTCTGGGTCTGGGCCTCGTGGGGCTGGCTGTCTCTGGCATGTCTGGCACTTCGGTGTCGCCAAAGTCGCTAATTTCATATGCATGCACTGGAGCGTTACTAAATGTTTCGGCAGAGGCGGAGGCAGAGCTGGAGGTGGTGCTGGCTGGTGGGGGATGTTTTCCTATCCCTATCATGCCATTCCTATCCCATTCCATTTTGTTGTTTACCCAGCCTCAATTTATAGTTCGCTACGCAGTATTTACTTACGCTCCCCCTTCCCGGCAATGAGTTTTACGTCGCGTACCTGTTGCTCTCCTGTCAACACAAATTAAGGGAGAATGGAAATTTATATACGAACCTAAAGAGAAAAACAAGCAGCAAACACGTCCATGGGAAGTTGAAGCTGCAAATACCCTAGCTACCCTAGCAGATGCATTAATTAAACACTTAATATTTGGATCGAATTATATCTTTCCGAATTTAGGGTAAGGGAAGGCTTTGCCTAAAGGTTTAGCTAAACTCTAGAATTATTGGCTTGCAGGGAAAAGATTAACGGATCCAATAACCTCAAAAATGTATCCTTTATTTTGCTGGACCGCAAACTTCTTAGCCAAGTCCTGGGACCTCTTGCAAGGGTATCTCTCAAATTACGCACAATTTTCACTGCGCAGCCGCCAACAGGGTTGTCTATTCCTGCCTGAGCCGCCTGGCAGCCCTGGTTCGTGTCCGGCAGGACAACCTGTTTGCTCATTATCCGTGTGGCCACAGAATGAGTCAGCCGGAGGAGACCACAACCACAACCACAGCCCGCCTCAGATGGCTCTGCTTCTGTGGCCTAGCCATCTCCCTGTACTCGCTGTATGTGAAGTGGCAGCTCGACCAGGATGCGGACTACGTGGCCATGTGTGATCTGGCGGAGAAGGTTAGCTGCACGGCTGTCTTCAAGTCTGAGTGAGTAGCGGCTGTCCGCCCCCTTAGTGGAATGGTGGAATGCACTCACTGAAAGAAACTATCCTGACCCCGCTTCAGCTATGGACGTGGCTTTGGTTTGAGCCAGCAGCTGTTTGGATCCACCTCCAGCTACTATCTGAATCCCCCGAATGGAGCCATAGGCAGCGTATTCTATGTGCTGCTCTTTGCGAGCTGTAAGTGTGGCAAAGCAAATCGGTCTGTGGATCTATAGGAAAGTCTCTCTCCCCCAGCCTTCTTCGAGCATCGCTGGCTGTGCCTGCTGCAGCTTCTGCTGTCCATTCTGACGCTGCTGCTGTGCTTCTACCTTGGACTCCTACTCCTCTTCGTGCTGTTCGATTGCTGTGTGGTCTGCCTGCTCATCTATGTGGTGCACACGCTCCTCTTTCTGGAGGTCCATGGGCGCTACAAGCGTCTCCACCTCCGACCCAACAAGAAGATGGCCATCGAGTGAAACCATTTATCCGTTTATTATTTGCAGTGCTTGTAAAATATGCAAAAATGCAGATAAAAACAGAATCTAGATGCGCTGCCAGCGAGTGATTTATGTGGGTTGTGGGTTGAGGTTAAGCTGCCGACGTGATCCGACTCTGACTCTGACTCCAACTCTGACTCCGATCCTCATCTCAGTAGCAAATCGCTCGCTTCTGACCCGCACGTCTGACGGTTGAGCAGGATGAGGATGAGCAGCTGCCTCCCATGGCCAGGCACGTACCCACCGCCTGGGGCAATTAATTCTGCACGTTCCCATTTGTCGTCAACGGTGAAGGCTGTGTGTGAATGGCGGCGCTACTTCCCATGCGGCAGGGCGGTGGGCTGTGGGCTGTGGGCGGCTGACTGGGAAAACCCGATGCAATTAATTTCCCATAAGGTTGTGCGGAATCTCTTTGTGTGGGCCGTGATTGGGATGCAACGGAATCAATGAATGAATCAATAGAATAGAGTGGAGTGCAGCGGAGTGGAGTGGAGTTGAGTTGGAGTATAAGGAGTCGATGATCTTCTACTGTTGATCTGAATGAATGAGCTGTCGATTCGACTGATCTCTGGGCATTGCTCTGAATCCATGAATTGAATCAATTAAAGTGCAATCGGGGAAGGGAATACCCTGATCTTCCATTCAAAGAAAAGATCTCTAATCGACCCTTCTATAGCCAACAAAACGCATTCGGATGTGAGCACAGATCTACTCCCAATTGGGGTCGCCTGTGGCACGATATTCTTCAATTGTAGCTTCACAATTTTGCTCGTACTCGTACTCGTACGCTGTGACTAGTGCTAGAGCTAGTACTCGTAGTCGTACCTTTTTCTCTATCTGACAAGGCAAACAAATGCAACAAATGCGAAGCTTGTCACAGACGGCGACGACAACAGCAGCGGCAAGCACTCTGAAGATGCAGCAGACGCCGCCGACACATTCACCCAGCGACCGAGTAGACTACTTTGCGCCAACGTAACTCCAGAGTCGGAGACTCTGTGGAGGCAGAGGCAGAGACAGAGACAGAGACAGAGATGGGGAGGCTCTGGGCAAACACAATCACTCGCCTCCAAGATGTGCGCCGAAAGAAGGCAAATCAGCTTGGCAACCCAGTTGGAAACGGAATCTCGGGGCTGCCTTCACGTGCGATCCAAGCCAGAGCAGGGCCATGCCATGCCTGATTGAGATTTTTGCTTTTGGCAGGCGACTGGCGCTGGGCCATAGAACTGCAACAGCAACAGCAACAACAGCGACAAGCTCCAAATGCAGCTGAGATTTGCGCTGTTTGAAGATGATCGTATGTGGCAGCAGCTGTTCGTGGCTGTGGTTGCCACATGTTGCCACTGCCACCGCCACCACCACCGCCACCGCAGCTCAGATGAGTCTCGGCCTGCCCCATCAACTCATAACCGAGGGCCCCTCTCTCGCTCTGTGTGTGTGCATCCTCGACTTTCAGTTTTGCGATCGTTTCATATAAATACGCGCCCCGGCTGCAGTCGGAGATCAGTCAGAATTCGGCGCTGCTTCGAGGCGCTACCACAACCAGCAGCATCCACAGCAACCACCGGCACATACGCATCCAGATCACAGATCAGAGATCAGAGATCACAGATCAGAGATCCCCGCTAGCATCGTGGAATATGTTCAAGTTACTCGGCCTCACGCTGCTCTGCACGGCGGTTCTGGCGCGTCCCGAGCCACCGGTCAACTCCTACCTCCCGCCCTCCGATAGCTATGGTGCACCCGGACAGAGCGGCCCCGGAGCACAGGGTGGAGGCCCAGGTGGTCGGCCATCGGATTCTTACGGCCCGCCTGGTCTAGGACAAGGACAGGGACAGGGACAAAGACAAGGACAAGGTGGTCTTGGCGGCAAACCCTCGGACACCTACGGTGCCCCAGGTGGTGGTGCTGGCAACGGCAGCGGACGTCCCTCCAGCAGCTACGGCGCTCCAGGCCAAGGCCAAGGACAGGGCCAGAGCCAGGGTGGCTTCGGCGGTCGTCCATCGGACTCTTACGGTGCCCCAGGACAGGGACAAGGACAAGGACAAGGCCAGGGCGGACAGGGCGGACTAGGCGGTCGTCCATCGGACTCTTATGGTGCTCCTGGTGCTCCTTCCGGCAATGGCAATGGCAACGGTGGACGTCCTTCCAGCAGCTACGGTGCTCCGGGCCAAGGACAAGGTGGTCGTCCTTCCAGCAGCTACGGTGCTCCAGGTGCAGGATCCGGCGGTCGTCCCTCAGACTCTTACGGCGCCCCAGGACAGGGACAAGGGGACAGGGCGGACAGGGCGGACAGGGCGGACAGGGCGGATTAGGCGGTCGTCCATCGGACTCCTACGGTGCTCCTGGTAATGGCAATGGCAATGGCAACGGCGGCGGTCGTCCCTCCAGCAGCTACGGCGCTCCAGGCCAAGGACAGGGACAGGGCCAGAGCCAGGGTGGCTTCGGCGGACGTCCTTCCGACTCTTATGGTGCTCCTGGAGCACCTTCCGGCAGTGGCAACGGTGGACGTCCCTCCAGCAGCTATGGTGCCCCCGGTTCTGGTTCTGGTTCCGGTTCCGGTTCGGGCGGTCGTCCATCCGACTCCTACGGTCCTCCTGCTTCCGGTGCAGGAGCTGGCGGCGGACCCGGCGGACCCGGAGGCAGTGGCGGCGCCGACTACGACAACGATGTGAGTAGACCGTAGATTTGGGATGGGTCTGGAGCCTGGCACGCGACTCCCGACACGCGACACTCGACACCTCTCCGCCCCTTGCTGCACACAGCGCCTTGATGCACGCCCTCGTCCACGCCCACGCCCCGATCTCTTGCTGGTTCTCTCTCTCTCTCTCTCTATCTCTGTCTCACTCTCTTTGCACCGCTTGCTTGCGCCTTCCCCCTACTGCTCTTGATCTTGTCTCTATCTGTCTATTTCTCTCTCTTTCTCCACACGCCCCCCGCTCCTTGGTACCGCCCCTCGCTCGGCTCTGCTCTGCTCTGGTCTGCGCCGCAGGAGCCGGCCAAGTACGAGTTTAATTACCAGGTCGAGGACGCCCCCAGTGGGCTCTCGTTCGGGCATTCAGAGATGCGCGACGGTGACTTCACCACCGGCCAGTACAATGTCCTGTTGCCCGACGGAAGGAAGCAAGTAAGCGCCGAGCCGGACGAGACGGCGGCGGGCAACAGGCGAATGATCCCTCCCTGCTCCGCTCCCGCCACTGCTCTGTCACTGCTAATCTCTCTCTCTCTCTTCTCTTCTCTTCTCTCTCTCTCTGTCTCTTCGACTTTCTTTGCACGCAGATCGTCGAGTACGAGGCGGACCAGCAGGGATACCGGCCACAGATCCGCTACGAGGGCGAGGCCAACGATGGTGGTGCCAGCGGTCCTGGTGGCCAGAATTTGGGCGCCGATGGCTACTCGAGCGGTCGTCCTGGAGGCAATGGCAATGGTGGACGCCCCGGTGGTCAGGATCTTGGCCAGAATGGTTACTCCGGTGGACGCCCTGGTGGCCAGGATCTGGGACAGAATGGTTACTCCGGTGGACGCCCTGGAGGACAGGATCTTGGCCAGAATGGTTACTCCGGCGGACGCCCTGGTGGACAGGATCTTGGCCAGAATGGTTACTCCGGCGGACGCCCTGGTGGTCAGGATCTGGGACAGAATGGCTATTCCGGCGGACGCCCTGGTGGTCAGGATCTGGGACAGAATGGCTACTCCAGCGGTCGGCCCGGCGGCAACGGCGGCAATGGAGGCAGCGATGGCGGTCGCGTGATCATTGCTGGCCGTGTCACCGGTCCGGATGGCAGCGATCAGGGCCAGGGCTACTCTGGCGGTCGTCCTGCAGGCAATGGCAACGCTGGACGGCAAGGCGGTGGTCAGGATCTTGGTCGCGACGGCTACTCCGGCGGACGTCCAGGTGGTCAAGATCTCGGCCAGAACGGTTACTCCAGCGGCAAGCCACAGGGACAAGGCCAGGGGCAGGGTCAGGGTCAGGGTCAGGGCCGCAATGGCTTCGGTCCCGGCGGCCAGAACGGCGACAACGATGGCAGTGGCTACAGATACTAGACGACAGGACAGGCAACACCCGTACTCGTAGATTCGTACTCGATTCCAGGACACATTAGCTAGAACTTTCAGTACCTAGAACTTAAGACCTCCTAGAACTTTGAACCCTCCTCCCCCCACCTCATTCTTAGCCCAATCTCGAAACTCAATCTCCATCTCTTACTCATCTTCGGGGTCCATTTACCATCCCCATTCCCGATCTATCATCAACCCCAAGACTCCGATTAGAATAAGTTCGTATTGTTGTAGATGCAAGTGCAAGAAAATAACCCAAAAAAAGATATAATGAAATGATTAACGAATATTTGATAAATACTCGTATTTAAGTGATTAAATAAAGGATACAAACACACATAAAAATACAACATTTAATGCGGAAGAATGCCTACAGTCGATCCTCACAGCTGACAGAAGTGGGGCTAAAAGATGAATCGATTCTGTCTAATTCTTTTGTAATTTTGGACTAATTTAGAAAGACGTTCGGGCAGTAAATAAATGGCAAACCCATTCAAGCAAAGTGTCTCTAGCCTGCCACCGAGTGGCAACAACGAGATAAATCATCCAACGAACCCGACCCAACCGAAAGACGCCTCCCCGTTCCATAGTGTGTATTCTCGTTCGGTTTCCGCCTGGCTGGCAGCATCAAAGCACCAAAGCACCCAAGTTTACCCGAGTTCCCCGAGTTCCCCCAGTTTCGCCAGTCTCCCGGCGAGTGCAAAGTTTGTCATTAGTTATTTGCACTAATTAAGTGCAAAGCTTTCCGGCTTCGTCCTCCCCGCCTGGACGTGGCTTTCACTTTCGCTGCTGTCAGTACGTGTCGTGGCTATATAATTCTAGAGTCGCCCCCATTCAGCATCAGCCCATTGCAAGGGCCACATTAATGGATTTGCCCAGCCGCACAATGAACGCAAATTGTTGGGAAGGCGACAACGGATTGAATTGCTGCCCTAACCCCAACCCCAACACCAATCCATTGAAAATCCGATTTTCCTGGAAATTTAATAATCACCTTTTGTGTAAGCGGATTATTTTGCCAGCTGAAATTTCACTTCTCAATGGGGGGAGGACATTGTTGCCCCCTTTGGGATAATTTAGTTTAATTCATTAGCGGAAATGCAGTTTATTCTGTAGAGGACATTCTGATAACGGCTGCAGCAGTGTGAATAAATTGTGAGGAATATTTCCAATTTCCAGAGGCAGACCATTGTACATATATTTCAGAGATAACCATTGCAGCTCAATGAGCATTCCCCGAAGTCTGCTCCCATCTATGTTTTGTCAGTCAGGCACAGTAATTCCACCGCACATACTCGTATCGTAACCAGCCATTCAAACATTATCCATGCCGCCCCCCGGAAGGAGCAGCATCTACGCAAATAATTCTATTTACATTTGGGGGCTCAAAAAATTAGCATTTCGTCAGCAGAGAGGCAGAGGACCTGAAACATTTCTGCAACTTTGTTGCGAATCAAAAGGAACCGCTGCCAGTGGCTTGCTGCTCCACTCCCTAGTCAGCCATCGCCCGGGGCAACCAAGCACCCCCCTCTAAGGAGTGGGAGGGCGATTCATTATGGTAAATGAAAATTAAATTTACAAAGCACAAGACAGCTTCAGACAGAATTTTATTTAGTTTAGGGCAGGGGAGAAGCGAAAATCAATAAACGATTCAGTGGAATGTTTCTATGCTTCCGGAGGAGCAAGCTCCGATTCATGCTTTGGGCAAACTCCACAGCTGAAGACGAGAATCAATTGGCTTTGGATTGGATTCGGGGGCAGAGTTCAATGAAATGCAACTTGACCCTGCAGGTGCCAATCGAACAAACCGATTTCGAGCTTGCCTACCTTTTCATGCGGACAAAGACAAGACCCTTGCTTGCCCCCAACAAAAAGAGAGAAAAAAGCCAACCGCAGACCCCCAATACAAGCTGAAAGAAGTACTTAAATATAGCGCTTCCTTTTGCCACAACAAAAATAGAATTTGGGGCCAAATGTCTGAGTTTTGGTTGAGTTTTCCAGTCAATGAAATTACATAAATACTCGTGCTTTGTAATTATTCCATTAGTAGAGCGATGCTGTGGCATACTCTGCATAAATTACAAGGCAGACCTGTCCGCCCCGCCCTTATAGAATCTCCATTTTACGTCTATTCAAATTCCGGCCCACGCGTGTTTATATTTTTACAGCAGACACTTGAGGAGTGGCAGAGTGCCATGAACTCTTGTAGATGCCCTCCCCTCGATTGAGCATCAATCGTCAGCCCTTTCCAGAGTCTCGCAATTCCAGTTAACAATCTCCTGCCCAATAAAATTCACTGCTGCAGTTCGATTTTACACCTTTTACGCCCCGGCATTGAACCACTGATTTACGCAGGTGAGAGGACGTGCTCGATGCGACAATAGCAGCGGAAAATCAATGTAAGACCGCAGCTTTAAGTGTCCCATGAGGGCAGCTGCGGGGCGCTTAGAGGCGCCACAATGTTGCACGCTGTCGTCGCAATTGCGTGTCAAAATACACGCGCCACACTCTCCAAATGACTTTCTGCTTGTCTTGTCAACCATCATCAGCCATCATCCGACGGGAGCCCCAAGGGCGAGCTGCTGCTGGTGCTGCTGCTGCTACTGCTACTGCTGCTGCTCCGAGAGCGTGTGCGAAAACGGAGTGAAGAAAAGGGCTCTCGACACGACGCCCCCGCTGTGTTTGAGTTTTCTGGATTGTAATTCAAATTTACCGAGCGCAAACAGCACGGAGATGGCAATTAATTAAATATCACTCATACGTCAGGCAGCGGCGTGGGCTAACGTGACTCGTGGGTCCAAGCACACTCGCGTGCAACACGTGGGCTTCCACTGCGTATACGTAATGGGGCAGTGGCATGCCCAAACTGAGGCAGACTACCACGCGTGGGAGTGCTCTAAAGCAACACTCTATCTTTCCCTCTCTCTGAGCCTAAGTACTACGCTGATTCCTCTTCAACTTTTTCACTTAGCGCAATCCTCTCGGTGCGAGGGCGCCCACACATTTGGGGCAACTCCGCCGCCCACTTAGATGCATTGTCTATCTCTGCAAGCGTGTTGCCGGACAGCTATGCAAAGTTTGCCCCTTAATTGCTACCCAAAAACAAAATTACCTAATCCAAAAAGAGCAGACAAGCAGCTTACGATTCCGGGGAAAAGCTCAATGCGAAAAATAGCTTTGCTTCAACAGAGTGCTCGCAGCATTCTTTTAGGTTAATCGAAGCATTCACACACATAGAAATAAATTTATTTTCAATGCAAAATTCTTTTATTGGCTGCGGTGGGCGGACTCAGATTAGATTAGGATTGGATTTGGATTTGGATTGCGCCTTTCATCATCCGGCGGCAGTGGTGTTGTAGGGACACAGCGGAGAGCCCAAGAGGCAGGCCAGTAGGATGAAGCATGCCTCCGAAGTGGGGGCCATCAAGATCAGGAATGCGGCAAGCAGCACCAGGTAAAAGCACACCGTCGTAGCAATCATCTTGAGCAATCGAGTTGTTGCACTAAGTGATCCAGAGCGGACCACTTCCCCCTTATATAGCAAGATAATTGCAGCTAAGCAGCTGTCGATGGGTAAACACCATGTAACAGCGTACTCGCAGATGTGAGGGGCTTTCATGGGAACAGCCTTGGATCCAACACAGGGACCCCCCAACACCCTGCATAAATGTATCATATACAAAGCAGATGTGCTGTCTATTGCCATGGCTTTCTCTCGCTATTCGCTTGGCAACAGAACACCGCTGACTGTCCATAAATCAGCCTGATCTGGGGATCAGTCAATGGGGGGACTCAATTCGCTTGGCAACACATGATAAGGGCTTCCAGAGCTATTTTTGTTAACCATCTTTTTGCCTTGCTGAGTTCAGCGATGGTTATCAGGAATCCCATTACCCGTTCTTGGAAGGCCTAGGTGTTGGTAACGAGCTCAAAAATGTCCTTAAAAATAGCTACACGATACTGATACTGATTGCGACTCATTGATACCCTTTACGCAGAAGAATAATACGAGCTTTGGGGAATCTACCTACCACAACTACCTACTAAATATATGCCCCATTTGCTCTACCATTGCAGGGTACAATAAGCACACAACAATAGACAGCAGCGGCAACGCGTGCATGTATGAAAATATTTTTACACAAATTGTTGCCGTTGCCAAAACAGATTTTCATTGAAGGCGGGGTGGGGTGGGGGGAAATGCTCGTATTATGAATGAAATTCGCGGGCGATTCGAGGGCAAGCAACAGATGTCCGGAAAAATTAACCCTAGAGCTGGGAGCTGGGTGGAGGGGCAGTGTGGCAGGGGAACTCTGATTGGGATCCACACTGGTTGGCGCCTGCGCCCTGCCACGCACGTGGTGGATACCATTTTGCTGGGGCTCTTGCTTTGGCGCGCTTTTATCTGTGTGCCACATGTGGAACGCATTTCGGGACTGGCGCAGACTTGGGCGCCGGCTCCTACGACTTTGCCGAGTTAGTCCTGTGAACGGATTCGCCTGAAGCGGTCGTCGTCGCTCCTATATCGGTGCTTTGCCGCGTCAAGTACACACCCGAATATCTACAGAATATTTCGCATTCCGCAGCGTCTCAAGAGAATTTGTTTCTTTTGAAGCGCCTTGCCCTTGACTCTTGCGTTGCCCGTTGGCGAGTGCCAAACCAAATACTTTCGTTCATTCAGTGCCAAGTTTTGGTCCCTGCTTTCGACCAGCAAACAAAACAATTCAATTGAATTCAAGACAAGTGTTTAAATAAGACCAAATATCGTCTGGACCACGCGCAGAGTGCTCCCTGCTCCCTGCTTCTGTTTTGCTTGCTTTCTGCTGCTCACATAATTTGCAGTACGCCGTAATCCGCAGTCAGAGGTGAGTAATGTTCGCCGGAAAGTTCAATGTTCAGAGTTCCATTTCTTCTGAAGAATTATAGCGACCACAAAACAAAGTTTTATCATAACAAAACTGTTCATTATTTTTTAAAAGGCTCTAAATGTGTTGTTCGTTTCTCGTTTCGCTCCAAGTGCTTTGCCACATTCTCTGGAAAGAGGGTTTTTATTTTCGTATTTCCCAAATACCAACTGAAGGGTAAAAGTTGCTTGAAGTGAAGGCTCGGCTCCTCTTGACATTTTGTACGTTGACATGACATTGAGGTGATTTTAATTATTTACTTGCAGCGGAGAGAAACAGCAGAACAAAACTCTTTGTTTGCAGAGTTAAAAAGTTTTGGCAAAATTAATTTAACATGAGAGAAATGCTTTCGGAATGCAGGGAAAAGGTTGACTTTGGATATGACAAACAGTGCAGTTTTTGAGACTATTTAAATACAAAGTTTGGCATTTTTTATGTTTTTATTTATTTATTTTTATTTTAATAAATTAACTTATTATCAACAGGCATACGAAATCACTTTGCCTCGACACTTTAAAGGGCTTCCGAGTTGCTTAAATTATTCCCCCAAGACAAACCCTCAGACAAGGAAAGCAAACCATTTAAAAACTAAGGAAGGGAGCGTCTTTAGTTACACATTTTAGTATCCAAATATTCCATAACTCAGGAAGGAGACTGTCGCATGCCACTGGAGGTCAGTATGTGAGGGTGGCAGTGGGAAACAGGAATTATAAAGCCCCCTTAGACGGCGCCCCCCGTTTGTGCGCCGCAATTTCGCTCATTAGGCCAGCGGGAGGTTGGTCCCGAAACTAATTAACTTGGCCCGAACTTTGCTCCGACTTGGAGACAAAGAGACCACATTAAAGCCAATCTTTGTTGCCTGTCTGTTGGGTTTTCCGCTACTTGTTTACGCCACAAAATAAATGAACAATTTTGCATATTCAGAGATAAGAGGAAGCTGTAAGCTGGAAGCTGGAAAATGGCCACACAATGAATCCGTTTAACCAATGGCAGGCCTAATTTGATTCGGTGTTCGTGTCAGTGTCACATTTCGGGGCTGATCCATCAATGGAGGCGTGGCGTGGTGTGGCCTGGCAGGAAGCAGGAAGCAGGAAATTAGCATAAGTCAATCAGTCATCTCTCCATCCGGAACGTGTCGGGGCACACACATCAGCAATGATCAGATCAAATTTGTCAGCCACACCTGGTTGCAGGTGCTGCTGCAGGAGCAGGGGCAGGGGCAGGATAAAGGATGAAGGTTGTGTGGAGGATGGATGGATAATTAGGTAACGCAATCACTGCCAGATACAAATACAGATACAGAGACACCCAGATAAATCCCCGAGGCAGCCACGAATGTGCTCAATTAGTGTGTTTTTTTTTTTGTGTTAATTTCGTTTTGGCTTTACAATTGTTTGTTCGTGCCGCCACAATGGAAATTATCACGCATGCGACATGTTGCTCTGTGGCGCTTAATTTAATATCAGAAAGTTTCCAGAAGGGAAGCGCTGTCTGTCAGCGAATCGACGTGGGAATACCCCTTGAACCAGATGGTAGAACCGGAGGTTTCATTCTCCGCATCCGCATCCTGATACGCTCTGCCACTTGTTTCGCAGGGTGTTATCCCGGGACAAATATGCTTATTGTAATCCCCTCACCGCCGAAACCTGCTCGTGCCAGAAAAGTTTTGCGGTTAATAAAATTGGGAAAGCGCGCACAAATTGGGTTTGGTACTCGTAATGTGCCCACAGGGTCATATTTGTTCATCGCCTTCGCTTGACTATCATTTGATTACGACCACACACGCCCCACCCCCACTCTCCTGTGCGTGGATCGAAAGGGTTTAAGCCCCCCCCCCCCAAAAGTTCTGCTTGTGCGAGCTTTAAAGCTGGTTCCGACAGTTGTCAGAGATGTCAGTGCCTAATGGATGTGGATTATGATTTTGTATTTGCATCCACTGCAATGGCCATGGCGATGACAGTTGCAGCCACAGAGCTTCCATCTAGCACTCATTTCTGTTAATTGAGTGATTGAGGCAGGAGTGGTCAGCCCTGATGACAGGTCTTCAATTTGGTTCATTTAAATGCACAGCACAATTCAGATAAATCTGCCTTTGGAAGCAGCTTAACGGATGGATTTATTATGGAGGTTGGCAGCTTTAAATGGGTAAAGTTTCAATGTCCGCAAAGCCCAAAGTATGCCTCAATTATTCCCAATTAGCAGCCAGACTCTTGTGTGAAACTTTCGCGGCAAAAGACACACAAATTTTCCTGTGGCCCGAAATTTTGATTTATCCCTCCTCATCAGGTGTATTTCCATGCCTTTCCACGCTTTTCAGTCTAGCGCCGCGTAAGCATTAATAAATTACATTTTATTTGCCAGTGTCCACCCCCTAAATGGATATTTATGGGGTCTCCTATATGTGTGTGCGTGAGTTTCCTTTGTTTTCGGATCCAGACCTGATTTATTGATGGGGACATTTAATGCTTATTGAATTCCATCGCAATTCGGAACCGGATCTCCGGATGCTAAGCTCTCTTAAGCTGAACGACTTTAATGTGGGGATTCCAGTGACTTTAATTTCCGCATTTTTCATCTGCTGCGAGAGTTTTGGTTCTGATTTTGCGACTATACCCACTTTAAAGCAATTCCCATTCCATTTGGCGCAGTTCAGGCTGGTTTTTCCTGGGCCACGCGTAAGCCAAGACTCTGAAATTAATTTGCCATATAAAACTGATTAATGTCCGCGCTGATTATTAATGGCCATAAGGCAGGCGGCACACAGGACCCATCACGCAGCAACCAGCAATCAGGACCCAGGACTCTGTTGTAATTATGCAGTGGCGATGGGTGCGAGTCCGAGCCTGTCGAGCCTAATTATGCGCCGTTGCGCAGGCATCTATTAACTGATGAATATGCACTGCCTTATCCAATTCCCAAATGAATGCCATAAGGTATCCATTAGGGGGATGCCATCTGATTAGTGATTCAGCTGTGTCCAGTCCAGTCCAGTCCATTCTCCTGCTTTCCGGTCTCCACTGATACCTGAAAAGCACATCTCCTGTTGCCCGTCGCCTGTCTCGTGTCTCCTGTCGGCATATAACAATCACTTTTTTCTCGCTCTGCTGGGCATCCTTCAGTTTCTTGTTGGCTGCAGCTGTCTGCCATGCGGGGGAATTCAATTACCGTTGCAGTCAGGTCTCCTCCATCTGGGAAAGTTGAGTTGAGAATGGAGAATGAAGAATGGATAATGGAGTGTAATGCCTGACATAAATAGGAAATTAAATAAATGAAAGAAATGGGCGTTGAGGCAGATCGACTTTCGAGGACGAAATCAGACGCTGACAGGCTGTCAATCGAGGCAAATGGAGTTAACAGCCTTTGCATATTTCGGCCCCGTTGCCTTGCCTGACAGGTGCGTCGGCCGGCTCCTATTCATCTATTCAGCGACAGGATACACCTGTTTGAGGACACGTTATTGCTATTGCTCAGTTCCTGGCATTCCGTTTGCCTTTGTGATTCGAACCGCCCTTCGGCGCATTGATAAATGAAGCTTCTCCTGCGGTGGTTCCTGCTAATGTCGCCCGATCCAACGGCAGTAAAAACAAATGATTTATTGAGCTGACTTTCCATCGAATGCTTTTGCAAATGTTGTCACATCGGGATCAACTGGTTGAGGCACGATGATGATGCTGCTGCTGCTGCTGCTACTGATGATGATTCGATGGACAACATGGGACTCAATTAATCAAGAAGGATAGCCCTGCCCCTGCCCCTGCCCCTGCCCATCCCTGTGGGCATCCCGTCAGGTAGGGTCTGTTAAATATCTGTGGGAAATCAGAGTGGACGCGCTCGGACAGCCACTGACGTCACAGCGGGGTAGGTGGTGGATTAAGAGGTAATCCTTCACCCTTTGTATACACTCGCAGCAAATCGCAGCATTCCCTGGGAGCCACTCTCGCCCGATGATTAACTCGAGTCATTTATCATAAAATCGTTCTGCGTGTCCGAACCACAGAGGGCCATAAATCAGGAGCAGCTCGAGGAGCTGCTAAAGAAAGATGTTTGTATCTTGTATCTTTTATTCTTTTTCATGTTCCACAATTCGGTCGCAGTGGCAGTCCATTGTTCGTCGCACATTTATTTCCAAGCAGGGGGAGCAGCAAATGCAAATGAAAAGAGAGAAAATGGTCAAAAAAATCCAATAAAAAAGAGCAACTGATTAATTTTCATTATTTGCACGATTCAATTCCGATTCGGAGAGACGCTGGGAAAACTGTTTGCATTTCCCGCCTTGCAGCTTTCCAGCTTTTCTTTTCGTTTCTCATTTGCTTGCTAATTTACTTAAGGCAAACCAAAAGCTTAGCCACAAGCCACAAGCGGCAAGCCACAAGCCGCAACCCGCTGGGAAACCGAATGGATACCCCTGTGCCAGGAGCAGGGGCACACCGTATGTGGCACGCCTCATGCAGGAGACTTTTAGAGAAATTTTACAGGATAAGCGTCAGCGACAGCATTTGATGGATTTCGCCAGAGATAGAGCTGGATAATCCGTAGGCAAAGCTGTTTCCCAATTCAGAGTATGTCTCCCCATATCAGTGGCTTATCCCTCATTCAGGTGGCCCCTGCTGGTATTCTTTGGTTTTCCGCTCCAGTCCTCTTTGTGCGTGCTTACATGCGTGTTCCTGTCATTCTTGTTGTCCCATTGACAGGGCCCCTGATCCGTATCCCTCTCTGTGTGTGCGTGTGTGTGCGTGTGTGTACCCCCATCCCATTGCTCAGTCACTGCTCCTATGTGTGCCAATATCCTCTGCCCCATCCCATGGCTGCTTTCCCATTTTCCCATTTGCTTGTCCTGTCTGCAAGAGAGTATCGCGAAAATTCAATTCAATCGCACTCGCCTCTCCCCCCAGCAGTCCTATTTCCATTCCCATGCATCAAAAGTGTTTGACAGGGGGGTGTGGAAGGAGTAGAATGGGGTCAGAGACACATTCGACAGTCGGTTCGGCAGTGCCCAAACAATCGGTGAAACATGGCTCTCCGGGGACCCACTTGTCATAGTTAAACAATTTGTAATGAATTTTCGAGCGAGTGCCAGAGCACTTTCGAAGCGGTTTGAAAGGTTTTTGTGTATGCCACACATGCAGCAGCCAATAAAGTGGAGCAGATTACCTTAAAGGGTTTGCTCTCTACCCTTAACCTCTCCACAAAATGTTGTTGAGACCTAAGCGACTCCCATAATACTCCGAATCGTATCCCAGGAAGAATTAAAGTGCTTGCTGAAAGACAAAGACATAAGCAGCTTTTGGCGCAGCTGAACTTTTGTGTGTGTGGGGATAAAGTATTACATAGCCGAGACTGAACCATCGGACGCGATGGGATGGGATGGACTGACACTGACCAAATACTCGCGGTAAACATCTCATCTGATGCTGATGGACAGGGATTGTCTGTCTGTATAGTCCAATAAATATTTACACAAGACTTTGGGGAGGGGTCAGTACGGGGGCAGCAGCTTTCTGGCTTCTGCCACATGAAATCAATTAAAATATTTGGCCAACTGCTTGCAGCACATTAAGGCAGCAGAGGGCACCAATCGGGTGCAGGGTGTCGGAGGGTCAGAGCATGATAATAACCATAAAAACTAATTGAAAGTGCGCCCCGAGATGTGACTATAAAAAATTACGTATACGCCGCGTGGCAACGTATCGAAAGAGGGGAGGGGAGGGGCAGACAGAACGGAAGAAACATTATGTTTGAGAGCGTAAAAATGCGCTGGCAAGTACAAGTATCGACCGCTAATGGAAAATAATACAAAATAATGAAAATATTCGGAAATGAAGTACGATGCCCGCACGCAGAATTTTGTTTATTTCGAGAGCCATCACGCGCCACAGGGAAGGCGAAAGCAAAAAGCAGAACAGGAAAAAGTGGGCCACTAAGTGTGGGTGGTGTGAGGGTGAGGGGTGGGGGGTGGGTGCCAGCAGCTGCCCATCACATGACCAAAAGAATGCCTATGCACAGGAACACAAGTGAATATTAATTAAAATACTCAAAGTCTGGGGGAGTTTTCTCTCTTCTCTTTCTGACCGGTGTTCTCTCTCCATTTATATTCCGCCTGGCAAAAATATGAGTATTCTTTTCTCTCTCTCTCTCTGTTATTGTGATTTTCATTAAATTTCCATACCAAAAGCGGCAGCTGGTCAGCAGCCAAAGAAGAGAGCGGTCGGGAGGGTGCGGGGCCATTTCAAATATTTGCCAAATAATTAATCACGCCACATCGTAACCGAAATCACTGACAGATCCGCCACCAGAATGAAATGTCTACGTCAGCCAGCAGTCTCCGGAATGCCAGTACCAGTACCAGTACCAGTGCCCAGATACATATTCTCTGGCCCGTGACGATGGCTGGTGGCCACCGATAAAGGCACACACAGCTTCATCATCGGCGTCCCTGAGGGAAGGGAGGCGCCCGCCTGCACAGATTACGATAAATTTTTAAATAAAGTCGACAGCAGACGCCGCCAAGTTGAGCGATGGGATGGGGCCAGGGATGGGCCAGGGGAGCAGAGTATTCCCTTGGAGCAATAGGAACAGGTGGTGGCAGAGAGGGGACAGGGACACCCCATCAACGGGCGATTTGCAAGACTCTTGTCGGGTGATTAGTCAGCAGTTGGCCGAAATTAATGTAATCAATTATGGCAGCACGCAGCTGCTCCCCGCTTCCCGCTCCCCGCTTCCTGCTCACCAAACCAATTCCTGATTTCAACATCGTAATCACAATTTATTTGGAAGAGTCCACGACATTTGTTTAGGATCGAGTGCAGGCGGCGGGAAGGTAGAGGTACTCGCTGTCGGTCCAAAAATCCAGCATCGACTTGCACTTTCGCCTCTCCTGCTGCTGCTGCTGCTGCTCCTGCTGCTTGAGGCACTGGCAGAGGGTGTCTGTCGTGGCGCTGGCCAGACCGACCTCCCGCAGCTGCTGCACCATCTTGTCCTCTGGCTTGGCTCCCGGTGCGCGGCCCTGGACAGGAATCGGGCGCATCCGCAGCTTGTGGGGCTTGGACACATTTATGTCCAGGAGGACGGTGCTGAGGGTCCGCGGATTGTAGATGCTGCGACACAGGACATTGTCCACGTAAATCTCGTAGTGGGCAATGTCGGTGTAGTCGTGCACGAACCATTCGAGAGCCAGCGAGCGCTTGTCCATTCGCCGGGCGCTGGTGATGGCCAAGGGGTAGCTGATTCGCGGAGAAGGCCGCTGCGGGCCGGTGCCGTGCAGATCGTTGAGGATCCGCTCGCGCACCGCGGACATGGCGCAGATGTCCAGGAAGAAGTTCTTGGCCGCCAGCTTCAACTGCTGCCGACACTTGCCCTCGTCCGAGGCCAGGAACTCGGCCTGCTTCACGGCATGCCGCATGTGCACGCAGTGGCAGCAGCTGCAGCGCTCGTCGTAGGTGGCACCGCTGCTGGGCGGTTCGGAGGTGCCTTTGCTGGCACTGGAAGGATCTAAGGTGCCTTTGCTGGCACTGGAAGGATCTAAGGTGCCTTTGCTGGGCGTCTTGATGGATCCGTCGGCGCTGACCAGCGCGAAAGCAAACTCCGGGAGCAGCTGGCGGGACTTCGAGGAGCTTCTGCTTCCAACGCTAGCCAGGGACCTGCGACTGGACTTGGCAAGAACCTCCATTCTCGAGGGCTTCTTCATCGAGATGACTGATGGCTGAGAGCTGGGGCCGAGAGAGCTCGCGCCATCAGTGTCCAGAGAGTCGGCCTCAGAGGTGGCCTTCTGCCGGCGAAAGAGAACGAGGGACTCGGTGGGATTGGGGCTGAACTGGGCAGAGCCTTCACCGTGTGACTTCTCGGACTGGGTACTCGGACTGCGGCTGTCCCCCCTGAAGTAGCTGAGAAACTTTATGATGGAGGTAGTGGACCCAGCACCCACCACACCAACGGTCTTCTCCAGGAAGCTCTTGATGGAGGCCTTGACCGACATCTTCTGCGATACGTCGCTCTGCGAGACTTCCTGCTCTTCGAAGCTCCTTCTGCCAGCCGGAGTCCATCTCTGGGTGGTGTTGCTTGCAACTTCCCTGAAGTAATTGCGGCTGCTGGAGGACCACCCGCTGGACGTCATCTGCATGCCGCTCCTTGTGCTGATGCTGGTCGGCAGATCGCTCGACGTCGTTCGCGGAATGCTCCTGGTGCCGGTGTTCGTTTGCAAATCGCTCGAAGTCGTACGCGATGTTCTGGGCGTCTCCAGTAGGGTGTTGGGCGTCTCCAAGAAGCTACTGGAAGGCTTCCTCAAGCTGCTTTTGACCATCAACTTTGAGCGGGTCTTCGGTTTGGGTGGCACCGGTGGCGGCCGCATCTCCCCGGGCAGAACGATGCTCACGCGCTTCGACATACTGTGGATTTTTTGCTTTTTATGTATTCGACTGGACAAGTTTATCAAATGAAGTAATCACTCAATGGGAAAGTTTTCGCCTACTGCGTGACACTCTTCTCCCTGTCGCTGTCCGTTTGTCTCGTTATCAGGGGTTGGTCATCCCCCTCTATCTCTATCTCTATCTTTGCTGTCCATCTATGTCAACTTTCATCACGACAAATGGCTGGACCTTCCTGTTTGCCCCCTGGCGCCCGAGCGACGATGTCGCATAATTTTGTCAATATTTTTCGTTGCCAGACCCAGGGGGATGGGTCGGTGGAAATTTACATAATGTACGGGACATTTGAGCGCACATTAAGCAGCATAGCTTTCGTCCTTATGGCAGGCTCTTTTTTCGGTTCTAATTAGGAAAGCTTGCAAAAGTCTTTTTCTGGGTTTTTCTCCGCCAAAAGTCCCCCAAAATCCTGATGGATTCGTATTCCTGGGGGGACCTTAAAGCCTTTCTTGGGGCTTGCCCTTTAAGATCGCGACTCCTACCGGGCTTGTTATTCGGCTTGGCTGCGCCGTCTACGCGGCGTATGATTAACCCGCACGCCGCACTACACATACGCCGCGTTGCCTCAGATACGAGATACAAAAAGAAACGCAGCCAGGCAGGCCAGGCCTGGCACGCAATTGTATTAAATTATGTTTGCCTCATGATTTATCTAGCACACCACATAAGAAGGCAGACCGACAAGATGCTTTATCCCGACTTTGTCTCGCTCTGCGGCTTCCGTCGTGGATCGCAGCAGGGTGCCGCCGCCTGACAACGGGGAGCGGTGCCCATGGTGCAGCTCCTTGTGAGAACTGTAATTGCCTGGCACCGCATAGCTCTGGCAACCATATTTAGATTCTGTTTGTGTAGCAGTCCTAGGCCTTGGCCTAGGCCTAGGCCATAAATAAATGCTGTTACACCTGAAACACTTTTTGGGTGGAGTTCCCCACGGCTGCGTTTTAGAGCGCCCCTCCCCCAACCACTAAGCCTTGAGGAATGCTTAAGAAACAGCAAAAGACTTTAAGGCAAGAATGAAATTAATGATGGCAAAATATGTCCACAGTATACGAGTATGGAATTCAATTTAATTGATTGAGGTCAACGCTGAAGTTTAATCATTTCCCATGAAAGATTACGCCCATTCCCATTGGGACGAGCGCCCGCTCCTCCCCTGGGATCGCATGGCATGTTTTGGGCGGAACCTTTAACTTCTTTTTGGGTTCCAGTTCCAGTTTCAGTTTCACTTTCGCTTTGTCTGCTGCAAAAACTAATTCAAAAGTTTTCATCTGTAGAAAAACGAAAGCGAAAAACTTTTCGTTCCCTTCCGCCTGGTGGGCGCTCTGATGTATTCCTCGCTGTTGCCAGAAGCTTTTTTCTGACAAGTTTTTTAGTGGCATAAATAATTGACTGGCGGATGGAATTTATGGCGGGAAGGTGAAGGTAACGGGAAGCCGCATGTCGTTAGTTTAATTTTCCGAGAAAATCAAGAGAATCCCCTTAAAAATATGCATGCGCGTATGCATACCCTTAGATGGGTAAAATGATAATCAGAATCCGCCCTGTAAATGGGCGGAAATTTTGATGACTCAACGCCCAGCTCACTCCATGGGATTTTGTTCATTTTTTTCGCAACAATAACGTGGTGGAAAAATCATAAAAAATATCAAAACCCTCCGATTATACGAGATTCCTTCTGTGTGAAATTCTATTTATTTCCATCCTACGCATCGCCGAGAGTGTTTCATTTGCCAGCAATTGACGGGCGGGCACTGTGGAAAAGGTGGTTGTGACGCGGGGGGAAGGGGTCGGTAAATACTGCTACAGTTGCCCGACAGCAGCGACCACGTGCAATGGGTTTAATGACAGGCCTCCGGGCCAACCTCTTTATGGCCGGCAAACACAAACCACACACACACACACACACACACACACATATGTTGGCACAAAGTATGGGAATGGCGGAGTTTGACTTCCGGCGGAGGGCAGAAAGAAATGAATTTAATGGCACGAACATTAATTATTTCTCTGCTGTTTGGCCAGCTTCAATTTAAAGTAAAGTAAAGCAAATTGAAGGCTGGCCTCACCTTCAATTTGGGTAAACTCTCGGTGAGACTTCCACCGAATGCACTCGGGAGAAGTGCACTTTGGAGTTTCCAGGCTGATTAAATTTGTCCAAAAATAGACTCAAATGAGACGCTGACATTCTACTTGGCGAACAGCATTCTTGTTTGCCACAATAAAAGTAAATAAATAACGAAAATGAAATCGAAATAGAAATCGAAATAGAAATCAACGGGAAGCATCCGAATGGCTGTGATGGCTAAAGCAATCTTGTATCAAATTGAAATTGAAGCAACATAAGGATCCCCCCCTACCAGACATCAGACACGTCCTCGCAAATCGGGACGAGAGATAAGCCCGCCTGAGACTGCCATCTCAGCCGGCAGTGTGTCAGTCTCGGTGCCAGTACCAGACCAGTCCCTCCCTGGTTTTCTCTTTTTTTAGGGGATAAATGCGTCTGATTGCGACTTGCAAGTATTTGCTTCTACACGAATGATTTTCTATTAGTTTGCCGGAAGGGGAAGAGAAGAGAGCAAAGACAACAGAGCGTGAAAGATAATCGCCAGGGAATGGGCATGGGGGAAGGAGTACAAAATAATTGGATGCTCTGCCTGCTTCAGGCTTCCTTCAGGGATTCTGTGGGAATTTATCTGGCAATTGAGGATGGGATGCGTGTACCCTGATTGCCGCATGGCCAGCGATTCCATGTTAAGGAGATTCTTTATTATGCAGTTGCACACACTGTAACACGACAATGCACCAGAGCCAGCAACAGCAACAGCACCAGGCCACAGCTGTCGAATCATAAATTTTATCTCCATTTCCGCACACCGATGCGCACACCGATGCGCACACCGATGCACACACCGATGCTGCGTATGCGTAATATTTATGGGTTTCATAGGTAATGCAAATGCATGCGGATAACCCTAGCCTGGCGCAGCATCTGCCCCTGCTTTATGCAGTGCTTTACAGTTTAAGTTACTCAAATCCCTGCCCACAAACCATTTGACACGCTTTTCTATTCTCTCTCTCTCTGTCTCTTCCGCTGCAGCATCACCATCGCACCGCCACCGCCGACGCCGACGCCGACGAACAGGAAACAGCCCATGCCAGAGCAAACTCTTGTGGCACAATGTGGAAAATAAAACACGACTCAGTGGCAGCAACCACCACCCTTCAAAGCGTTCAAGCCGCAACCCTCCTGGAGACATAGACAAGGGGCAAAGCAAAAGTGCCAAACATTTGGACAAAAGCGGACTAGCGGAAACGGAAGTGGCCAAAACGAGAGGCCGTAAAGAGCCACGCAGCCGAAAAAAACACAGACACTACACGAGTGGAAGGAATAGCAGAATCACAGAGATATAAAAGACCGCAAAGGACATCTCCCCCGTTAAAACATGTACGCCGCCCTAATGGACATGAGCCAGTCTCTGGCCGCCAGTCTGGCATATGCCCCCCTCGATCTGAGCGGAGTTGGGGCATCCAATGGGGAGAACGCGAGCGGGAGTGGGAGTGGAAGTGGCAGCAACGACAGCCTCGACTCCGACGCTGGCTCGTCTTTGGGTCAGCATAATGCCAGCGGCAATGGGCCGTATGTGCCCGTCTTGGAACGCCCGGAGACGTACATTGTCACCGTGCTGTACACGCTCATCTTCATAGTGGGCGTGCTTGGCAACGGCACGCTGGTCATCATCTTCTTTCGGCACCGCTCCATGCGGAACATACCCAACACGTAAGTCCGAGTGGCACGCACAGTGCCCGTGGGTGGTGACTCCTTGGGCAGCCCTCGCCGGGGCCATAAATAATAATGTTTTCATACGAGCCGTAAATGAGTTCCATGGCACCCCAACACGGGGGCTGGAAAAGCCACTCAAAATTCATGGTCTGACTTATGAGTTGTGTTTGATTTTATTGTTCCAATAGAAGAATTTATCGCATCTCCTCGACACTCGTCCCAAATTAAAAGTTGCCATAACTTTTGGGGCGAGGGGATGGCAATATGTTGTCTGCGATTCGGGAATGTTAAGTATCCCGAGGCCACGACAGGCAAAAGGAAACCGAAAACCGAAAACTGAATGGAATTAGGCTGGGAAAATGTCAGCCCACAAGCTGCTCTAGTTTCCAGATGCACAGGCTGCCGCAGCTCGTGTTCTGTGGTAAAGTTTTAAGACATTTTCTTGTTCACTTCACAGCAGATACTTTTACTCATGCTGTAAATAAATATTGACAAAGGATGCCGCCGCATAACGTATACACAGGGTGTTCCATTGAGACCCCGAACCTCTTTCATAACCGAAGCCAGCAGCTGACGACATGGTCTAGGCAAATGTTTATTAACTTTTGGAAACTTGTACCAAACTCTGTGGCTGTCCCTCTGTCTGTATGTGCTTCTACTTCAGTCTCTTTTGCCTTTGCGAAATTCAAATAAATTCAAATGGAAATTCAATCAAAACTTTCTGTGCCCCAGTTAAATGTCAACTGCCTGTCTGTCTGCCGTGCAAAGAATTCGTATTGCCCTTTTTTGTTGTAAGTGAATGGAATCTGGTACTTCATTTAGCTGCCATTAAGTGGGGTCCTGGAGGTGCTCTGATTGCCTGCCAATAGTCGCTTTTTGCTTTTTGCTTTTGGCTTTTCGGAAACTGCAATCAATGGCTCCCTAATTGTAATGGTGATTGCGATGGCGATGACGATGGCGATGGCCATTGTAATTGTCCGCCCAGCGATGCAAAGTTAGCCCTTCCTTCTCCACCCACGCAGTCTAGACTGGGGCGCAAATGCGTGAGATTTTGATTCATGTCACATACAATCAGAGCAGTCCACCAGCAGTCTGCCAGTCCAACGATTATACAAGTCAAGCAGTTCACTGCGGGTCGTTGGTGTCAATGTCAAAGCGATTTGCAGGCACTGAATTTCCAATCTTCCACTCACTCGCCACTTAACTAAGAGCAGAGCATGGTAGAGGGTGTGCCTTGTTGGGATTCCCATTGTGTGGGAGTGCGATTCAATTGAATCCCTGCGGTAAACCAGCAATTTGAGGGCAGGCCGCAACAAGTCCTTCCCTTTGGCCTTCATGTATCGCTGCTGTAGCTCCCTGCAGATCCATTCTAAAAACTTTACTAATTCTAAAACAATTACCGCAACTTTTACTGCTTGCCCATATATTAGTTAAAGTTGTGCTGGTCCCTCAACTGGTGCTACATTTCCAGCTTCCCCACTCGTTTTCCTGTTTGAAAAATCATTCCTTTCAGTTGAGGCGTCCGAGCGTGTCTGTCTGTGTGGGGTGTCGGGAACAATGACAAGGTTAACCCCTTCGATTGAGCAGGCACAAAGGCACATTTTTAGTCAAAAGAGAACTCTTCCGTGTGAGCGAACAAGAGAGCAGACAATGGACAGTCGGAATGGGAACGGGAATGGGAATGGGAATGGGAATGACACTAAAGGGTTTCCCCTGCCTGCCCTTTGCAGGTATATCTTATCGCTGGCTCTGGCCGATCTGCTGGTGATTCTGGTGTGCGTGCCCGTGGCCACGATAGTGTACACCCAGGAGAGCTGGCCCTTTGAGCGGAACATGTGTCGCATCACCGAGTTCTTCAAGGACATCTCCATCGGAGTGTCCGTCTTCACGCTGACGGCTCTGTCCGGCGAGCGCTACTGCGCCATTGTGAATCCCCTAAGAAAGTTGCAGGTAAGTGAAGGGAGCTACGGCTGACGTTAATCACTGGCCATGACATCTCTTGCCATCTGTTTGCAGACCAAGCCGCTGACCGTCTTCACGGCCGTGATCATCTGGATCATGGCCATCCTGCTGGGCATGCCCTCGTTCCTGGTGTCGGACATCATCGTCTACCCGATGCCAACGCCCGCCGGAAACGGCACCATCAAAGTCTGCTCGCCCTTCCGCTCCAAGATTTATGCAAAGTGAGTGACTGAGTTCCTGCGGCAGCAATCAATTTGCCAATTTGCCATCTGTTCGCCTCATTTGGCTTTATTTAGTCTGCGGATAATACTTGAGGACAGGCCCCAGGACAAGGTGTCCAATCAAGCAGAAGTGCCAGCCAGCCAGCCAGCCAGCCAGCCACTCGACTGAATTTGTTCCTCCCTTTGCCTGGGAGTGGGCTCCGCGTGGGTGACTCTCGGGAGCAAGAGATTCCAAATTTATGATGACTGTGGAGCGTTAGAGTAAAACTTTTCCATCTTATCTCTGCTCAAGCAGGAGCCGCAGAAGCTTCAAGGCGGGAAAATCGGAACCCATCAGAGGGCATTAATCATTAATGCAACCCCCCCATGCCAACCCTTCTGTGCCATCCAATGCAACTTTCACTTTCACCTGCTACTGCTGCTCCTGCGTGCTTCTGGCTGTTTATTGAAGTGCTTAAACTCAGAGCAGGGCACGATATGCCAACCGCAGCCACTGCCACTTAATTCCCTCCTCGCTTTGCTGCTGCTGCTGCTGCTGTCGTCAGCTGTTGCCACCACATAATCCGTCTGGGATGTAATTTGCACAGATCCGGTAGAAAGGAAAGCGGCTGCTACGAATCTGCTCGCTAATTTTTCATTTAAAGCATAATTATATCCCATTTCGTCATGGAGGGGAGTCTTTTGTTTCTGGTCTGCTCTGCTGCTGCTGCTGTTGCTGGCACGTGCTTCGGACCGCAATAAAACCCACAGAATGGAATGAAAAGTGAAAAAGCTAAAATAAAAAGCTGAGCTTGTCAGTCCAGCCAAACCGAGCCGAGCCCGTACTTTTCAGCTTTTTTATGAGCATGCGAAACGCTTAGGCGTAATTGAATGTGCCCCTTCCCATCCGGAGGAGCATATACTCGTATATGGCCTGCACATGGGAATGCCAGAAATATCCCAAAAGCCCCTTATTAAAATTGAAACGATTTCCCAGCACTCTGCCCACCCCTACCCACTCATGGCAACTCCTACACACCCAAGCCCATGGGACAGTGAAATTAATCAACTTTTGAGTTTTGCCAGCGGACACGAGATCCTGTCTCCAAGTAACCAAAGTTTCGGTCGTCTCTCTTGCAGATATATGATAGCAGCCAAGGCCTCGATTTACTATGTGGTGCCGTTGTGCATCATCGCGGTGCTGTACATCATGATGGCCAAGCGGCTGCACATGAGCGCTCGCGACATGCCCGGCGAGCAGCTGAGCGTGCAGAGCCGGACACAGGCACGGGCCCGGCGACATGTGGCCCGCATGGTGGTTGCCTTCGTGGTCGGTAAGTGGACACATAAAGCCGCGCAGTGAGCGCCAGTGGAGCCAGCCCAACTCTAATTGGCTCCGAACTTATCTTTGCAGTGTTCTTCATTTGCTTCTTTCCCTACTACGTGTTCGAGCTGTGGTACCACTTCTATCCCACCGCCGAGGACGACTTCGACAGCTTCTGGCACATGGTTCGCATCGTGGGATTCTGCACAAGGTGAGAGGCTCCAGCTCTAGCTCCTGTCCAATCGAGCGGAGTCAGCAGTTCTTCTGTATTCTGGCTGCTGCTCTTGCTGCTGCTTGCTGGGGGGACATTCTTCTTTATCCCCTGCATGGGGCATGCATTCCTCGAGGGGGTCACAATTTATGGGCGCACATATACTAGCTGGCTGGAATGCAGCTGACTTTTCTGCACCTCCTCTTTCTTTTCTCTTCTCTTTAAAGTTTTCCCGCAGACAGGCTTCGCCTGCATTGCCTCTGGCCACCGCTGACTTTTGGCAGAATTTTTAATTGAAACAGATTATGCCTGCCTGCACTCTGCTCCACGCCCCTCGTGCGAGGGGAGCATCCGTCCCCTCTGGAAATTGCTAGTAAATTTATTTTTGTCGACAGCTTTTCTGGGCGTCACTTAGCGCCGTAAAACTCTGAAAATAATGTGTGCCAGCAATTTGGTGGCTTAATTCTGGGGCCCAGAGAGGAGGAGTCGCGGTTAGTCGCACTGAAAGCAATTTACATTTTATGCAAATGGGCGTAAACCATATAAACCCTTCAATAAAATTCCATAAACTAGAGGAGACATCTCCCAGGACACGACACGACGCCACTCAAGTTATGCTCGGAATGGCTCTCCATCCCTCCATTTCTCCATCCACTCTTTGGGCCACATGCTCAATGTGAGTGGAATGAGTCTGGAATGGGTCTCTGCTCGATTACCGCTTCATTCCGCAGTTTTGATGGGAACTAAAGTGGGTTTGTGCCTTTTCAATTTGCAGCTTCCTCAATTCGTGCGTCAATCCCGTGGCCCTGTATTGCGTGTCCGGCGTATTTCGGCAGCACTTCAACCGCTATCTCTGCTGCATGTGCGTCAAGCGGCAGCCGCACCTCCGGCAGCACTCCACGGCCACTGGCATGATGGAAAACACCAGCGTAATGTCGATGCGTCGCTCCACCTACGTGGGCGTGGGCACCGGCACCGGCACCGGCAGCGGCAGCGGCAGCGGAGGTGGCAATCTTCGAGCCTCGTTGCACATGAACAATAATCAAGGCGGAGGAGGTATGCGTGGTGGCAGCTTCCACCGCCAGGACTCAATCCCATTGCAGCACGGAAATGGCGGGAAAGCTGCTGGCAGTGGCCCCACCGGATCCGCCGGACGTTCGGCCGCCATCAGTGAGAAGAGGTGAGGCACGCTGATTGTGGAGCTGCTGGAGGATGAGGAGGAGGTGGTGGTCTCCCTGCAGGCCGACGAGCAGCTCTAAGCGAACCATTGATCTCACTTTGTGTGCGCACCACCATCCCAGTGACCCAATAAACCTGAAACCCCCCCGTAGCCCTTTGCACCTAGCACCAACCCTTGACCCCTTGGCAACAGCTCTGCCCGCTGGCATTCCATGGATTAATTTGGAAACTCGTTACCCAATCGGAAGTGGGAGAAGCGATGGTAATATTGGACACAATTTGCATTTTATTATGGGCTCACATTTCCTGTACATTATTATTATTATTATTATTATTATCCATTACAATATCGTACAATTAATGTTAAATGTTATCCTATTCCGTACTTTAGTCGTATGTGATGTGTTAATTAAGTGAGCCACTAAGCACATTGTGTGTAAATCGTAATCGTGCAATAAACTAGTATTTAATGAACCACGAAAATGCAAAACAAAAAACTATAACTATAACTATAATAAAAATTCACCTGCAATCTCTGTTAATTATCGTATATACTCGTATGCTGCAAATATCAATAGACTTAGCGATGGTTTAAGTGCTGCTGCTGCTGCTGCTGCTGTAAATAAATGAATTCCATAAATGTAGAAGCCGATCGATGTTGGGATGTTGTTCGCTGGGGAAGCTCCTGCCCTACAGATTCTGTACCACAACTGTATATACATAATAGACGGTATTTTGTGCTGCCTTTCATTGGGTATTTATTGGGCAAATTACAATAATATTACAGAACGAGAAACGCAACCCTTCTCAGGCTCAATAATCCATTTAATTTAACGCTTTCAGCATAATCAATCGATACGAAAGCGACCGGAGGCGATACTAAGGCAAGCAGCCACAACAACAAAAAGACGAAGATAAAGGAGCATAATCAAAGAAAGGAAACCCATGGAAGGGCAGCGCTCTGGTATACAATACAAAATATACAATGTAAAACTCAATGGATAAGTGCACTTTGCTATGCCAATAACAATGTAAATGAAACTTTTCGAATGCGAATAAAACATAATTGGATGTATAATTATGGAATGTTCTAGAACACTGGGAAAGGGAATGCGGGAGAATGTTGATTAATTTGGAGCGAGAATTCCTTTGAGCGAGTGTTGCCAAGCGAACTCTATTTTGGCAAAGGAAATGGACAACACAGCAAATGCAATCTGCCCCCAAAACACACACAAAATTTCATTATGGCATGCCAATCAGGAGGCCACCAGGCCACAGCACAACTCTCGCCCTCGTTCTCGCCCCTGGTTGTATGTAAATTGGCCAAACACTGCCTACATTATCGGAGATGAGCAGGACGTCAGGACGTCGGGACAGCACACAAACACACAAAACACAAAACATTCCCCCAAACAAATGCCGAGACAATGCGAGTAGTTATTGGCATCCAATAAATGTTGGCCAGCCAGCCAGCCAGCCAGTCAAATGCGGTCCCATCTGGCCCCTGGGCAGTGACGCTGTCCATCCACATTGTCCGACCCGACCCGTTGCCCTCTCTAAATCAAAGGCGGGCCTGGGAGGGCCCCTGGGAGATAATTCCAGATCTGGGGGCTGGACAGAGACAGTTATATCCGGGCTGCTGGCTGCTGCGGTGGCAAACAGTTCGAATGGAGGGTGGGGTGGAGGCATAATTCGTGCTGCCACAGCCACAGTCAAAGGGCATCAGATTTATGTAAGCGCAGCCTGATCGGGCGAGAAGGTAATTAAGGGATTGCGATTCGACCACAGATGGGACCCGCAAATAGAGATCTCGGGGCTCCATCTATCCAACGCACAATTAGCTAATTATACGCTGGGACCACATCCAGAACTTCAGTGGAGTGGCCTGCCCCACCGGTTCGAAGCAGTTTAGTTGAAAGTTTACTGCCTCCGAAAGTAGGAAGCTCGTTAAGGCAGTGGGTAGGGCGAGATGCTCGTAAACAGAAGCATAAAGTATGGATTCCGGAATTCCGGGAGACTTGCAAATGGGCAGGCCATTGCCACAAGATTTTACGAGTGTGTGTGTGTGTGCCTACTGCTCGTACTTCTGCTTAAGGAGAACTCTCCGCATACATAATAGAATAACAGTTTACACATGTTGCCACCAGCCAACAGCCACAAGCCACCAGGTGCTCAAGAGGCTCTCGAGTGCTGTGCTGGGCTGGACTGGGCTGGACTGGGCTGGGCAGGTGGTGTTAACATGGCACATGCAAATGAGACCACAAAAGGGAGAACTTGAGCGTGTGTGGCAATCTGATTATCAAATGCACACCCTGCCTGCAGGATGGACTCTGCCGGGTGTAGACTCTGCTCAGACTCTGGCCCGCCCAAAGTGATTTACTGGCCCAGCCGGATGGGGCACATCCCTTATGGCATCGACGGCCAATAACTAACAATTAGGGGGGGCGTGGGGCCAGAATGCTTAGGCTGAGCCAATATGCCACGACGAGGATCTGTCCGCTGGCTGCGCATCTTTTATGTGTTCACGCATTCATAATTCCTCATTATGTAGAATGTCCCCGGACAAACAGGCAGCTGCTTGTCCTGTTTGTTCTGTTTCTACGACGCTTTCCCCTTTGTGCTTATCCAACACGCAGCAAGCTCCTGCCTGGGCATGGTTACCCTTGCCCTACGATTCCGCTTGACTTCATCTTAAGCATAGTTGAATGCTGCAAGGGTGCTCGGAATCTGTTACCATCTTGTGTTTATCCTGGCCCTTGATTGTGTTTTCTTTGCGCTTTGTTAATTGCTGGCAGACGTAAGCCGTGGCTAAGAAAAGCCTCCAGCAGATGTCTCTGCCGGAAGGAGGGCTGGTCAAGGGTCTCGCGTTCTGATTGCGGCCAAAGAAAAGCAAAATATCATTTGAGCCTGTTCAGGTCGATGGGCATGAGCCAAGCCAGCAGCAAGTGGTTTCCTTTCCCTTCCTCTCCGGCCTTATTCCTCTTTTGCCTTGCTTTGCTTGATGATTATCATTTTCTTTACTGTAAGACTTACATCGTATTTCGTAATTCGTGTTTCAGCCTCTGTCGGTTATTATTAAATGTGACCTCTCTCCATCCTCCCTAAGCCAAACAGGAAGTATTCGAGTCATGAATATTTTCTTCACAATACGTGCCGCTCCGTTCATTGATCTTGACAGCAATGTAATGCATTTCAGATGAATGCTAATTGGAGTCTGATTGGGCAACCGAAATGCTCACCTCTATTGAAGTCCCTTCTCAGCTCGGAAGTCCCAGTATTCGTATTCGATTTTGTGCTGTGCGAAATCAACATTATCTATCCATTAAAATGGAATCAATTGAAATTGTTTGCAAACGGGAAACGGGGGGACCCATCAGCAAACGAAATTTGTTACGAGCCCCCAACAGTCGGCAAAAGAGTCAAGAGTGAAGTGGGATGCCGATGCCGATGTCGTGTCGTGCTGTGGTGTGGTGTGGGTGGATATGGGGGGCGAGAGCTCTTCAAAGGCAAAAAGGCCAAAATCGATGAATTTAAATCAAAAGAATTCCAGGACAGAAATATACCCGTGTCCCTGGTTAAAGTGGCCTATTCTGGTGAACTGTCTGGAGAACTTTTGAGTGAAGACTTGTGCGAGAGGACAGCGTGGGCAGGAAGCATCTTTCCCCAGCCACAGGCTACCTTTTCTGGAGTGCTAGATGTGGGTGGGGGTGGGGGTGGGAGTGCAAGTGGAACCACCTTAATAGGCTTAAGCACAGCTCAAAAGCCGACTTAAATGCAAACGCACTTTATTTAATGACAGTAGCAACAGCATTAGACCCAGCAGGAGGAGGCAAACGAACTGGAAACGGGAGTTGGGTCAAGTAACAGTGACAGCGAAAAGCATCCGAGGCAACGTTTCCCTCAAAAAAGATTCATTAGAGCAAAAATCTTCTTAACAAAAAGAGGCCCACTGTGGCTGGGCTTACATACGCGGTGCGTAATCGGAAATCAAATGAAGGGCAATTAGTCAGGCACCTGGCACCTGGCACACGGAACCCGGAACCTTCCTTATGCACCGTTTGCCCTGTTTTGTTACTGATGGGATTTGCAGGAAGCTTCGCAGGATGCGGCATCTCCCAAGCCGATGGAACCGCCCTAACACCCACGCACAGTTGGGAACGCCATCATGAGTGGCTTTTTTATTCTTGTTGGAGTACGAGTAAGTATCAACCCCCCGAAAGTCATTTCAATATTTTGCGACCCAAAAACTTTCCGTTGAGCAATCGAATTTTTGTTTGTTATTTGAGTCGGAGGAGCATAGAGCCATTAAAAATCAATTGGGCCAGAAATGCAAAGTGCCCGCCGCATGTGGAACACTTTATACTCGTGGCGACCAACATACCAACACAAAAAAAAATGCCACAAATTCCCAAGGACCGCCCACACGGACAGACACTGGAGCGTAAGCACTGAATCTTGAGGCCTGTACCCTGTACCAGGGGTTTGGCTACATTCCGCTAAATTGATTCCAAACTGGCAAAGTTCCCTCCAACAGCATCGTAACTCTGGCATGCCCCACTTGGCAGGGGCGGTGGTGGAGGGTGTTGAATGCTAATGTGGATGGGTGTGGGTATGTGGGGGGGGGGGGAGGATTCATGGTCAGAGCGTGCTGGAAGATTTAAAATTTTGAGTGGCAGAAAAGGCGCTGCTGAATGGTAGAGGAGATGCCATCGAATGGGGCAACTACTTGTGGTACATCAATCCCCGATCGATGTGATTGCATTGCCGCTGCCCCTATCGAGGCACTGATTCCACCGCAGTGCCGTTAGCATCGTTGCCATCGAACTATAAACGCTGACTCGACCCGGAGTCGCCTTCCGTTCCATTCCGTTTCGATTTCTTCTTAGTGCCTGTTGGAGTCGAATGCCCGTGGCTCACATGCACTTCCGACGCGCTGTGGCCATATCCTTGTCTCCGTCCTTTGTTTCACTGGGCGCGGGCAACTGGCCAAGATACAAATTGCCATACCCCAAGGGAACCCACTTGCCTCGAATGGCTTTACGATTATGGGGACACTTGCCATTGTATTCGGATCGTAATAAGGCTCGTTGTGGCTTTCAGGGTTCAATGTGAATGCAAATACACGCGTCGCTATTTTACAGCTATGGACAGACAGCTGACACGACACTCCGTCCTCGCTGTCTCGTCTCCGTTTCCATAAGACAAGTGTTGTCCAAACAATTGCCTTGGGCTGGGTCTTAATCGGATTGATTTGATTGATGCGTCTTTGCCTCTGTTGGCTTATCATTAGGAAGATGAGCTAAGAGCCTTCGGAGTGCGATTGAGTGGGGCGGCCCCCGGGACATTGTTCAACTAATGCCGACTAAACACCAGCTGAGCTGAGCGTAGCGATTAACTTGCCGATTCCCAATATCTATAATGGAATCTGGCGTGACTGCTCTGCATACAGTTTTAGTGCCCGAAAGCCGGCCAAACTAATTCCCCAGTGCAAGAAAATCACGAGCAGAAACTTTGCTCCCGTATTAAACATTCAACTCCGCGCTCTTCCGCCTCCTCCTCCTCCTACTCCTTGGCCAACATTGTCGACACGACTTTATGGCTCTGCAGTCAAAGCTCTGGCGCTAAATTTCCGACCCGACGGAGGTAGCTTACTTTTAATGCCAAACTATTTTTTCGGCAAATAGAAGTTTGCTGGCGCTTTTAAAAAACTAAAAAAAAAAGGTGAATCCACCTTCGGAGGAAAGTTGAGGCCACGAATTTATAATTTTCAGCCAGGTCTGGGGTCTGGGGTCGGAGTCTGGCTATGACAGTGCAGAGATATTTCAATCAGGCAGCTCACGTTTGAGCAGCGCTCTACAAATGGCTCCACATGTCGGCTGATTATTAGCAGGCGATTGCCATTGGGGGGCGGGAGCTTATCTGCAGTCCGTACCCTTGGTTATGGCTGCAAATCGGGAGCGCGTGCTCGCGATAAAAACCGTTCCAAAGTTTGTCTCCTGGCTCTGGTATCTTTCCATTTACCTAGCCAACTTTTAGTTGGAAAATGGCGGAATTAAAAGTTCCGCGCTTGTCTTCTCTTGACTCCAGTTCCAGCTCGTAATACATTTTTTGACTTGCTCGTAGAATTTTCTTTCATTACCATGGAAAACAATTAACTCGAAGGGACGGACTGACTGACTGACTGACTGACTGACTGACTGACTGACTGACTGACTGACTGAATGGCTGACTGGAAGGCTACTAATTAAAATTCACTCGGAGCTGCTCAAACAAGCACAACAATGAAAGGAGGAACAGCATTCGATAAAGTCAACAACTAATTCGAAACGAATCCGCATTCCCTTCCAACACTCAGCTGCAGTTTACCCAAAAATTCCAACGACTCCGACCCCCCTGCTGTGCTCCAACTGCGCCTGGGGGGAGCGTGTAAAAGTTTGGAATTTTATTGTCCCAGCTTAAAAGCTAGATGCAGAAGATTTGAACACGGAAACTTTTTGGCCCCGGGGGAGAGTAGAAGGACGTGCAGACAAACAGTCTTGTGTCGAGTCGGTAGTAACACAAGATGCTTGGATGCTTGGATGCTCCGATGCTCATATGCTGCATAGTTTCCCAACTCAAGATATATACATATGTATATAGCTTGGACTCGACTGGATTTGTGTGTGGCAGAGCTCCATGTGCGAGAATTCCTCTCTTGCGGCGTGCATGTGGCAAAATTGGAATAAAATTGTGTGGCTAATGGGACCTACTCAGACCTAGAACACTGCATATCGATTTCCACAAGAACCAGTTCTTTATGGAGTCCATCTTTTAAATTGTCCCTAATGCAGAACAAGTGGCAAAACTTTCTGGGGCCGGACCAACTAACGAGTCTATTAACCCATAATTAGGACCACAACTTACAGTCATTAGGCGGGGGGAGGTGGCCCTCTAGAGTATATAAGCATGCTCCGTGTGCCGCCAGTTGCAGCGAACTGTGACAGGGACATGATGAAGGACACCGACAAGTGGGCAGCACCTGGCAAGAGAATCTTGGAAAAAAGGAGGCGCCTGGGCACCCTAAGGGCAGCAATCGACAGGACCTTCTGGGAGTACACGGAGCGGACCAAGGTGAGCGGAATGTGGCTGCTGCGACGCCAGCGCACCCACGGATTGTCCAGGTGAGTGGATTCCCTTCTCCCACAGAGCACAGTACTCCTGGCAGTGCCCTGTCTTCGCCTCTTTCAGGTTCATTTGGTCGTCGGTGCTGCTGCAGCTGCTGCTGCTGAGCATCTACCTGACCCTCCTGCTCTGGCTGAAGTTCTACTCGTATCCCATTCTGAACACCATTTCGAACGATCTCTCCATCACGGACGTGGCCTTTCCCGGCGTCACCATCTGCAGTCCCAAGGTGGTCAACTCTGAGCGCGTCGAACGCTACGTCAAGACGCTGTAAGCAAACAGACACCCTTATGACTGAATACCCCCCCTAAGTACCGTCTCCGTTGCCCAGGAATATTCCGCCAGAGTACGAGATGGCTGACGTGGCAGCGGGATTTGAGTTCCTCAACGCTTTCACGGACCAGAGTTTCGAGCCCCCGGCGCACGAGAGTTACAGGGTCACCGATGCGGTGCTTCGGCTGAACAACGTCAGTGTGTGGGAGGCGGCAATGGCCGTCAGTCCGGGTTGCTCGGACTACGTGAAGCGGTGCTTCTGGGGGCACACCGAGTTCCAGTGCAACCAGAGCCACGAGTATCTCTCGTTCATACCCACGACGGCATACCTGGGCCCGTGCTGCTCCTTCAACTATAATCCCCGCAACTCCAGCTATGTGCCCTTCTCGGCGAACATCTTTGGCATGGACGGCGGTCTAACATTTGTCGGCGCCGAGGGCTCTGAGCGCAATCTCAACACGGGTCTTATCGTCCTCGTCCACCATCCCATGGACTATGTCACCGAGTCGGCCTCCTCAGTGACAATCACCGCCCGATCCGAGAGCTTTCTGGAAGTCTCGCCCACCGTGCAGAGCTCTTCGGCGGAGGTGCTGGAGCTGTCGGAACGAAAGCGGGACTGCCTTATCTCGAACGACTTGAGGCTCCGCAACTACCGCCAAGCGGCCTGCCTGCTCTCCTGCCAGACAGAGGCCATCGTCGCAAAGTGCGGATGTCATCCGTACCTCCTGCCCATCGTTGGCAACCAGTTCAAGGAGTGCAATCTAAATGATACATTCTGCTACTCGGCTAACTATGGTGAGTCCCCTTTCCCGGCGGAGCATCCCATGCTTCATTCGGGCTTACTGTCACTTCTGGCTCTGCCCACGCACATCCTTCAGGGTCTGACAAGGTTCACGTACTCCTCTTCCCACAGCCTTTGTCACGTTGTCGCCTTCGCCGTTGGCTGGCTGTGGTACTTTTCATATATTTCCCATGCTGTTGCTGCTGCTGTTGCTGCTGCTGCGGTGACTGTGGCGTATTATGTGGGTGGCCTGTTGTCATCTGTTGTGCTCGCTCATGTTTCATAATTTATATTAAATATTCAGGATACTCACGTGCCCGAGTGTCTGCATTATATGCCATGACTTGGATGCGCCCACAAATCGCTTGGGAGCTCATTTGCACGTTAATAAAGCCCTAAAGTGCTCTCTCCCTTCGATATGCAAATTTGTAAAAAAAAAACCCAAAAGGATGCTCACCCCCTTAACTTTTTCGCAGACAACTTTAAGAGCGTGCGATGCGACCAGTGTCTGCCCAACTGCTACGATGTCACCTACTCCACGCTGTCCTACAAGACGGACCTCAATCAGCACCAGTTCTCAGTGAGCCGCTACTAGTACGTACAATACCGTCTATGAAACCAGCTTAAATTTGTATACTTGGTTACCCTTTAAGCTCCCGGGAACTGATCAAAAGAGACAGCTTTGTGCTGCGCGTATATCTGGCCAAGCAGGTCGTTCCGGTCATTCGAAAGGTGACGGTCATGTCTTGGATCGGACTCCTCTGTAAGTTCTCTGTGGTGTGGGGTAACAATCTCATCCCTAGATTCTTATCAATTTCAGCTGACCTTGGGGGCATTTTCAATCTCTGCCTGGGCCTGAGCATGATCTCCGTTGTGGAGTTCTTCTACTACTGCATCTATCGCCTCTACGTGAACTATCAGCTGCAAAAGGCGCAGCTGCCAAGGAAGGCGTGGCAGTAGAGCCCAGACCACATCGCATCGTCGCTTTGTATTACTACGTTTTAATATATAACTTTAATCTAAACATTAACGAGTAAATGGATGCATACATTATTTACACTTTCTTCTTTTTCGTCTTCTGCGACTGGTTCGCTCCCTTGCGCTTTTGCTTGGCTCCTTCCACCTTGGCAGTCGCTTCAGCTTCATCTTCTGCTCCAGATTCCTCTTCGCTGTCGCTGTTTTATATTTTGAGATTAGTAGATGGCATTAAAGGTGTCCAAATAAATAGGCTACTCACCCCACAGTCTGCATTTGCTCAAACATATCCTCGTACTCATCGTCCACAGGGGCTGTCTTGATACTGGGCTTTTGTGGCACTATATCATCCACTTCCTCCTCCTCCTCCTCTACTGCAGCATCAACCTCTGGCTTCTCCTCCTTCAGTTGACGGATGAGGATCTTGGTGGCCTTCGACTTAACGTAGCACTGGTAGAGCAGCACTGTAGAGTCAGCGTCGTGGACGCGCACATAGCGGTCCAAGCTGGCAGAGCTCAAGAAACGTCCAGTGGGATCCAAGTGCAGGTCACTTATGCCCCCAGTGAATCCCTTGTACGTATGGACGTGAGTTTTCATGCGTCGCGTGTCGAAGGCCTTCAGGGCGCCCATCGTAGTGCCCGTGTAGATGTAGTTGCCCCGTGCCACCAGAGCCGCGAAGCTCATTCCGTGCTCCTCACTGGCAAAGCAGGAGACAGGACGGCGCTGCTTGCGGGTGTCGTAGAGGCGAACATATCCGTGACGCGAGCACGTCGCCAGGACACTGGGCCCGTCCACAAAGCCAATGTCACTGTCCCAAACAGGCACCTCCAGCTGCAGATAATCGTTGGGCAAGTTCTTGGAGGTAAAGATCTGCTTGGCGTCGGAGCTCAGGTCGTAGACTTTCAGATTATTTTGTCGCTCCTTGCCGCCAGTGGCCACAATGTTCCTGGCCTGTGCGCACTGACGCAGATGATCCATTTGGGTGCCAGTAGAGATAACAACAGGTGGCGTTTCCTCCTCAGGGTCTAACTCCAAGCTTTGCAACTCACCATTCCCAATGCCTGCAATCAGTTTGTCGTTGAAGCGCGCCAGACCAACAATGGGAGCTGCGCTGAAAGCCACATTTCGCACGGAGAAGCCTCCTTCCCCAATGGAATGCAGTTCGGCGATGTTTTTGGCTCGGCCAAGCAGAATTTCTGTTCGCGCCTCGTTGCCGAACGCCAGAGCAGTGACGCGGGATTCTTTGTCCAAGTCTTTCAAATCACTGAGGTTTCTCTGTCCATGTGGGCTCTTCTCCGAAGCCGGCAGCAGGTCTACAAGAATCGTTTAAAATGATTTCCTTGTCGAAACATCAACTGCGGACAAACTTACGTTTGAAAGATCCTGTGTGTGTACCCACGTAAATTTCATGTTGTGCTGTATAATTGGGGTGCTTAAGATTCGCCGTGGTCCACTTCATCTTGCTAAGTAATTGTTTTTAGCTTAATTTTCCTAATTAAAAAATCTCGCCAAGACAAAACAAACGCACGTGCGGGAAAATATATCGATGGTTTTCGAACTACAGCGACCAGTGCTGTAAAACAGCAAGTTCTGCTTTTATCGGATTTAACGATGAAATTTTAAATTATTGACCGCCATGCCACCCTCTACGTTCCCAAACCAACAATATCCGAATCCGAATCATGTGCCAGGACCGGGCGACTGCAAGGTCGTCGAATAAATCCTCAGCAACAGGACATATTCTGTATCCCTGCAGCAGGGCTGCAAACGCATCTATGGTCGTTTCATCGATCTATCGCACAATTCCAAAATATTATCGAAAGTAACTTCGGGACGTTTATTTACATATTAACATTTTATTTATATCTTTATTATAATGTCGAAACGTGTACAACCTGCGTGGCAAGCACCGAAGGCAGAGGAGCGGCCAAAGCTACGGCTTTACAACAGCCTGACGAGACAAAAGGAGGACTTCGTGCCGCTGGATGGGAACAATTTAACGTGGTATAGCTGCGGGCCGACTGTCTACGATGCCTCGCACATGGGGCACGCACGGTAAGCGCCACATCAGCATCGCAGAGTCGGTATCTTATCTGTTGCCTGCCCAATAGATCTTACATTTCGTTCGACATTCTGAGACGCATTCTGGCCAATTACTTTGGCTACAACATCCACTATGTGATGAACATCACGGACATCGATGACAAAATCATCAAGCGCGCCCGTCAGAACCATCTCTTCGACGAATATGTCAGCGAATCAGCGAAATTGCCCCTCGACCAGTTGTTGGGCCAGCAGAAGGAAGTGCTTGTCCGATTCCAGGAAACGTGCGCCAAGAACACGGATCCTGACAAGAAGGTGATGCTGGACAAGACTCTGCAGCGCATGAACGATGCCGTTGATGCACTCACAAAGGCAGTGAGCCATGGAGACGAAAAGGGAATCGCAGAGAAGCGACAGAACTACCTCAACGAAGCCAAGGATCCGATTGCCGAGTGGCTGGATGGCAAGAAGGGGGCTGAGATCAATGACAATGCGGTCTTTGAGTCTCTGCCCCGCTACTGGGAAGACCAATTTCACAACGACATGAAGTCGCTAAACGTGAGTCATCAAACCTGAGCTCCAGAGCTTTGCCCTATTCTATCTGTGTGGAATTTCCAGATTCTCCCACCAGATGTGCTCACGCGGGTCTCAGAGTACGTGCCACAAATTGTGGCCTTTATTCAGAAGATCATCGACAACGGCCTCGCGTATGCAGCCAACAATTCCGTCTACTTTGATGTGAATGGCTTCGACAGGAAAGAGAAGCATCACTACGCCAAGCTGGTCCCAGAGGCGTATGGCGACACCAAGTCCCTGCAGGAGGGTGAGGGTGATTTGTCTGTGGCCGAGGATCGGCTCTCGGAGAAGCGTTCGGCCAACGATTTTGCTTTGTGGAAGGCAAGCAAGGACGGCGAACCCTGGTGGGACAGTCCCTGGGGTCGTGGTCGTCCCGGATGGCACATTGAATGCTCGGCCATGGCCTCGGACATATTCGGCTCGACGTTCGACATACACACTGGAGGCGTAGATCTAAAGTTCCCACACCACGACAACGAGTTGGCCCAGTCGGAGGCGGCATTCAACGAGTCCGAGTGGGTCAAATACTTTCTGCACACTGGCCATCTAACCATCGCCGGCTGCAAGATGTCCAAGTCCCTTAAGAATTTCGTCACCATTCAAGAGGCCCTGAAAAAGCATTCGGCAACCCAGCTGCGTCTTGCCTTCCTCCTGCACTCGTGGAAGGATACGCTCGACTACTCGGAGAACACCATGGAAATGGCCACGCAATATGAGAAGTTCCTCAACGTAAGCACCATCAACTATGGCATCATTTCGAGAGGCATTTATTACTCTAGCTTGTCCCCTGCAGGAGTTCTTCCTGAATGTGAAAGATCTGACCCGTCACGTGCTGTCTGAGGAGCCGCGACGGCAGTTTGATGCCTGGACTGACATTGAGGCTGCCTTGCAGAAGAAGTTTTCCAGCTCCCAGGTGCAAGTGCACGCTGCCCTTTGTGGTAAGTGCTCGTATGGGAAAGCCCTTCTTCATCCATTGAATTAACCAATGAATTCTTTTACGATATCCAGACAACGTAGACACGCGCAGCGCCCTCGACGCCATTCGGGAACTGGTCTCCGCCTCCAATGTGTACATACGGGACAACAAGTCGAGACTGAACAGCCTTCTGCTGCGCAATGTGGCCACATACATAACTGACTTGCTGCATGTGTTTGGCGCCATTTCGGGACCACGCGGTGGCATCGGATTCCCAGTGACGGTGAGCGGCGGAGCCGGTGCGCAGGCAGCTGGTGGCGATCTGGAGACCACAGTGCTTCCCTATGTCCAATCACTGGCGGAATTCCGCAATTTGGTGCGTGAGCAGGCGAAAGCATTGAAGGCATTCGATATCCTGAAGCTCTGCGACGACCTGCGTGACAATATATTGCCCAATTTGGGTGTGCGACTCGAGGACAAGGACGGTGGCAAGTTTGCGGTCAAGCTGGTTGATCGCGACTCGCTTTTGCGCGAACGGGAGGCAAAACTGGCCGCCGAAGCGGATAAAGCAGCTGAGAAGGAACGCAAGAAGCAGGCAGCTGCCGACGCCGCAGCAGCCAAGGACGCGCAGCGTCGCCTTAATCCCAAAGAGATGTTCCTTGGCGAAACGGAAAAGTACTCGGCCTTTGATGCGAATGTAAGTGAAACTGGAATTACATACATAATAATCGCATTAATTCGAATCCAATCCTAGGGCCTGCCGACTCTCGACAAGGAAGGCAAAGAGATTAGCAAAGGTCAAGTGAAGAAGCTGCAAAAACTGCAGCAGCAACAGGAGCAACGTTACAAAGAGTATTTGGCATCCGCAAACGAAGCCTAGACCATAAGAACAGAGCACCAAAAGTATCGCCATGATATTAGCTTAGCATTTAAAATATTCACAGCACAACTTCAAAGCCCTAACCATTTCGAAAGTCCGCTTAAAACGAATCCTATTCGTGCACTCGTGCAAGCCTTAGGCTAATCTTCAGAATAAAACTCGCCTTTTCTATGATATCAACTTTTAATATGGATATTGTAGGTGTGTCCTTAGCACAACATCCACACAGGATGCATATCTCTCCAAACTAAAACAGTTTTCTATACGAGATCCAGTGAGATAGCTGATAGTGCGCCTCGGCTAGCTCTGGCTTCGACTTAAGATGGCTCTATTGATATATTCGAATGCAACAGAAAAGATTCCCTCTAAATTTGAGCGCTATTCCCACAAGTCTTTGGTATTTCCGTACTTAATCTACCCGGAATTTCAGTGCGTCTGCGGCATTTACAAGCTGCCAATGTCATTGTAGCGTTTCAACTTATCCGGGAAATTGTCTCTGAAGAGAACTGGGTCCGCTCGAAACTCCACCGTGCGCAGCGGCATGCGGCCATAGATCTTGGCAAATCGATCGATGCAGGCGGAGCGCTCCCGCATGTGATTCAGATCCGCAGACAGCATCTCGGTGTTGGTGCACTCGGGGCACTTGAACTTCTTACGCGGCGTCACCTTGATGGGCGGATTGTTGGTAATATTCGCCACCAGAAAGTTCATGGCAATATCCTCGCAATTCATGTGCTCGTCCACCCAGTCCTTGATGTCCCCTGGCATGGCATATGTGTACATGTGGCTCCAGTACTTGTGATGGAAGGCGGCGCCGGTGAGCACCATAGATATCTGGTTCGTCCACTCCGATTCGTAGTGCCAGCGCATTGTCACATTGTCCCACACATGAATGCGACTGGGGAATCCGACAATGTGGTCGGGAAACTCTCGCCAAACCTCATAGCTACAAAAAAACGTCCACTTTAAACTCAAATTCCATCCCCATTCAACTCTTTCTTACCCAAAATCAAGCTCGTCCGTGGTTAGCATGATAATGTCGTCGTCTATGGTTAAAATGGCTTCAGTTTCGATTTCCGGGTAGGGATAGAATCGGTTCGATAGCTTGTTCTCCTTGGTTTGTCTGATCTTCAGCGGCTTCGATATGGATGGGAATGTCGATACTTCAGTGGAAGAAGATTATCAGTATTAATTAATAAGGATCGACACTGAAATATTCACTCGGTGCTTACAGTGTGGCGGTGACTTCTTCTGGTTGTTCCAAATGACCAAAATGCTTTGCAGCGAGGGCACAACGGCCAGCTTTTGGATCAAGAGGAAGAGACTCTCCACACGGTCATAGGTGAGAATGACGGCTGTGAATCCCTGAGATTTGGGCGCCAACGAGGGCAGGAACAGAGGGATTAAAGGTGGAGCGTGGATTGGTGGCAATGGCATTCCACTGTCGGCTGCTGCGGGCGCGCAGAGGGAATATACGGCTCTCGAGTACCTCAAGCGCCGTCAATGTCACGGTCTTCAGATCCTTGAAGTATTTGGAGTACAGCCACTGGACTTGTTTCTGCATCTCCACAATTTTTACATTGGAAATAGCCTTTAGCTTCTGCATTACGGAATGCAGTTCGAATTCGCGTATGCGAACGGAGGCCAGAGACCAATCAATAACGTCCTCAAAGGGCAGCACATAGTTGTCGATGGCAATCACGGGAATACAGCTCTCGGACATAATCTCCACCAGATCGGGCTGACCCAGACGCAGGCTCCTGCCCACAAAGCAGAATTTTCCACGCGACAGCAGACGGGGATACTCCAGGAGCTTCTGATGCTGCGAGAAGGAGCAGCGCGTAGAGAGATCCATGCCCTCACAGGGTCCCAGGAGCAGCAGCTGTTCGGCATGGGCAGAGGACAGGTCGCGTAGGGTTCTCAGGAAGCGAGGAAGAATATTAAGCTGGGCCACAACCAAGAGAAACTTTCTTTGGGCTGCAGCATGTGGATGCTGGTGCCCCACGCGGGGACTCCACACGGGTATAGCGACATCAAAGCCCGGTCGATACGTCCAAGTGTCGAAGCCACCGCCAAATATGATGGCATTGTCCGTGTTCACATCCAGCACAGAGTTGTAGGCTGGTGCACTTCCCGGCAGCATGTTGAAGATTATGTGGTTATCTCCGCGATCCCAGAAGTCCAACGAAGCCAAGGCGGCCCCCGCCAAGTGTTTGTCAAAGACATTCTGGCTCAGCAAATCCAAGCTGGGGAGAAACAAACAAGCCTCATTCGGATTCGACGTGTAGTAGCGACTCTTGAGCACCGCCTCCAGGATTTGAAAGTACTCGCTGGACAATGTGGTGGCCACCTTATCGGTCTTCTCATCCACAAACTCTTGCAGCGGATAAATGTATACCTTGAGTCTGTCATGCTCGCACTTGTAGATGTTCAGGCAGTCCCAGAATGAACAGTTCCCATTGCGCTTACGCTGATCTGCATCCGCGTGCAGGATCACCTCCTGGCTGTGCGAGAGGTCCAGCACCAGGGTGTGCGAGTCCCTTTTCCCATAGAAGAATCCATCGCGTTGGCTGCTCGAGAGGTCCCACAGCAAGAAGCCCGCACAGAGAGCGACAATTGTCAATAAGCCATAGGTCAGGCAGTTCAGAAGCTGCTCTTTGGGACTGCTGCTCGATATGGTTCGTGGCTGGGTCACCAGGCTTAACAAATACTTTAACTTGTTCATTTTCTTTGACTTTTTCACATTTTAATGAACAGAAAATATGTTGTGTCCTGTTTTCTGGATTGGGGGTATGACCGTTTGGCAGACGCGCGAAAACGCGTCTTAAAAAATACTAGCAAATACTGAAAACTATAATTATGCATGGTGTGGGACGAAGATAGGGAACAAAACCAAACGAACGACATTGAATCAGTCGAGTATTTTCCAGCACTAAAAAACATGCATAACGACTTGCAACTTGCAAGATGACGTTTTATTGTGTCAACATTTATATAAACACACAAATAAGGTCATATATGAGATTCTACTTCTCCTTCAACTTAACGCCCAATTTGGTGGCCTTGATGTCGCACGCGGGCAGCTGCCTCTTCAGCTCTTGAGCCACTTGATCCATGTCCTTTACGAAAATCATGTCAAATATGAGGAGTTGCTTTAGGTTTTTAAGCTCGCCTATTACGCCCAGACCAGAATCACTGATGTTGTAGCAGCCGGACACTTGAAGCCGCTCCAGCGAGTTTTTGACGTGCGACAATCCTTCCAGTCCATCGTCTTCAAGATGCTTGCAATTGTGAAAGATGACCGTGTCAACTGAATTACATCCCTTGAAATGAGCCAGACCTATTTTCATTATGGATGCATTTGTGGCATCCACGACTTTAATGGAAAACTGGGTCGTCTCTGACGGCAGGGAGTTGTAGTCCTTCCACAGCTTTGTCGGATTTTCAACGAACCGTACACCGCCGCCATTCTTCACAATCCATTCGGCACATAGTCGATTTGGACCGACCTTGGCCAGACGGTCCGCATCCACCTGATTGAAGGCGACGGCCACATACCCCCATATATTGCGGTTGGTTGGATATGAAGCCTGCGGCAGGCATTTCGATGTTCTGAATTGTTGTAGCACTTTTGTTAACGATTTAGGAAACTGGTTTAATACCGACATAGCCAAGAGAAGCGAACAGCTGTAGGCGGCGCACGTTACGCAGCACTGTTTCAACAGTTGCTGCCAATTTATGTGTTCAACAATTATGAAATCATGTTTTTATATAGTTAGTATACAATAAAATCCTGCTCGAGCGCTTTATTTAATTTATTTCTATGCTTGTCATTTTGCACCCGATAAAGCCGACTACCTAGTTGTGCTATTTTCAAATTATGGTATTTAGCTCGAGAATACATCAAATTTTAATTTGAAATGTTATTAACAACAACAATCAAAAAGTCGGATGTTGGTCTCGACTCTAAAATTTTTATTTTCAAAAAATAATAATAATAAATATGTTGTTGATATGTAGCAAATTTGTAGTTACCGTGTAGTATCTGTGTAAAAAGAGGATTTTGTTTTTGATTTGTTTTGGTGTCCTTGAAATCAATCAATCCTGTAGAAAATTGATCGATCGACCGGATAAAAATGTATGCTTAGCGCTGAGGGTAATAGTTAGCAAGTAATATTAAACCGAATATCAAAATTGCGGACTATGATTTTCTCGGTATATTTACGGTATATTTTCAAAATGAGAAGGTAAATTTTGGTATATTTCTGATTGTCATTTAAGGTATATTTGATTGACAAATCCACGTTCACACTCACAAATTTTTCTGCCGCGGACAAAGTTGTGTCGTACCCGCGTCGGTCTTAGATTTAATTAATGAGAAAATCGGAAGAAGTTACTTTGGTAGATATAAGCATAAAGTAACTGATACCCAATAGAAGAGGTTTCGGAGTGCTAAAGGCTAGAATCAAATAAATAACCGAATAGCGAGTCGTACTCTCGGAAATAAATCAAGAGAGCGTGTGAGCATAAAATCTCGGCAATAACAAAAAAACATACATATGCTTGTGGTTATGATTGAAATGTGCCTCCGAATTTAACTTGGGCGCTTGATAAATGAACATGTTGATTGTTTAGAGCGAAACTAAAACTACAACATTCACGAAAACAAACAAATAGCAACAAATAAAGTCAAATCACATATTCATTCTCGGTACGTTCAGTGTTGTTGTCAATGAGTGTGGCTGCGTTTGTGTGTGTGTGTATGTGCATGCCGCCACCGCAATTGAAGAAAAATACACCAATACAAAGGCAGTGAATAAAAATACATCGTGTAGCTGTGTGTGTCGGTGAGCAGCGGTGACGTCGAAGCAGCAGGCAGTCGGGGGCAGCGCGCAACGCCAGCGTCAGCTTCAGCATCGAACGTGTTAAAGTGACGAATAAACAACCGAAGAATCACATCGCGCTAAAGCAGGAGATAGACAAACAGAACGGTACAGACAGCCGAACATTTGTAAATTTCTTTCACACATACACCCGAACCGACCCACTCGTGTGCATATGCATACCACGACGTAATAGTTGCCGCCGCAGACATTAAGGCTCTGCTCTGGCCTGGCTATCCCACTCGCGCTCTTGTTTACACAAACGCCCACATCCCGACACCATCACCCCACCAACCGCCAACCCCCCGTTGCGCTGATATTGTGAATAGGTAAGTAAATGCCGCATTCCGCTGCCTAATTAAGTTAGAAATTAACTTTTGCCAAACTTTAGTCTCCCTCTCTCTCTCTGACAGTCTCCTCTCCCTATTCCCCATTCCATATCCCTTCTCTTTTACTTTTTAACGATCATCTATGATTCTGTTTCTATGCCCTGTACCAACTGCTGAGGCACCCAACGGTGTGGTATGGCTGGGACGCATGCAAAAGATGAATGATAGATATACACAGCCACACGGCCATGCCAGATGATAAATGGCGCGCTATATTAGATGATTTATTTCTCGGGCTCCCCCAAAGCCCGCGCCGTAGTTCATTGTGCCTCGGGTACGAATATGGGTACCGTACCTCTCCTTATCCCCGCTTTAATGTTAATCTGCTTGATCTCTCATGCGGAGATTTGTGGCGTTGATTCTGAGCCCCCGAGACCCGAACAAAAGAATTCTGACATTTGTAGTCTCAAATGGGAGACTAAATTCCATCAATCTATTAGACAATAAGATCTGAATGGTACTTTATATTGCATCATGCCTTGGCTAAAATGGTCGCAAATCAGTTTTTCCGGCACCCCCATTGATCGTTTCGGTTCCATTCGCTCAGATAATCCCATGCTGAGTCAACAACTATTTCCTTCATTATTTTTGACCAGCTTTTATTTAATTGTTTTGCCAAGAATTTCACTGGAACTAATCGCAAAACCATAAGCATTATTTCCATTGATTTTAATAACTTTCCAGAAAAGCGTTTTCGCCTCTTCTCCTCCACTGTTTTCGCCGTGTGCCAGTTATTCCTCCGCCTCTCTCCTTCGGTCTTCGGGTTTCTGCTGTTTTTCTGTTTTCTAATTAGTTATAATTACACTTAATGCAATTTAGTTATGAGGTTCTGTTTCTGGGCCCCACATTTGTACATTCGTGAGTGCCTCAGCCTCAGCCCCAGCCCCGATGTTCGTGCCGTTTCCATTTTTGCATTTATACATTTAACATTGATGGGGGATTTTATGATTAGTGCAAAGTTTTTTCCCTGCTGCTGCCGCTTCTCGATGCATTTGACTGGGCTTTCAGTTACAAGGGAAACCAGAGGGAATCCGGAGTAACGCCAGAGAGGAAGGGGGCGGGGACAAAGACCCTTCAGACACCAGGCGTTGAATGCATTTTGTAGTTGTACGATTTTACTCGTGGCCGATAAGTGAGTCCCGGTTTCACTAGTGCATGTAGCAATTTTTTCTCAGAAAACTATTCATTTTTTTGTACATATGTACATACAATGTATGTAACGTACACTCTTTCCATGCCAAGGAAAAAGTATTGTTTTGGGTTAAAGCTAATTTTTGATTATATTCGTATCCAAACAGAACAGAACGAACCGAAACAAAACCATCAAAAATAGTTGAATGCAAAATGGTTCCAGAGCTACGATTGTGTTTACCTGAGCATATAATAAATAATGCCTTGCTTCAAGGTGTGAATTCTAGCTAAATTCAGTATCACCTCCACATCATATGCATATGAGCATGGGTCTGGGCCTGGGCCCGGCCTGCCATTTCAGACTCAGCCAGGAGATCATATCAGGTGGTGGTCTCATAAATAAATGCATTTAATGCTTCGTTGGCCGCCGAGTGGGGATGGTGTCTGGTGGATGGTGCTGGTGCTGGTGTTTTGCTGCAATTGCTGCAGATGGCCAGAGGTACACATACATACCTCCCTTTTGCAATGATCCAAACCAAACCAAACCAAACTTGACCATGGCATGTCCCTTGTCTCACGAAAGCATCTTCCAATGATGGAGTCGCAGCTCTAAAGAAGCAGCAGCAGCAACAGCAGCTCCTCATCATTAGCAATTTGAAATGCATTCAAAGAGAGCTGAAGTGGGGTGGGGGGCAAAGCGGAGATCGGAAGATGTGCCCGGGACTGCGAGCGAGTGTATCCAATTATTTCAGCATTTTATGGCGTAAATTTCCTTAAACCCAACCACTTTTCAGCTGAAACGAATCGCGCTAACTGAAGAACGGCAACAAAATAACGTATGCAGGCAGGTCCCCGCCCCTCTCCCCCTCTCCTAAAAAGGAGATGTGTGTTGAGCGGGGCTGGGAGGAGAGGGTAGGGGGCACAGCTCCACAGCAGCAACAAATCTTAAAAAGGCATCAAGATTATTGCACAGAAAAATTCTTTTCTTCACACCTCGGCCAGACAGCCCAACGTCTACGTTTCGGAAAGGTCTCTGCAGCTGGGGCTGGAGTTGGAGTTGGAGTTGGGGTCTTGAAAAAGAATGAAGGAAACGAAACGAAACCCAAACTCGAAGAATTAAATGCGACTTCAAAGAAAGGCACAGAAAAGCGGGCACACGGACAAGAAATATGGTCAAAACGAAGCTATGATGCGAGGGTCGGGGCGTGGGTCGGGGGCTGATCCCAGGCCCAGGCCGTGCCCGGGCCAACACCACCACCAACAATGGACATCATGTGCAACAACAATAAAAACCAATTTAAGCCGACGACCAAGCAACGTCTTGTGAAGTGTGTGGATCGTCGAGTGTGGAGTGTGGAGGAATCCTCTGTAGGCTTGCCTTCTTGTCGGCTTTCGTTTAAGCGAGACTCTTGGACTGACGTCTCGAACCAACAACAACAACAACAAAACCAACAGCAACAGAACGAAGGCATACACACAATCGGTTTCAGAAATCAGATTCGGTTCGAAGTTGAATAGTTTTTTTGTTGGGAATAATGTGCACATACATATATGTATGTATGTATGTATGCATCTACAATATATTGTATGTTTGTATGTTCATGCGGGATATCTTTGTCGCTCCTTCAATCTATGGCTGACATTGTGTATGTGCATGTGTGTGTACATGTTCTTGTAACTTTGGATTTGGGGTTTTTTTTTTGGTTCGCGGGATCTAGCTAAGTCGATCCCACAAAATATAAAACTTGTTCCCCAGCTCATTTATAGAACAAAAAAAGGGGTCTTTTGGAGATATTCAAATAGGAACCACATTTTATTCCTTAGAGATGCCAAAGATTAGATAGCAGGCATGTCTCCTGCAATGGTTATCTTTTATGTTTCCGACTGAACAATATTCCGTTTAACTAACAATCATTTTCCCTGAAACCGGCAACGACTATTTTAATTGGGAGCATCGTAGAGCTTGAAAATTTTCCCGTTTTTCTCAATGCAAATACTATAGTGGTTTTTTTTGCCGATATTGGTCTTCTTTATATATTACATATTTCAAATATTTGTAACAGTGTAAAATAGTTTCATCCATTCTCATTCACAAAACAAAACATTATTCCATCCGCAGTGTTCTATTGTAATGGTCAATGAAGGAAATCCCTTCATATTACAATTGCAGGGTATTTGTGCAGTCAGAAAGTCAAACCCAGATTATTAATGTTCCTATTATTACTAATCCGCAAGTACTTTTCACCTTCGCAACACACACACACCACACACACACACAATCACATTGGGAGCGAGAGCGGGAGGTAAAAAAACCCGAAACAAAACGAACCCAATTTGAGAGAAAGACCTTCCATGGCCTCGGCAATGCAAGAAACAGATGCTATGCGACTATGCTCTCCCTTCTAACACGCACACAAACACACATTTTCATACATATATTTGACCGATCATATCCAGCAGCAGCAGCAGCAGCCAACAACAATGCAAGTAAAATCCCAGAATCTCTTTTTTTTTTTGCCTTATTCTTTTGGTTTTGTTCCTCTCATTCCACTCTCATTCCCTTCCCTTGCGACTTTGGAAAATGAAGCCCAATCCAGTTTTCTGTTGTTGTTTTTCTGTTCTCTGCCTGCGCAGATCTTAAGTTGATTTCGTTTTGGCTTTGGCTGCATTTTGTTCATGGAGTTTTTCAGAATTTCGTGCTGTGCTGTGCTGCTCTGCTCTGCTGACTGACGCTGTTGTTGCCTTTTGTATTTTTATTTTTTCTTCACACCTTCGAAAAGGCAGCCACACTGAAATTTCAACGTGGGGCTGCAAATTCAATTCAATTCCCCATGGCGTAGGCCCAAGGAAGGAGTGTGGGAGAGACAGAGAGAGTGGAGCAGAGCGGAGCAGACCAGAAGCAGGTCGGGCCGGGCTGGGCCGGCCTCTTCTCTTCCTCTGTCCATAGCCGGTTTTTGGTGTTGGTGTCGCGCTTGGTTTTCTCACTTGGGTCGCGGAAGGGGCCAGCTCTGGCCTTTTGTATGCGCTGCTGCGTTGTGGGACCTCGGGATTGGGGATCTCTGCGGCAGCGGCTGACAGCCATAGCCCAGCGTTCTTTATTATTTTGTTTTTGTTACTACTGCTACCATACCTGGTACTCGTGGAGTGGGAGGGTATATTGTATTTGCGTGGATGCAGGTTGCAAAACGCGAACGCCTTATATCTTTATATTCCTGATCAGGAAATCTCTGCGAAATGCTACATCTGATAATTTCCTCCAAGTTCTCTCTCTCTCTTCCCTTAGTAAGTAAATTTAATCTGTTTTCACTCTCACAGAATCTGATTAGGGGGTATTTTAAAGTCGCAACACTCCTCTGCTGTTCTTTCTTGTTTTTTGTTTGTTTTGTTGTTGTGTGTAAGTCTTCTCCTGCAGGATCGTTTTATTTCTTTTATTCTCTCGTTTCGTTAAAATCTCTTGACAGTCGGCGGCTCAGTGTGCGCATTTTTCTTTCTTTCTCGCCCGATTTTTATTTTATTTTGTTGTTGTTGTTGAATGGAATACAATTTGACATGCTTGAGATTTTCTTGAGAGCACAAAAAATCAAAAATTATTGCCGCTGCAGATTAATTTTTGAATGCGCCTCTCGAGCTCCGTTTACTCTCCTACTCCTACTACTCCTCCTCCTCCTTCGGCTTTTTTCTCTTTTATCTGATACTCTCTGATGCCAAAATATATGAGAAGCTTAACTTTTGGGGATTACAAGCTGCCGTTTTTTGGTTCAAGGTGGGACGCAAGGCAGAACTTCGGTTTTTGCTGTTAGTCGTATGACTCTGCGGCAGCCAGAAGGCCCATCGACACTATCTGGAATGAATATGTGTAGTACCGGCGCGAGTCGAGTCGAGTCCAGCAAACACTCACCAATTGTACTTGCAAGGGGGGAGTGGGTTTATCAACTGCCTGATAACAGACATTTTGGAATTGCGTGGGTAAACATATGACTGAAGCAAAATATAATTGTGCAAGTCTGTCATTCAAGGTGATATCACTCCGGAGCTACACCTTCATTTTGACTAACTTTGGGGCGCTTTTCGTACAGGTCGCTCCATATTTAGGCATCTAAAGTCCTTAATGGGTTGCAACAGATTAGTAATAATAGGGGGACGTAGTTACACTTCCTTGCGATAAGTTTGAGAGGATACTTAGTTTCAGATGTTACTTAAAGGACTACAAAATATGTTTGTATTTCAGTATGAGAAGTAGGCGGAATCAGAAACTTATTCCTCTACCGATACAGCCAAATCAAAAATATATTTGAACTCTAAATTTCCGATGTAACACAAATAGTTTGATTAGACGGAACAGGTCCGGAGGAAGTGGTCAGTGGCCTGGAGAAGGATCAGTGCTGGTCTCCCATTCGTTCGGATTGATAAACATTTTCGACACACTGCCACGCAGGGATTCCAAAGCCTGGTTGAGGGGCACGGGCTTGGGACGCTTTTCGATGTTGGCCATCCCCTTCGACCAGGCCCCCTCGGACATCTGCATGCGTGTTCCTTCCTTTCCTGTTCCTTTTCCTCGCAAAGGCGATCGTGATCTCGCTGTAGAGGGTCCTCCAACCAACTCAACCTTCTTTATCGTTACTTTCCCTGTTCTAAAAGTAAGTAATACTATAATAAGTAATACTTGCGATTTTGACTCTAATATTACTCATGGTTCTTCTTCTTGGTTGGAACAGAGGCAGGATGGTTAAAAACCGGGAGTGCGAGCTGCGGCTTGTTGTTGCTACTGTTACAACAACAAATTTAAAGTAAACTAAATATAATGTTAATAAAGGAGATTTTGAAGTTGGAACATCTGACTGCTGACTGAGCAAACTATTCAAACTATTTCTAGGTAGTGTTAATTATTTATCTTATGCGTTGGCTGGGGCTTGTGGCTTCACCTGACTGCAGAGCAGCACACCCCTCCCGAATAGATACGAGGGCAGGATATTTGGCATATGATATCACACGCTCCATTCTAATCAGAAGAACGTAAGCGATCACAATGGTGAAGTCCAACAACAACATAAGCGGTTGTTGCGCTTTATTTATTCTTTATTTATGCGCCTTAGACCAATCAAGCAAAACGGTTTATCATCGCAGCGATAAAAAAGACGTTAATTTATTGTACAACAAACACAAACAACACACACCGACATATGGAACCAGAACAAGAAGAAATTAATAATGATAAAAAATGGTTGCTAATTGCCAAAAACTCAACTTGAAACATATAGAAACACAAATTTGAACAACTGTAGTGTAGTGGCTCATACATAGTAGTGGGCTCCACTTGTATCTGCTCCTTAAAGTGCATTCAAATGTGAAACGTAGAAATATGCCAGAAACTGCAGTGGTGATGGAGGGTCGAGTTGGTGCGCTCTCCTCTCCCTGTCGCCCAATAAACCGTTACTGTCGTGCGCGCCCAGTGTAGAGAGAGGAGGGGAGTGGAGCAAATGAACAAAGACCACAATTATAAACTCTTTTTAGTTATTTAATTAGCAGGCCCTGGCTGAGCCAGTGGCAGCCACCAGACCCACACACATACGAACGTACGTAGAGACGCGTCTCTCGTATCTAGAGTGGAAAATTAATGGCTACAAAATTAAATTTATTTTTGCAAAATGAGCAACAAAAACAATGGACCTGGGCTGGCAGACAGAATGGCAGGCCCCGCAGTGCCTATGAGTTTGCGTGAGTGTGTGTGTGCGAAATTTATGTTGCTATTTGCGTCGTTGTGACTGCGCTGCCAACTGCGCTGCCACTTATCATGGGGGTTCTTGTTGTTGCTGGGGCTGGCACGTTACCTAATTAGTTGCCGCAGACAGCGCGACGTTTTTACCTTTTATGTATGTGGTTGTTGTTGCCAACACACACACACACACACACAGAAACTTACGTACACTCACAGTCGTACGCTCGGCAGCTTTGACGTAATACATTACGACAACAGGCAGCGTCGACTGCACGCGGTTTCCGTTCTCGGGCCCACGCAAATTATATTAAACCAAAGGTATGGCAGTCAGACAGATCGGTATACATGCAGCTACAAAGATTTGTTTGAGAGAGAGAGTAACAAACAAAATTATGTGACTGGAGAGAGGACTGCCTTACCTTCTGTTTATTGTACCTGAGAGGACCCACGCAAAAACGCCTGCCTTCTAACTGCTCACCAGCACAACAGAGGCAGCGACAGAGAGACGGGAAGAGAAGCAGAGGTACGAGTACCACGCGACAAATCGCTGCATCAAAAGCTACTTCTTCTTCATCTTGCTTCTGCATTGGGTAGTGTTGCCTTCAAGACGTGAACAGTGGAGACAGTGGGGCTTGAACGTCAACTTGGAAATAAACCTTAAAAATAATATTTGATTAATTAATTATTAATTAATTAATTATTTTCCCATTCGCATAGGAATCCTTCGTTTATTTGATCTTACTTCGAATGACCCCCAATAAGTAGTTGGAAATATACACAATCATTCCACTGTGGCAGCTTGCAGCTGCTCAGCAATCCCATCTCGCTGCACCCCACCCCAGACCCACCTCAGCTGGGGCCCGACCCGACCGCCCACTGCCCAGAGCTTTGGCTGTTTTTGTATTCACTTTTTTCTTTCTTCAATTTTATTTTTTGTACGCCCCAACGACAAAGCAGCGAGAGATGAAAAAAACACTTGAGCAAATGCAACAGTCGGCATCTTATTCACAAAAATATTGTGTATATTTTTATTCGTTTGGCAAAGGTAATAAACAACGAAAATAGGAAAAACAACATGCAAGATACTGAAAAGCCATTTGGGCGAATGAAAACGTTTTCATACAAAAAACGAAAGCAACACAATGACAGACACAGATTTGGTGATGGAGACGAAGACGGGGACGAATAAAAGCGGTGGGCGACAGCAGCAACAAAAACAACAGCAACAGCAACGACGCAGCACAACGGGAAAAACGAAGCAGAAAAGGCATCAGCACGAAATTACCAATTTAAATGTTAAAATCCAAATCGACAGACAGAGACACAAGCAACTAAAAATTAAGTCAAATAAAAATGCAGCCAAAGCATTTAGTAAAGTCAAATGCTAAAAAAGAAAAAATGTACATACACATACACACACACACACACACACACACACATCGGATGCGATAATTATATAAACAACAAAAACTGATTGTCGATTGTCTCTGTGCCTATCTCTCTCGCTCTGTCTTTTTGTTGTCCGCTACTCCCCCCACATGAAAAATGATGTCGTTCTTGTTTGACGGCAGGCTAATGATCATTAGAAGATACATTCACACACACGATCATGAATATGTAGGTGTTTCTATGAATGTCTGTGCTGTATGGATAGCATAAGCATAAACGTGCATACACATGTGTAGATATAGCTGTATACAGATATATATCTATCTTTCTGTTTCCACGAGCTGTTGGGTGACCATTGTACGAGCATACCACACAGGCATACATATGTACATACACATAAAAATATATCAATGGATGTATTATCATATCATCATCAACAAACGGACAGGCGACAACATCGACATTTTGTCGTTTTTTATAAGACACAATACTCGGCTCGGGGCCGGCCGTGCGTTATCTAACAAATTGTGAGGGAGTTGACAACATACTAAAAAAAAAAACCCAAATCTGCATTTTGTCGTAAATTTTTGGTGTTGTCTGTAGCTGTCCGAAAATGAGTTCAGAGTGAAAGCCCAGCCCCGACCGATCTCTGGGCCAGCGTGGGTTTTTCCCTTTAAATCTCCGTTGGGGCCGTTTTTATTTTGCTGTAAGAAGAACTTGGGGGTTTATCAATATGCGAATTAATCGATGGGGAAGATTATGGATGCAAATGGATTCAAAATGGTGGCACATTTAGTGGGCAGAGGAAATTAGCGCTCGCTGCTGATTGGTGTGTGAAAATTGATCCAAAGATCGAAAGATACCCGAAAGATAGTGATTTAATGGCCCGAACAATGCTTTGGATGTTCGGTCCTCCACAATGGGGGCAGTGATCGATAGGTGCGAAATGCCATCGCATCGCCTGGTACGGAGGATGATCGATGGCTAAGCCGAAGGAGGAGGTATACACACGCCCTCCTTGACCATGACCATCATTTGTGGAGCTTGTGAATGTTAGAGGAGCGATCGCAGCAGATGTCGCTTTAGAATGATCGAACCCAGGTAAACCACTTCCTCAGTGGAAAGTTTGATGGACACTTGCACGCCCAAATATTTACCTTGAACGATCTGTACAAATACCAATAAATATAAACATTTTCCTCTGTAGATACCGCGATCGAAGACAGTGCAAACCTATTGATTAGATAATTGCATGGCTTGTTTGTTATGTGCGGAGTAGTTTAGGGCCATCGAAAAAAAAAAACAACTATAAATGTTACAAAATGTAGAAGAGAACCCCGATAGTTGACGCGCGCGTACAACTTTTATTTGGAATTGAGGCCAGTCCACGAGTACCATGATCGACAATCTGAAACTAATCAAAACCTCTTCACCTCTTCGACACTTGAAAGTTGTTCCTTGCCAGGAACTTGCACTCGTACATACCTATGTATGTATGTACATACTAGTGGCGTATACGGACGGACTCTATATATAGACAGAGCGAGAAACCGACATGAAGCTGTGAGAAATGCGCGGAAAGTTTCTTGTCGTGAAAACTCTTTGAAGAAAAATCTTTAAACTGAAGTAAGCGGCGGCGGCGGTGGCTGCTGCTGCTGCTGCGGGCACTTTTTATTTGATTTCATTACGCTATTCTTTTTGTTGCTCCTGTTTGTTTGCTTGCTACTAAATTTGGTTGTCTGGGCATTTTTACGCGTTTGTATATATATGTGTATCCGTTTGTGTGTGTTTGTGTGCAACGGCAAGACCATTTTTAGTAGCCCCGTCTATATAAGTACGAGTACACGTATACATGTGGTATGTGTAATGTCTGCCAAGTCTTGTACGCTGTGTTTGTGGTAATTGCTAAGTATTTTCTGTACCTCTTCTCGTTTATGCAGCCGCCACCGCTGCCGCTGCTGCCCTTTTTGGTGGGTGTCTGGGGATAATGTCCGTTTGCCTGTGGGAAAATGTGAACTTCAGATCCTGTCCCCCCTCAACCAAAAGGTGATAGCGCGACTAACAAACTACGCAGCATCCATCCATCCATCCATATATTCAGCTGCATTATTCATTATCTCTCTCACCGAACTGTCATCGAAATTTAGCGAGCTTTGGACCCGCCTCCACCTCCGACCGGGCCCGAAACCGAGAACATTGCGCTGAAAAACAATTCTGCATACGCTGCACAATTCTGGAACGAGATGAAGAAGATATTACTTTTGTGAATGCCTCTGCGGGCGATGATGACGATGATGATGATGATGATGTTGCTGCTGCTCCGAGGTTTTGCTGTTTTCGTAGCATTTTTTGTTTTTTGCAATACAAAAATCGTTGGCTCGGCGCGTTTTTCGCACCCAACATCCGGTCGTATTTTATTTTAATGAGTATAAATTCTGTGCTCTCCGGCCCAGACATTCACTTTCTATACAATTAATATTTCTATACGTATAGAGAGAATGCAAAAATATATCCATATACTAAAGAGAGACAGACAGAGCGAGAGAGAGGGGAAAGACCCTGCACCATTTAAATTTCTGTTATTTTTTTAATTGACGCTTTGCTTCCCTCTTCCTTGCAGCGACGATATCATGCGTTTGATCGTTCGGCAGCACTCGGAGGTCCGAGGACGCTTCGCCACACTGGACCGTACCAGCTTCGCCGAGTGACATTCGCAGGAATAACGGCTCCTTGAATGTTG